TGAAGGTCGTGATGGTAAACAAGTATGGTCAGTTTCAAAGCAATACCTCCAATGGTTTTGAAATAAAGTGAGGTGGTACAAAAAACTTAACCAAGCTCAATACACTTTCTAAGTCAAAAAAGGGCCATAATTCTGTCAAAAACCTTGACAGAGTTATGTACTCTTGTCTGTAGATGGAGGTTATGATGGTGAACAAGTATGGTAAGTTTCAAAGCCATACTTGTAATACTTCTGAAATAAAGTGGGGTGGTACGAAAAACTTAACCAAGGTGTGACGCCGACGCCGACGCCGACGCCGGGGCGAGTAGGATAGCTCCCCTTTTCATAGAAAAGTCGAGCTAAAAATGGACTGTTTTATTTATTTCTAACTTTTCCCCTTTTTCCTCTCTATGACATAATTTTTCCCTCTCCATGGGCTCTGCCATCATTCCCCTTTGAATGAAAAAACAAAACACAAAAAAACATTGAATTACAGTGTCTATTCTAGGATTTGAAAAACAGGAGGATTTTTGTTGAAAAGTGAGAATTTATTACATATGTTGGATCTTTTTCCTTATTTCTCTATGTAAAATTTTCCCCTGCCTCTGAAAAAAGTAGGGGGAATTCTCTCAAAAATATGAGTGAATCCTCCCCCCATCCCCCTAGAATAGACACTGAATTATCTTTTCTTTGTAATATCAGTTTCTGTGTTAGTAGCTCAATAGATAATGTCAAGATTGTTTTTTCGAGTAAAAAGGTCTGTAATAATGTATTTACACATTAAACCTGGCTACTGGTTGGGGACCACCAAAACCGGACAACCACCAAACCCGGACGGCCCCGAAAATGCTTAATTTAGTATTTTCTTTGTTCAGTGGTTGTCAGTCACTTTTTTATCAACAATAAGTGCATGTTTCTTTTAAAATTAAGTAAATAAATTTATTTCAACCTCCGTAAATGGTAATATTTTAATGTCTATTTCAAGAATGTTGACGTTGAAATTCGGGGGTCAAGAAAGCAATGCCTGACCTCATATACCAGCTATAATCATTTGCAGAGTGAATAATAGAATATCCAAAACTTCAGCATTTGTGGCTGACATATTGTATATCATGTTACAAATAAAAAATCTAAACACCCAAGCTTTTATCTGAATTAAATCACATCGTGTTCATATCTGTCCGGACACATGGTACTGTAGTGTAGACAATTTAGGTAATTTTGATACCCTCCTTGTCGAGCCAAAGATATAAGTGTCAATACAATCAGAAATAAACAAACTAGTTTTTTAGTTAGGAGAAAAACCTAGCTGAACTGTGTCAAATTGTTTGTTCTCTATGTTAAAAATCAAGAAATCTGTACGGAAAAATACACCAAAAGTGTCCGGTTGATGGTCTCCGACCAGTAGACCAGTATTCACAAATAAAACAGTTTTTACAAGAAAATGTGTAATTTTAAATTTGAATCGAAGGGAGAGTAATGCTGTTTTAATGAATTCATATGCATTCAAGAGTTATTGAACTTATTCTAATATCAAAGATAAAGAATTTGTGACTAGATGCATGAATTCAAAGCGACATATAGCTAGCTGATTTATATTATTGTGCGTATTATTGTGCAGTTCTATGAAAAAGACATCGAGATGAATTAAATTTCTTACCGTGAAAAAAAAATCTACTGATGATCTGCACTTCGTCTGCATTTGCGATGTACTGTAGGCCTGCACTTCTAAGATCATGTCATTTGCAGACACATTTTGGAACAGAAAATATTTGTTGTTACTTTATAAGTAAAACAAAAATACATAAATTATAAATGTTTTTGGAGAAAACGTGTGCTTTTAATTTGCAAATGGCTGATAAATATAAGGGAGATAATTAGGTTGTAAATGAATTATTTGATGGGTAATAAACCGCTAAATTTACTCCGCCGAGATTCGTACTATTATGGTTTGCGAATGGATAGTATTCCAATATCAAAAGGTGTCACCCCGGTACGGAATTAGACCCAGCCCGTTGTAGTCTAGAAAGTAGTTCTTTTAAATTTTGAAATGGCCTATTTCATATCATCTTAATTGATACTGGTTATATTTTAAGTATATCTTTAGTAATTATGTACATGAAGTTTCATTTCTGAGTACTTTAAAGGTTGTTTTTTATGTATTTTTGCAGGATTTCATTTCTGGGTGGAAGGTTTCATGAGGCACTATGCACAAGAATACACACCAGTTACTATTTGGAATATTCTATTAGTGATTACAGAAATTAAAAGCTGCAGAAAAACTCCAAGGGCTAATGTATTATTTTTTTGTGCTAAATTTACTTGGACTGCATTGGTGTTTAAAGAAATGGTCATGAAGTTTCGGTACCGGATTTGTTTTGTCCAGAATTTAGCCTTAAATGTGATGGATTTACTATAGGATATATGGGTCGAAAATTCAGTAGGCCGTGTCCAAAAGCGAGATTTTGACCAAAACATTGGTACATTAGAATTTGCTCAATACTTAACTTATCTCATTTGAATGATCTAAAGTCCTGTCACAAGTGTTGATTTTTTAATCAATACCAGGAACATGCATATCTATACTCAGTAATATATTCCCTGTCAAAATACGTATTTGTTTATCTAAACTGAAAGGAAGCCTGCCACATAGTTTATGTGTAATTTCCAAGCTTTCCTTTCATGGAAGTTCGAATGAACAATATGCCTTAAACTAGTTTGTGGGCTGTTTGCAAAAGCAAATAATCTTCACAACTCTGACAGCTTTTCCTGAATAAACTCTTGCATCTGACAAGGCTAAGCATTGGCTATATAAGTATTTACAACACTTTCCTTCTCCGTGCAGAAGCTAAAACTGGTTTGTACAAGCACTTTCCTGTGTTAATTTTGCATAAAAATCACAAAACTATCATTATGATTTTCAGCCATGTGAAGCAGGGAGTTTAAAGCATTGAAATATAATTACTGATTGGGGTATTTATCAAACTGAGTCACAACAGTCTTGATATATGGAGTCGTTTTTGTATCTGGTCCATAACTCTGTAATTTTGAAAGTGCTTGGCACAATGTACACAAGCATGAGAGCATATGTCTGGTGTGTGGTTTATATCATGAAGTTAAATATTATATTGACGCTAAAGGCTTTAAATGAAGACCTTCTTTATGTTCAGTCCATTATGCATTGTTCCATGATCTGTCTGATTCTAATTATCAGATTAGTGGATACAAAGATCCCTGACCTGTCTAATTATAATTATATGATTAGTGGATACATATCACCACAACCTATTTCTTAACAAAAGAACATATATTATTGTTGTGATTAAAGCTATTGTTATTCAAATAAAAGGCCAGAGTAGATATCTATCAATATTTTTGTAATTCCCTTAGTAACCATTCAAAATTTTAACAATAGGTCACACCAACAAATCAAACTTTAAGGATGAGTCTATTATTGCCAAGTTTAACAATAGGTCACACCAACAAATCAAACTTTAAGAATGAGTCTATTATTGTCAAGTTTAACAATAGGTCACACCAACAAATCAAACTTTAAGGATGGTCTATTATTGCCAAGTTAAGCAATAGGTCACACAAACAAATCAAACTTTAAGAATGAGTCTATTATTGCCAAGTTTAGCAATAGGTCACACCAACAAATCAAACTTTAAGGATGGTCTATTATTGCAAAGTTTAGCAATAGGTCACACCAACAAATCAAACTTTAAGGATGAGTCTATTATTGCCAAGTATAGCAATAGGTCACACCAACAAATCAAGACAAATTTGATGGCGAGTGCAAAACATAACATGCCATAATAAACTTGAAATTCTTCTTTATGAAATATGCACAACTTACATCAACCACTTTTTGTTATACAGAGAAACAATGGCAGATAGGTGGTACTATCAATGTGTATGAATCATTTGGTTAAAACTATAATGAGATCAGTTAGATTTTTAATTAGTTTAATTCAAATGAAAACATTCCTTGTTAGTCCTGGAAGCAGACTGTTTTCAAGCAAGGGAACAAACAGACTGTTTTCAAGCAAGGGAACAAACAGACTGTTTTCAAGCAAGGGAACAAACAGACTGTTTTCAACCAAGAGAACAAACAGACTATTTTCAACCAAGGGAACAAACAGACTGTTTTCAACCAAGGGAACAAACAGACTGTTTTCAAACCAAGGGAACAAACTGTTTCAACCAAGAGAACAAATATTCAATTATATGATTAGTACTTGTTTCAATAGAAGCTATCTAAGGTTAAAATTTGTGACCCTTTAAAGTAACTAAATATATTTTTGGTTGTATATGCCTTATCTGAACTATTTTGAGATCTCCTGAAATAATGTTAAAAGAACAAACATACCATTCCACTATTTAGACAAGAGCGATCAGTAATCACGTGTCGCCTCATGGTGGCCAATTTCATGTTGGGACAAGTTTTGTGACAGACGGACAGACAGTACTGATCATTCCAGGAAAGTTTGGATAAAATTGCACCAGTAGTTTATGAGGAGTAGTCCGGACAAGCTTTTGTGTATCTGGCAACACACAGAAAAAAACACCTTTTTATCAAAGGGCCATAACTCGGCCAAAAATCATTCAACCGAAAAACCCGTGCAATATGCACAAGGACTTGAGCTACAGATCAATCCTGTAAAGTTTCATTGAAATTGCATTAGTGGTATAAGAGAAGTAGTCCGGACAAACTTTAAAAATAAAAATTATTAAAGGGCCATAACTCTGACAAAAATCATTGAACCGGAAAATGCTGACAATATGCACAACTAGACTTGGTACTGATCATTCCTGTAAAGTTTGGATGAAATTGCACCAGTAGTTTATGAGGAGTAGTCCGGACAAGTTTTGTGACGGACGGACGGACAGACAGACAGACAGACGGACGACGGAGAAGTGATCCCTATATGTCGCCACTACTCCGTAGAGGCAACACAAAAAGGAAGGGTAAAATTTTGGGATTTTCTGTTGGAAAAAGTAGACAAAAAACTCACATGGTTATTCATCATTTTTATTTTCATTTTAAAAAAAGTGTACCAAAATGTAAAATAAATAAATGGCAAATTACAGATAATTATCACAATGATCAAGTCCTTAATTTTCAATAATATAATACATAAACACTGTCAATATAGATGATGTATTCTTAACTAGCCCCTTTAAAAGCAGGCAGTGATTACAATAAATTATCTATATAATCAGTATTGAGCCAGGGCAGCCTGCAAATGCATGCAGTTTGACCAGGTTTTATACTATAGACTGGTCAGTATTTTCATATTAAAATCTCTTTTTAAGAAAGGCAAATCATCACAAGTCATATTCATTGATGTTGAGAGAAAAAGCGAGATTTTATACTGTCCTTTAATATTGTTCTAAATTTACATCAAAATGTGTTTTCGATACATCAATCACTAAATGGTTTCAATATCAATCTGCTGAGTCTTCTTTATGAGGTAACAAAATTTAGGCACACCTCACAATATTAAAGAAAATGATTTTCAATGAACATCTTGTGTAAATGATCTTTCAGACCACAACATCTCGAGTATCTAGTCAATATTGTGCCCTGCATATTCAGATTTCTGTACTTTTTCATTGGTCAAACAACTTTAAACAAAATCAACATTAATTGAATTCTTAAGAAATGTATTGTTCTTAATAAAAATCATACACAGTTTTTACTTAACTCAAAGATATTAACTCTCACCAAAAAACAACAGGCCTATGTCACTTTTACAGACCCTGACAACACAAGCTTGAAAAATCTGCAGCAAAACCAAACTCATTACTGCTTAATGCTTAAACTTTGAGTATTTTTAATATTAAAATCCTTTAAAAAATTGTCAGTTATAAATTCAGAGCACGGCAAGCTCATTGCACAAATAAGGGAAAATAATTTTTTTTGCTGGAATACATAGACTTGTCCAATCATTATCATTTCATCACCATAAAAATTTAAGACCGTCCTTTGATCCCTGCATCATGTGACAGACTTTATAACATATACATGTACATTGCTCAATAATCATCATCACTACTGTCATCGTCATTGTTTTTACGAGTGTCACTGTATCCAAATATCGTCTTTTTCTCCGGTTCCTCTGCCGTGTACTCTATGACACCTAGAAAATATACAAACCAATCAGTTTATGATACATTTTGTTCACAGTTTACCTATATATTGCTAAATTTGTATAATGTACTTGCTCTAGAAATTATTAGAAATTTAAGAGATTTTAAACAAGTGAAAATATGCAGATTACGTATATTGCCAAGATGTTTAGACTGGCACTACTCTTTTACTGCATGAATAGGTCATTTATGAATTATCTCTGTTGGTGCTCAAACTGTTCAATATTTTACAATAAAAACTTGATTCATATCCTAGAGTTGAGAAACAGACACCCTTGCCACTAGGGTTTCATTTCCCTTTTATACATGTTCCAAGCTATGTTGACTGAAAAATTGCTAGTGGCATACACAATGTTTCTATTACTCAAATTATGTCATATCAAAATACATGTACGGGTGTGCAATACCATTTTTTCAGAGTTGCAAACTAAATTACCTGAAGAACCGAGACGTTTCTCTAAAACAGAGGTAGGGAAGTTGTCAGATCCACCAAGTTCATCAAAACCAACAACTCTGTAATGAAATAATTAAAGGTTAACAAAATAAAACTTGCCTGATTAGAGGTATAATTTCAAATTAAACCAACATATTGATAAGTCTAAAGCCTGACATAAAAAACTGCCTTTGAATGGCAAGCAGTGCATTTGAATGTAAAGTGATTGCTATATAAAAACTGAGCTACCAGCTTAGACTGCACAGGTCTGGATCTATCCATGTGGCAAAGGCTACAAATGTTTGATTTAAGCATTTTATGTCAATTTTACCTGTGTTATAAGCTTATATATTAGATCTTGTTAATAACATGTGATTAGAACTTAATTATCTAACTTTCAGTTAACCTTACATTGCTAAATGTATTTGAAATACCTGTCCTGCTTTGACATTAAAACTGTTCAGTACAAATTTCAGGGATTTTTGTATCAAAATGATAAAGTAAAGAAGCCAACAGTATAGAGTAACAGTCAACACTAGCATGCAAAGGGTAAAAAAATATCTTTCTGATATACACAATTTCAAATTGTTCAGAATATCAATCTATTTTTTCCTATCTTAATAAATAGTTAAATAGTCTTTCATTACAAACAACAGTGTCTAGTTAATATATAGAATTTCAGTGTTATTTTAAGTAATTTTCATATCTTTAATCCCCCATAACTCTTCAATAGTTTAGTATTTGAATGTCTGCACATACAGGTAAACAAGTCAAATAGACTTGATGGAAAAGAAAGGCAGCAAAGTGAAAAATAGGACAGTAGGACAGTGTGCTTGAGAATTCTCATTGCTGGACAGTAAAACAAGAGCCTGGATCTTTTGACAGCCTGTCTTGGCTATGCAGGCTTCATAACCTCTGATCCCTTTTCAAAGTTCTATTTTATTTATTTCTGCCCATTGTTTTCAGGATAAGTGCACACATGTTCTTTTACTTGGAGACCATACACTGCATTTCATGGAATAGCACATTGAAGGTTCCAGGATAACCGCATGATGAACACATCTGCTGATGTTTCTAAATTCAAACTTTCATCATTTTCATGTTTAAATGATAAATTCTGCTTAAGTCAGTGCTATGGAGTGTGAACGCTTACTTGCACCTTCCAGTACTGTCCATGAACAGACTCAATCAAACTGAGCGGGAATAATTTTCAATCTCAACGTTTTTGACATTCTTTAAGGATTCTTTCTTTCTCTTTACTTCATGGAACAGACAGGCAACAACAAAGAAAAATAACAGCACCCTACTTATCAGTAGGCATGAAAATGCAGGCTTGAATTGTACTGAATTGTATTTAGTTAAATTAAAATAGTACCTGTCAACAACAATCCCTTTCTTGAAACATAACACTGCTGGGAGAACCCGGATTTTTAATTTCTCCACTAGAAATTTTGCCTTGTCAACATTTATTTTTGCAAATTTTGTTTCAAAATACTGTTCTGTTAATTTCTGAAAGAACAAAGATAAAACACTTCAGAAATTACAAAACTTCCTCTATTTTACAAGCAACAGGAAGTTGTCATTATGCTATGATTTCTGCTAATAATTCTTAAACATGTATATGTAATACATAAAACAACACAAAAAGGCCATAATTCTGCCAATAATAACAAATCCGAAATCCCAGCAATAAGCACAAGGGAAGAAATATTAACCAGTTTTCCCCGAGAAAACCTGCTTCTAAAACTCAATCATCTGATTTTTATCAGAGACTAAATATGTCGGACTCAAAGTTGAAAGTAAATAATTCACAGGATATTTTTTAGGTTCTCAAAGGTCAAAATTCTGTCAAAAACCATAATAACTATAAATTATAACCCTAGCAACATGTGAGTAAGTTTTTTTTGTTTATTTTTGTTTGTTTGTTTTTTTAGTGAATATAATCAGTATTTAAGTTGCATGCTAAACCTTATCCCAATTGTAATGACATTTTTGCTGATGCCAGATCATCGTACTAAGAAAAGTCAAGCTAATATGACACTATTATATAAACTAAACTGTAAATCTGTACACGAAATGATTTAGAAACATCATTTTTTAACAATCACACCATATAAAAATACCTTTAAATGAGAATCAATTATTGCACATCTTCTGAAATCTTCATGGAAGAAATGAACCACACATTTTTCTTCACCAGTTGTTAAATCCAGAACTGCTTTTGCATCTTCTAGTTCACTGCAAATTTCAAATCAGCGATAAAAATTTATGCAAATCAGTGCAATATTGCATTATCTAGGTGTATTGCTACTCACTGTGTAAGGTTACAATGGAAACATTAATACTGAAGAATTACCAATGTCTATATCAATCACTGCTAAAAATAAGTCCTTGCCAAATGGATTTACTTTGGAATTAGAAATATTTTGGGGCTTCCCCAGCTAATCTGGAGGTACAAACAAACTAAATAACAGTTTCAGATTCAACTAGAAATGTGTCCAAAGGACACGGATGCCCCCACACGCCACTGTTCTGTCAATCTTATGACTCTAGGTCAAATATTTTTTGGACTACATGTGCCACAAGTTGAAAACTAAAAATCAACAAAGGGCCATAATTCTGTTAAATTTGGTCGCAGCAAAAATTCCTTCCTTTACTACCATCTACACATTAAGGTTGTTAATCCCTGGAAGTTTAAGCAAAATCTGCCATCCGGTTTAAGAGGAGTTGCGTTCACAAAATTTCTACATAGTATATAATGAAAAAATCAACAAAGGGCCATAATTCTGTTAAATTTGGTTGCAGCAAAAATTCCTTCCTTTACTGCCATCTACACATTAAGGTTGTTAATCCCTGGAAGTTTAAGCAAAATCTGCCATCCGGTTTAAGAGGAGTTGCGTTCACAAAATTTCTACATAGTATATAATGAAAAAATCAACAAAGGGCCATAATTCTGTTAAATTTGGTTGCAGCAAAAATTCCTTCCTTTACTGCCATCTACACATTAAGGTTGTTCATCCCTGTAAGTTTAAGCAAAATCTGCCATCCGGTTTAAGAGGAGTTGCGTTCACAAAATTTCTACATAGTATCTAGTGAAAAAATCAACAAAGGGCCATAATTCTGTTAAATTTGGTTGCAGCAAAAATTCCTTCCTTTACTACCATCTACACATAAAGGTTGTTCACCCCTGTAAGTTTAAGCAAAATCTGCCATCCGGTTAAAGAGGAGTTGCGTTCACAAAATTTCTACATAGTATCTAGTGAAAAAATCAACAAAGGGCCATAATTCTGTTAAATTTGGTCGCAGCGAAAATTCTTTCCTTTACTACCATCAACACATTAAGGTTGTTCATCCCTGTAAGTTTAAGCAAAATCTGCCATCCGGTTTAAGAGGAGTTGCGTTCACAAGATTTCGGGACGGACTGACGGACGGACAAGTGCAACGCTATATGCTCCCACATTGTGGGGGCATAAAAATTAGCGCAACAGATGGACTTATCTATTGTGAATGGTAGTGCTTTGTGCAGCTAAAACAGTAAAAGTTTGTTTGTACTAGGGGATCAGCTAGGAAAAACCCACATTTGCCGAGTTCCGGATAATATCTATTGCTTAAGATTTTGATTGACTTAGAATTGGATCATAAGCTGGTTAATATTTAACTCTATTTATACCTGTATCTACCATATCCTTTCTCGTGCATATTTCGGAACTGACTAGCCTGTTGCTTGAGGGTTTGAAGCCTTGCTTCTCGGATGTGTGCTGGGATCTCCTCATTTTCAAGTTCTTCTAGTAGTTTCTGAAGTAAAATAAATAAACATGTCTATCAGTTACATCACACTTTGATTACATTACCCCACTAGGTTGAGGATTAAAATTTCTCCTTCAACTGATGGTAGGGAAAAACACTGGCAGAAAAAAAGAGATTTATTGTTTCTGTGGTTAAAGGGTTCAGTGAAAGATATTTTCGTAACATTGCTTGCTGTATGTGGTTTTAATTCTAACAGAATGGTTAAAGGAATGCCCATACCATTTCCTTTACTGTATACAGGTGCCTCATATATCAGAATTACTTTATTAAAAACACACAACAAATGTAAGAATAATTAATTTCTAAAAATATAAAATATTGTAGGAGAGACATTTTAATTATGTTAGACTATTTCATTTAAACTTACAGCAGTGGGTTTAAACTCACAAAAATGATAAAGAATATGAATAAAACAACTTTTAAACAACAGTTTTGCTACATTTAATATTACATTATAATACAGTGAGTTATTTCTCCTTAGTGAAAGGACTGCATTGAAAAATAATTGCTCTCCGACTTATGATCATGACTTTACTTTTACTATAAAAAGCCAAAAGAGTCCAGTGCTCACAAAAGCCACACCTCGCCCACTTCACAAAGACAACATACGTACGATCTTTTAGTTGCTCTGGCTCTAATTAGTCTATTTTGACTATGGCTCTAATATGGTGCACACACAGTACAATTCATCATCATTAATTATATTTTCAAAAGGACCTTCAGTTAAATGTTTGTGTGTTTTATGTACAGTATCAAGGTTACTTTCTGATGTACTAGTAGATGGTCTAGACGGAATTTGGAGGTTACGTACCATGGAGGTTACGTACCACTGCATAAATGTACCATTTTTGGAGGTTTAATACGTACCACTATAGAAATATATAATAAAGTGATAATAAGGGATAAGGTGTGAAACTATCAGGTTTATTGTTCAAATTGTTTGTGATTTGTTAAATTACTCATTTCTGAATGTGTGATAATCATACATAGATATAGGTAAAACGTTTGCATTTATATTAATTGCTCTTATGTGATTTTTAAAAAGTAATATTAAAGTTATAATTCGGGCTATTTTTTATAATTGTTATGCTCTATATTATTTGTATTTGTATTTTATATAAATTATATATATGGTATCCTCCAAAATATATAAGTGGTACGTAACCTCCAAAAATGGTACGTAACCTCCAGTAATCGTCTAGACCCTAGGCTAGGGCTGTCAGATACATCCATGGTGATCAAATTTAGCAGGTGATTTTTCATTAATCTCATTTCAGTATTGTACATATCCCATTTATTGTAGAGTCACCGTACCAGTGCTCAACCAGTTTTTCACAAAATCACATAAAAACTCTTTCAGAACAAAAGGTTTGCTGGGAAACTTATTTTTGTTACAAAGCTGGACCTTTCAAACTCACAATAAGCTAAAGCGTTTTAATAAAAGAGATTAGGATACAATTTACCACGGAGTTGTATATAGGGTATAAAACCACTATATTTTTCAGACAACCAAACCAGTGCTCGACCAGGTGGTTTTATCTTTATCAGAACTTTTATTTCTTAAAAACAGATATGACTTTTTAAGTTCAACAATTCTATTTCAAAAATAGTTTGAAACATTTATGTTTTAGTGTCTATAGATGAAAATATGAGAGCAAATATGATACAAAGGAAATGCTATACATTGACAAATAAAGTGTTTATAAGAGTTTTGGAATTTGCATATACTGGGGTGTTTGAGATTACTTATTCTCATATTTTTTTTTACTAAATCATTCTGCAAACATAGTTAAGTGTGATAATTGGTGTAATATACAAATTGTCTACGCTTTAAGTGGTGTGTTCCCGATTTTTTTCCGTACAGCTGCCATATTTGTTTACATGTTCATAGCCCCTGCCTTTTATGGAAAGCAGGGTTTTGATAATTTTTGAACACCTTTCCTATGGAAATCAATTGGAGTCATAAAAGTAAAGGCAATTTAACAAAGTATTGTCCACATTTGCCCTAAATTATCATTATTTCAGTGTTTTAAATAGTTTTTACTACTACTTGTATTATAGAATTGTATTTTTGTACTGTTTAATATTGTCTGAAAAATGGTCAATCTTCTACCAAACTTGGAGTACTTGTACATGGTGTAGAGGTTACAGGTCAGGTAAAAATAGCACACACAAACTCCCAGGGTTTTTTCCACTTTAATGCATAAATCATACACAAATAGAAGTATTGGTCGAGCACTGGGCTGGTCGAGCACAGGTACTGTGACTCTATATCAATTAAAATGACAGGAATCAGGACTGATCTGTTTTGATGAAGTTTTTGTTTTGCATTTTTTTGCCTTGGTCCGATTTGATTCAGGACCCAATAATATATCAACTATTTTAGTCTATTCAGGTAAAGCTAAACCAGAAAATTTAACCATTTAAAATTTCTTGTAAGCAAGAAAAATAAATTCGTTGGAAACACATCTTTAAAAAGTATCATAGAATTGATCAGGAAAGAAAATATTACCTCCTCAGCCAGTGATTCATCGTCAAGTATCTCACGAGCACGTCCTGTTGTTGTGTGGGCAGCCATGTCAAAACAAAATATTCCAAGTCACGCAAGGGCTTGTTCACTTTATGGTTGAAGACTACCAAATGTTTTCCTTCCGTTCTTCCAAAGAAACCGGATCTAGAACGGATTTTAGCAATCTGTTTCAGAACACCTTGGTCTTTATCGTAGGAGTCAGGAAATAGAAAATAAATGTAAACTTGTCATTTTTATAAAAATAGTGCCCTTTCTTTTTAAATTCTTCGGTATTTTTTATTAAGAAATTTAATTTTGTTATATTAGTTACTTATTCCAAATGGTTCTAAAACTTAAGCATCCTGTATCATCAAGATTTTGTTGCTGAACTTGGCTTCAGCAGTTCAGTCAAGAAAGTGGGAGGAGATGTTCATCAGTGTTCATGCAGTTTTGGCTCATAGTACTTATATGTTGTTGTTTAAGTTTATTTATACCACGAGAGAGCATCTGTACCTTGCTGTATACAATCGGAAGCGTCTTGTCATACAGTCACTCACTTGATGTAAGATGGTAGTTCCTATGTCTCAAAGACCAATCTGGAGAGTTGTCAACAATCCCACAGACACTCAGGGTTATGCGCAAGGCTCCCCTTCTTGATCCGCACTTGTATACACCATGTCTATTTTTATCTTGCAAACCGTACGTCAAAATACTTTTGCATATTATTACGACCTGGTCACATGTCTTGAACTAGCTTAAGGTCTTCAGCGTACCCGTTTATATATATGACATGACGTGAACGCTGAAGATAACCCCGTAGGGAAAGTCCACCAATAATCGTGCCAGGAATCTGACACGCTCATATTTATTTATCGAACATGCCACGAAGTAAAGTGAAGCATACCTTGATAAAACGATATATAATCTGTTGATAAGCCAAGGATGGACACATAAAAATCTTATTAGGAACATAAACTACCTAATAGTTTCCGACAGGTAAAAAATTCGGCACTTGGCCGCCATATTGCCAAAATGTTTGACCACGTGATTACGAGATTGACCTTTATGAACCCATGTGCCTCCAATATTTTTATAGATAACTTTTTTTTAAGATGTTGAAAAAGGTTATTTACTTACTGTTATATTCAATAAAATCATATTTAAATACTAAAAAATTTATGAAAATAAATAAAAACATTATCTTGAATAAAAATATCGAAATCATGTCAACAAAATGTTCTAAATATAGTACACAACTCTATTCAAATCTGTTCCCGCGAATGACGTCACACGAGGTCTCGCGTGACACTTGAATGTCATGGCCGACTGTAGTCGGCGAAAATTGATGTTTTACAGTTAAATAGGCAATTTTAATGACGGTATTAATATTTTATTACTTGAATTGGTATAGAACGATATTTAAATAATTGTTTTACCGTAAAATGCACAAGAATTGATCGGGTCAAGTGTATTTGCAAGTGAAAAACAAGAATAAATCAACTTAGGTTATTCTGGTTAGGTTTCGTAACGGGTCTAATCCAAAACTTTAATGCCGCATCTGATGAAAAACAAAAATGTTAAAAAGCGGCTTATAAAGTTTTGGAAGCCAGAACTAGTCTTGAACATAAAACTTGTTTTCCTCTATTTTGACATCATTTTAAAAAGCCCCTTAAATATATCATAATTTCATTAAGATACCAACGTACAATTTCCTTTGATGTGAGAGGACTGGAATGAGTTTCAGCACTGTTTTGCGTTTTCGTTTTCCTGCCGAGAACCGGACATAATTCTCTAATAAATAAAACACGTGCATTTCTTTACACGGAATCATCACATCCTGAGGAATTTCATCCAGCCAGTTTTATAACCACGTGAAATTATAAAGAAACATAATTCAAGTAAAATGAAATTTGAATAATGAATGTATAAGTCTTAACGAAAAAAGATATAAAATTGTTCTATATTTTTTATTGTTTACCTTGTATTTTCGTTTCCGAAAATATAGGCCATGCGCACGTGTATGAGACAATAACAACGTACATTTTCATTCATTAAACTTTTTTTACGAAATTTTCTGTTTCCCTATTAGGTGGGGGAAACATTTGAGTAATTTTAATAAAAAGTAAATATGCAAAGCTTGGAAGAAAGGTATTATCTCATAGTAACATATATTTATTTATTTAGAAGAATAAATACCTCGACTGATTTACACAAGAAAGAAATAGCATGCGATAACATAAATGCTTGAAATTCATGTAGGTCAGTTGTGTTTTCATTTCGAAGCTTGGTATCTAGGAAATTGAAGCGTTGGTAAAAAAATTGACTTTTTAAAACATTATGAAATTCTGTTCAAACTTGTTCATGTGTTAGACACTTCACCGTCTTATACTCTTATGTAAACAAAAATGAAACCAATTCTTGTAATAAATAATACTAAATTTAGTTTTTTATATTCAGGGGCGGAGAAGGAGGGTGTCTATACTCCAAGTATCTGTGAACAATCCAAGGCAAAATAATTTCAGCTGCGCTTCGTAGGGTCACACCCTCCAGAAACATACATGTGATATCCCGGCGGGATTTAAAAAAATCTGATATTTCAACACTGATCCTGATTTTCTATATTACAGCTTGAATTCCCGATATAAAAATTAACATAAAAAATCAAACATGGCACCTGTATCTAAAATGTTAACCGTGCCTCCGGGCATTGATTTTTATCTGTGCATGCGGATTAAATGTTGAGTTGCCAATTGACAGTAAAGAGACATAATAAACAGTTCCATCACCAAAAGTAATTCTCACATGCTTCACTTAACACGTGTTGTGTGCTCAACAATTTACATCCTTTATAATTTGGCAGTGGGTATTACACGCAACTTCATCAAAATGACCTTGTAATTTTACATGAGGCCAAATATATCTGGTTCAGGAAGCATTGGCCCCAAAATTAGGAGGGTAGGGATTTTCATTGTTTTTTTTGTTTTTTTCATATTTTCAGATGTGTTGCTTGCATAACATACTTACACAGAGATTGTAATCAATCAATGCAAACACCATTTTGTAACTTCCAGCATAGTGTGTTTCACTGCAGTCTCAATATGAATGGTATTGGTAAAGAATTATATTAAAATGATCAATGTCAAAAAATTTCGTATCGAAAATCCAAAAAAAGGTTTAGGGTCAGCATTAAAAAAATAGGGTAGGTCGGGTTCCCTGAACCGGACATATATTTTAATTTGGCCTGAGCAGAATGAAATCAGGACTGCCTTTGATTTTCTTTGATTAGTGCAGCACTGATAAAAATTAAAGGCGACAGAATCATTAAACTGGAGCCCTCCAAAATTACATTGTACAATCCAACAGTTTTTGACTGTATGACCCTAATAGTTGTAGAACAGTCTGGTTTGAATTTATGAGTATATAAGGTGCATATAAATGCTCACTGCAATAGATTGAGCTTTGATCTTGTAAAATAGGATATGTGAATTTTGTAGCCAATGTTGGTGAAAGTACATGTGTATTTCCATTCCAGAATGTTGAGCATTTTAGTGACACTGTGTAATTGTTGACATGATGGAACATCTGCTGACCTCTTCACTCTTTTCAATTTTTTTCTGGAATTTATTTTTTGCCAGGGATGCCAAACACTAGAACATTATTATATTCCAGTTGGGGATGGACATAGGTGTTGTAGGCTTCAGTTTTGACCTGTTTGTTGTTAGATTTGACATTTCTTAGAATGAAATGAAGAGGATGTTGCTTTTTTAAATTTAGGATATATTGTTGATGTGTTTGGAACAAATTAGATATGAGAATTTTGACACTTTAGAATTTTGACTCTGTAGCTGATGACAATTTAGTATTGTGTAGCCAGTTTGGGTTAATAGGGATTCCTCTTCTTATGTGTCTTTGACAAGTCTGTTTAGTTGAATTTACCTTATATATAAGCCGCGTCACGACAAAACCAACATAGTGCGTTTGCGACCAGCATGGATCCAGACCAGCCTGCGCATCCGCGCAGTCTGATCAGGATCCATGCTGGTCGCTTACCAACCCTTTTACAAGATGAGAAACTGATAGCGAACAGCATGGATCCTGATCAGACTGCATGAATGCGCAGGCTGGTCTGGATCCATGCTGGTCGCAAACCCATTATGTTGGTTTTGTAGTAACGCGGCTCATATGAATATGAAACTGAATGAGAGTAACACAAATTCGTTTTCGCCTTGTTTAACTTGACAAATACTTATTTCAAAATTATATCTTGAGTATTATTTGAAAGGGCAATTATTTAAACAAAATTCTATACTATTAAAGCAATAAAGTATTATTACAGCTGATAAAATTGCCTACTTCAGTGCAAAACTTCTGTCTGAATCTTTGGTGCTATACAAGTCCCCTATAATATGATGCATAAATGTAAACTTCTTAAAAGTACAGACTTATATCAGGAGTCCTGTAATATGTTGCCCAAGTTGTATGTTTGTTGTCTGAGTTTGGGATTTATTTGAGTTTGAGATTTACCACACCTTACAAGCAGTTTTAAAAATATTGCTTGTCTGTACACAAGTAACATATCCATAGTAATCACACACTTATTGATTTCATCTTAATAAGTGTGGGTGAAGAGGGCACAGGAAAAATGGGTTTTAGTAATAAATATGTTCATGCATATAAACTGTTCACTTATTAACTTGTTTCCATTACTTGTCACCTATTTTCTGTTATTTCAAATATTTGATGACTCGTCAGAGATTCATTCTAAGCATAAGTTTGGTTATAATGTATTAGTGGACATTTTGACATTTGACCCTCCTAGCAGTTTGGTGACTTTACCAGGAGTTAAGCATTTTAAAAGTGTTCCTACAGTAGGTGGGCTGAGTTTCTTTTGAATGATACATTATTTTTAATAAACTTGTCAATTGACAATTTCTCTTTGCATTTCTCATATGACTTAAGTACGACAGTTTGACAAACTCATAGGTTGATGAAAAATCCAAACCCCTTTATAGACCATCAATACTATGACTTTGATAATTACCATTCAGTATTTTTTTATTTACAGATTTATACAAGACTAGTGTCTGGTGTTCTATGACAGCAGTTTAATAGACGTCAAGAGATGGCATCCATCTTAGACCAGTATGAGAATGCTCAGGCATCTTATACCATGCCAACCTCACGCAGTATACCAGAACCTGTAAGTTTACTGTTAATTCACTTATATTCGTGGGCATGAAATTTCGTGGTTTTATCAAAACGGGCATTTTCATGGGTTCTTAAATTTGTAGATCTTCAATTTTTTTTTAAAAAAAAATAAAATAAATAACCTAATGCAAAGTAATCTTACACTTAATCGTCGCGCATTTTACTTACCCCATGAACATATCTTTACGTATCTCAGAGCGCTTGTCAATAAATTTAATCCCTGCCTCTGGACATGCATTACACAAAAATCGGCCAAAAAGCGCTGATGCATGTTTGTAATATATAGAATAGAGACATGGCAAGAAGTATTTGTTGGGATAAAATTTCGTCGGATCTTAAATTCATGGATTGACCTACCCACGAAAACCACGAAAATTCGTGCCCCACGAATAATAATGATTTTACAGTATTCCGTATTGACATTGAAATAACATGCTTTCAAAGCTGTGCAGTAGTTATATGTTAATAAATATAAGAACCAAGCAGCTGTATTGTAATTTGGCTGTGTAATGAATAATAGCCAAGAGAGCTGAATGTCACCTTAGTGCAGTAACAGGTTAACTCCTATTAATTTATATAAGGGGTTAACCCTTTACTGCACTAAGGTGACATGAAGCTCATTCACAACAGTACTGATTATGATTGTGAGTCCAGAACTTTATGATAATGAGGTAACTTAGCTTGAGACCGACTATTTGACCTATTTAGTGTAGGTTGAGTCTAACAAATATGCATGATTTTACAAAATATTGGCAAATTATTATGAATTTTTAACTAAAGTATACAGTATACAAAATGTATGTTTAATTTGATATATTGCAATGATTGTAGAGTCAGTCTTTGCAGGATATGATTTATACTTAAGTTGTTACAGGATATGTTTAGATGATTATCTAAACACCATCAATGAATTAGATTGTTGTATATAGTTACACATTAAGAAGAATGTAAGTGACAGAATAGTTTGATTAGTTTATACTGATTTCATTTTAAAGTGACTTTATGCTCATATTTTCATAGTCGAGTTGAGCTGAATTGACTCCATATTCCAAAAGATTGACTGGTAAAATGGTGTTTGACCAACAGTTGATATTGGAAAATGTTCAGGATATAATTATAAATCTGTCTAATATATAAAAAGACTGCCCCACACTTTTTATAAATTTAGCGTTATAGGTAAATTCTAATAGATATTTACAGAAATTTTATTTGGATTGTTTATGGGAAGTAAATTATTAAATTAAAAGGAATTACTGCAGAATGAAGTCTTATTTTGATATTCACATGTTCACTCACTATATACCCTCAGATAGGCATAATGTCACTTTAATAATATTGTGTAGGAAGCTAGACACACCCTCGAATGTTCTTGGAACCAACCTATACTGTCAGATCAATATGTGTAACATTATTTGCTCAAGGAAACCAAAGCTTTTCCCTGACTGGGTTTGAACCAAGCAGCTAGCTTTAGATTACTAGTCCAAGGTATAAACCACCTGCGCATGGCACCATTCTAATAGTTTGTGTGTCTTAAATGTGTCATTTAGAACCAGTTAGCTCCATTGGTTTAGCATTAGACTGTGAATCAGTCAACAAGAGGTTGATTATTGTATAGTGCAGGTTACTTTCAATTTGATAACTTTACTGAAATCTTTCTTGAAAATTATTATACTTTTCTAATTCATGCATGTACAAGTATTATAAATGAGCTGCGTCACTACAAAACCAACATAGTGTGTTTCCGACCAGCATGGATCCAGACCAGCCTGCGCATCCGCGCAGTCTGATCAGGATCCATGCTGTTCGCTTACCAACTCTATTACAAATAGAGAAACCAATAGCGAACAGCATGGATCCTGATCAGACTGCGCGGATGCACAGGCTGGTCTGGATCCATGCTGGTCGCAAACCCATTATGTTGGTTTTGTCGTGACGTGGCTCAAATGTTCTTTTGTATTTTAGCTTGGTCCGGGAATTATTGATGCAAGGTTTAATGAGGAGGATACACCTATATTCACAAAGAAGAAAATTAATTTCAAGTAAAATCATTTGTTTGTTGTTTTCTTTTTAATTCATGAATAAGTAAATTTGCCACTTTACTGGTGCCTCTGTTGCAAATTAATCAACTTACCAGTAACTTCTCATGTTAGAATTGTGTTGATGTATAGTATAGATTAAGAATACATGATCAGAACTACCTGGGGATTCATAATGTTATCTTCAATTGTAACTGCTTTGGGTTATGTATGAATTGTAAATTTTAAAATCTATGCTAAATAATGTACCTTGTAATCTGTTAGTCTTTTTAAATGGCTCAGTAATGTATGAATTATTGTAACCTAATGCTCCAGTATTAAAAAAATCAAGAAGGTAGGATAAGGAATATTTGGTCAATAATACAGTAAAAAGCCCTCCGTTAGAAAATGGCAATAGGTGGAAAACTGAATGAATACTAGACTGACAAAAGACAGTGGTTTTCTCATTTTATTGGGAAATGGCTATAGCCTGTTGACTTGGGAAAAAATATCACTAGAATTGCTTATTTCAGAAGTACAAAAGCTAATGTAAGTTCAGATATATTTGGAAAAACTGCATAATTTAAATGAATATTTTTACTGTAAAAAAGGCCTTTATATACTGTAATTATTAAAAAAAACTTCAACAACAACAACAGCAATATATATGTATAAATTACAGACCAGAAGAACCTATCACACATCTTGCTGTATGTAACAACTTTCTGGTGATGGCAATGTCACATGGTGTCATCATGAGACTTGATCTAGAACATGCTGATGAACAAGAACGTAATGTATTTCTTGTATTTTTAACATATAATATCAGGTGCTTTATAACATCAGCATATTGCTTATAACCAAATACTTGAGGCGATTTTGTGTCGTACATTTGTATTATGCATGTATTATATAGTGAATGCAATGTTTACTAGATTCAGTACTTGAGTACTCAGACATTATACAAATCAAGTACCAAGTAAATCCAAGTTACTCAGAAGATCATTTAGGAATTTTAAACTGTGTTAGTACTGTGTTTCTGTAACACCTGTCACTAGAATGAAGACAGTAATTTATTATAATGACATCATGCACAATCAACTTTCTTTGTCCATTTTGATACTCTGAATTGTCTAGTCCAGGAAATGTGAAATGGTGAATTTTTAGAGAAATGTCAAGAGGGGGGCAGGGATACAGATAATACTATAATAAGTAATAAGGTCTGAAATGATTTGTTTATCTGTAAAGTGGAAAGATGACAGTAGGGTTAGTGTCTTCATATAACATTTAAAATGTCTTAAAAGCAAGGCTATTAATACTGTTATTAATACTTTTGGGAATTTCCCATGTACATGTGTATTACTTGAAGTAATAGAATGCTTATTCCTGTCTCCCCCAAAAAAAAGTTCAAACATTTAACTTAAAATAAAGGTACACTGCAGTATTATTCTAATAACTGGCATCTTTTTTATGACACATTACCTATAGAATATACATGTGATAAATCAACTTTATTTTTCAGGTGTGGAGATATTTAAGAAAGGTGAAGAGAAAGTACACAAGATATTTTTGGATCCTACTGGGAGACATTTAATCATCAGTCTTGATTCCACGGAAAATTTATATATATCTAGAAACTCCAAGAAGCCTAAACCTATTGTGAAATTAAAGGTAGCGATATAGATTACTAAAATATTAGAGATATATAAATTGCTGGTAAATGGTCTGGGTGAAATACATTTTAAATATGGTTGGAAATTTTGGTTAATTTTAAGTACATGTATATACATTTGAGCATGTTATCAAATGGTGATTTTATTCTAGTTATTTTCAAAATTGAAGAGGGGCTTAAGTTGCAGAATTGTTCTTCTGACTCTTGTGTCCTGCTATGTGTCTATGTGATATATTTTGTGTGTGTCAGAAAGCTATTGAGATAGGTTAGTGATAATTGTTGATGACGGTCTGCTTGTGCATTAACTGAAATGATAAACAGAGGATTGCAGAGATATTTTTATTTAACACTATAAAGTCGATAAGATGTTTGCAAAAATAAATAATTTATCATATTCTTTTAGGGTTATCATATAGACAGTGTTGGATGGAATTGGCAAAATGCCAATGAAAACACAACAGGGGCAATTCTTCTAGGAACTAGTAAAGGTATGTTGATGGTTTGAAAAATGAGAATCCATCTTTTGAGGTGCCTTTTTATTGAACCGTCCCTTAAAATATTATACAAAGACATTAGATAAACTTGTGACTAACATTCAAATGTTCCAATATTGAATGTGCACTCCATCGATTATTTGCATTTTCAGTGATCTTTTGTTAAATTTGTGAAATTCAATATCTTCCTAAATGTCACATAATACTTTATCATTAGGACCACAATGAAAATAAGAGTTTGTTTTGCATTTTTTATATAATCCCTGATATGATCTAAAGTTTTCTTGTTTCTATTTTGTGATCTGCCATGTTATCTCATTGTATATTAGAATGAAGTAATCTATCCGATTTGGAAATATATCTTGTATGAGTTGTGTTTCCTTTCATAACTGCATATTTTAACTCTTAAGTAATTGTTAATTTATCCGCCTTCCATTTTCCTTTATTCTCAATTTTATGGATGTCTGGATCAAATTTGAGATTGATAGAGTGTGATCAGACTGGACTGATAGGCAGGCTGGCCTGGCCGTTCTATACAGGTGGCATAATTTATAAATTTTGATTCCAATATGGCAAATTTGCTTAAATTTGTTGTTTTTTGTGCTTTATTTTTCTAGGAAATATATTTGAGACAGAATTATCAGCCAATGATGATAGTAGATTTTGGCAAGGAAATCTTGATCAGTACTTGAAACAGGTATATATTTATTTTGTATTCAATTGTTGTGTTAACTGCATGTATAATATTTTGGGGGTAAAGGTCACTGACTTTAAGTCACTTGCTCCTCACTGTTGTGGGCTCGTATCCCGCGAGGGATTTGGATACTTTCATGTGACGACACTATCCAGCTAGCATATGGAAGGTTGGAGGTTCTACTCAGGTGCCTGTTAGTGCCTATATCATGCATGAAGGGGCATTTGAGGTCTCCCTCCACCATTTGGATAGTCACAATATGAGTGTGACTTAAAATGGAACAGTTTAGCAAGCAAACTATAGAGTTTTATCTTATAGAAATTAACATTGATTGAAGAGGTCAAATTTGTATAATTGGTAAAAATTTTGTGTATCAGATTTTTTTCCAATTACTAACTCTTTGCAGTTACGGAATAAAAATGAAGTGAACTTTTCTTTTACTATTGTTTCTTGTTATAAATTTAGTCTATTTCATTGTCAGTAGCAATGTTTTTTTTAATGTTTATCAAATTTAACTGGAATTATGTTAAAATATAACATTTGCTTTCTCAGTTTTTAAACCGACCAGTAGAGGTAACATTTTAGTATCATGGAATGTTTATTGTTGTCGTGCATTTAATTTTCTAGTCTTTTGTCCGATAGTGAAAATATTCTAAAAGATACATTATGTATTTTCCATACTGTGTTGTTTGAATATCTATAGTTTGACAGTCTTTTAAAATATTGTTGTTGTGATTTTGTGAATTTTTATTTATACATGTATGTTTATTTTATCTTAGTAGGCTTTTATTCTGAATTTGAAACTTCTCTAAAGACCTGTATGTATAAAGCTTAAAGCACCACTCCTCCAGATTCATGCTAATTTTCATGAAAATTTTGAAAATGTGTTTGAAAGTATAATATTGTGAAGTAACCAAAATGAAGCAATATACACATTATCAATGGTGCTTACAACCCACATTAATTACCAAAAAGTGGTCAAAATATATATAAATAGCCCTTACTGCATTAGTAACTCAGAAGATACTGAAAAATCAGTTGATTTTATTGAAATATTTTGACTCATCTGGAGGCATGTAGGTTTAAATTGTCATTATGTATTGTGTAATGTTTTTTTTCCCAATCATTTTATATGCATTTTCTTTCTGAAATGAGGAAAAAGAGAGTACAAATTTGCTAACGGTTGCATTTGTTAAATTAAAACTTTGTCACTTGGAAATTTTTCTTTGAAATAATAATAATATACACTGTATCTCTGTAGTTAATGGTGTATAGATATAGAGGATATTTGTTTAGTTCAGTGTAAGATCGGAATATATTTCACCGAGTGAGCACCAAAAGGTATATTTCACGAGTGGCGCAGCCACGAGTGAAATATGAACTTTTGGTGTTCACAAGGTGAAATATATTATGATCTTACACTAAACTAAACAAATTTTCTTTTTATTATATGCAAATAAACGTTTTAAAAAGACATTAAACCTAATACTGAATGAAAAGCGCGCCAAATAATAAAACAACGTGACGTCATTTACGACGTCACGTCATTAAGCTGGTACCCAGTACTGTGCACGCTGGTATTTCACTGAAACAACGTTAGGGGCTTAAATTCAAAACAGTGAAATTATCAAAGTGGTAATTTCACTGTTTCAAACAGTGAAATTACCAGTTTTATATCACTGATATATTTCTATAAACCACCGAAAAGCATGTAATAAATGCATGTACCTTAGGGTTAGGGGTTGACTAGTGATAGAATGTCTTAGTGTTAACAGAGAGATTGTTGGCTGAGTCCAAATGGAATCATACCCATATATTTTCTCATATAACTGTATTCTAGCATATTAAGCCTTGTTACAGCCCACCTTTGGGACAGATATTGGAAACACAATAATGACAGATATTATTGCTATGGGTTAGTTCAGGAAGTAGAGCAGTTTAAAAAAGTTTAAAGTTTTAATCACATTTAATTAAATGTAGTAAAACTATCAAAGTTGGTGACTTAGAGAATGAACTAAATGTAATATCTTGGTATATTTGTAGCTTTTTAACCTGAAAGGAGCCCATGGTGAGCCAATCACTGGTATAGAATTTGACAGAATGCCTTCAGATTCAATGACTGAATACCAGTACTTTATTCTAGTCACTACACCAGGGTGAGTTACCAATAATTATTGATTTTTTTTTAATTATGCAAGGGACTTAAAAAACAGAAATATTGGAAAATGCTTTTGAAACCTTATTGAAGTTTATTGGTTTTACAGAGTCTCAGAATTAACAATATTTCACCATGTTTATATAACTAATGATATTTTCTTTCAGGAAATTATACCAATTCTTAGGAAGTGTTTCAAAGACATCAGAACCACCAATGTTTCAGCAACTTTTCCAACAGTTTGAAGACCAGAATCAAGGTAAGTTGTATATCCTGGAATTAAAATAAATACTTAAATAAGACAGTAACCTATATTAAAAATGAACATGGGCTGCTTAAAAGTTTGTTCTTTAATTACAAGGTTATGATAGATTTGTAAGTGAAAGGTTTATTTACCAGTATTAGCATGTTAGATTTGTTAGTTTTTTGTGCCAGTTTTGATAATATTTAATCATTTGAAGATAGTTCAGGTACATAGTGAGTGTGTCTGGATTCTAAACAATCACTAATATGTCTGTGCAAGTATCTGCAATATTTAGTTACTACTAACTTGTTGACATATGTCATATTAAGAGTGTGATGCTATAACTTGGGATATATACATGTGCTTTAAAATCTTCAAAAACTGTAAAGTCATGCTATTTTCATATTCTGTAGTTTATATATGGTGAAAATTTATAATAAAAAAAAGTTAATATATTTCATGCACATAAATTTTAATAAGATAAAAAAAACACAACTTAATAACATGATATTCTGCTGCTATTTTTAGAAGGTTTAATTATACCAGCTGCATTATCTGAGGTTTTCAAACATTTTTCTGTCAGGTGTGTATCATATAATATGGAATATTTTAGCGTCATATGGAAGTGAAAGTTCACTTAGGGTGACATGTTTATCTCCCCTTGACAACAGAAGGAAATCAGGTCTGTACTAGGTACATGGTCATTAAATGTTGGAGCAGTATCCTCTGTCCCTTTGTTTCTGTCAAAGTTTGATAACCCTTTACTACCTTTGTCATGACCTATACAATGATTATCTCCCCTTACAGCTGTGAAAGACAACTCACAAGGAAATGTTGGAGGTAATGCAGGGAGAAAATTCTTTTAAATCTTTTTTTTTTCTGGTGAAAATTGAAAAGATGCTTTTGATAATTATATTGTTTTACTAACAGTTACAAGGACATGCTTGCTTGGTGAAAAAAGTGGAGCCATTTACAGCTATTTTGGGAAAAGTAGCCAAGGCTTTAATTGGGAAAAATTACATAGTATTTTGGAAAAATTTAGAAATTTTGATAAGTAATAAATTCCCTACTTTGCATGTGACTTTTAACTTTTATTCATGTGAATGATATCACATCTTGTCACTTCTTTTAAGAAGTCATTTTGGATTGGGAATATGGTCTAATAGCAGTCCCATGGTATTTGGGCGCCTGATGAAAAAATGCCTTGTAAAGAGTTGGTAAATTTTTATGCTCCCCGAAAAATTTCGGGGGAACATATAGTCGTTGGGTTGTCCGTCCGTACGTACGTACGTCCCGAATTCGTGTCCGGCCCATAATTTTGTTATTTGAAGTCAGATTTTAAAACTTTTTCACAGAAATGATCACCATATTGAGACGACGTGTCGCGCGCAACATTTTGCTCGCTACCTTGAAGGTCAAGGTCACAGCATGACCTTGCAGCAAAATTGTGTCCGGTCCATAACTTTGTTATTTGAAGTTGGATTTTAAAAATATTTCACAGAAATGATCACCATATTGAGACGATGTGTCGCCCACAACATTTGGGTCGCTTCCTTGAAGGTCAAGGTCACAGCATGACCTTGCAGCAAAATTGTGTCCGGCCCATAACTTCGTTATTTGAAGTCGGATTTTAAAAATATTTCACAGAAATGATCACCATATTAAGACGACGTGTCGCGCGCAACATTTGGGTCGCTTCCTTGAAGGTCAAGGTCACAGCATGACCTTGCAGCAAAATCGTGTCCGGCACATAACTTCATTATTTGAAGTAGGATTTTACAACTATTTCACAGAAATGATCACCATAATGAGACAATGTGTCGCGCGCAACATTTGGATGGCCACCTTGAAAGTCAAGGTCATGGCATGACCTTGCAGTAAAATCGTGTCTGGCCCATAACTTCATTACTTGAAGTCGGATTTAACAACTATTTCACAGAGATGATCACCATATTAAATCCACGTGTCGCATGCAACATTTGGGTTGCTACCTTGAAGGTCAAGGTCACAGCATGACCTTGCAGCAAAATCATGTCCGGCCCATAACTTCGTCATTTGAAGTTGGATTTTACAGCTATTTCACAAAAATGATCACCATATTGAGACAATGTGTCGTGCACAACATTTTGGTTATTTTTACACTTTGAACTTTGTCTGTGACATAACTCTGACACTACAAGAGGTATACCTTCCTGTGTCCAAAACCTATTCGGGGAGCATCACCCGGTTCAACCGGCTCTTGTTTAAATTTATCCAAGTTTTGTTGCATGTTTAATGCATTAACAATGGCTGTGATGGTTTAAAGGTTAGGGTTGCCTGCTTCTCAATTCAAGGGTCAGGTGTTCCAGCTTTACATATATTGTGATTATGTTTTCTTTTTATATGACACCAATAGTGGATAGACCAGTAAGCTGCCTTTTGAGTTTTTTTAGCTGAGATAAAAAACATCTTTTCATTCAAGTTGAAATAATAATGTTAAATGCAATTAATTTTATTTTTTGGGCTTCTCTTTATGGTTCACAATCATTATTTGTATATAATAATGATAATGTCTATATATTTTTTGTCTCTATAACACTGTATTTCTCTTAGTATAAGTACTAACTAGTGGACAATGTTCATACTTGTTGAAATTATTAAGAAAATGGAATTTAGGACAGACCCCCTTAGTTTGTAAAAAGAAATATTGTATATGTACATGTATATATGTACATGTCTTCCTCCACTAATGTTAAGCTGGAAAGTTGCCATACAATGACCATTTCAGTATTGATATGACTTATAATTAAGATTTTTTTTTTACTTTAATACCTTAAGTTAAAAAAAAAAAAACATGTGAAAAAACGAAATAAACCTTTCAGTTAAGACTACCTGCAAAAGAAATTGTAGGCTTTGTTTACAGGTGGTTTTATTAAACTGGATGAAAGTAATTTTCTTATGTATTAATTTACATTGTGTATCTATTTTTATTTAGTACAATACCAAGAGTTGCCGGGAGATTTTGGATATAGTGAATTGCGACTGTTTTTCACCAAGTTCCGAGAATCTGCCAAGAAATTTGCTTGGATGACAGGTACTGTATACATTGTGTATTAATGTACTGCTTTGGCTCAAAAAATATAGAATTAGGAACATTTGGAAAAAAATTTGATCAATCTGATAACCACTTAAGTTAGTATTCATGACTTATAAGTACTTTGGAAGACTAGAATTAAAAAAACACAACTGTACTGATGAAGGTAATCAACCCTAACCACTATGATATAACCCATGCAATATTTTTGCCAAGACTGTGAAATAAAATCACTGAGGGTGTATTATAACTAAATTTTAATTTTTGGATTAAAGATTTCAAATGCCATCAAACTTGCATGCAACATATATATATATATATATATATATATATATATATATATATATATATATATATATATATATATATATATATATATATATATATATATATATATATATATATATATATTGTTATATTTAGAAACTAAAGAACCCCTACTGATAATTTTGTGTTCTTATTCTATTATCATTTGCTTTAAATATTGCCACTAACTCTTTTAGTGTTAAAAAGTTAAAGGATACAATGTGGTTAAATTTGCTTCATTATTTTTATATATGATGATGTACTATTTACAAATCTTAAAAAGTTAAATAAAATCATTGTTTTGTACTTTAGGACCTGGCGTATATTATGGAGATATAGATACAAGTGGTAAACTAGGACCATACTCTGTTACATGTAAACAAATGTTGATGAGATATCCGAAAGACTCCGATGAACGAGGTGTTAACACTCCATTCTCTATGGTACTCACAGAATTCCACACTTTGCTCCTCTTCTCTGACAGGTGCATATAATTATTATTCTCCAGTCTTTAATATGTTGAATATGTGTGTTCAGTGTTCAGGACCTTTTCTGTTTTGTACATCATCAATTTAAGGGATATAAGATTGAAATTTGAAGCTAGTCAGCCATATGTATAGAGTCTTGGATTATGTGCTATCATTTTAGGGAGGAATATAAACAACTTGTACAAGACATTAGTGCATTTATTTCTTAAATATGTTTGTACCCATTTTAGAAGTTAAACTGTAAGAATACATTTTATCATTAAATAAAGGGTTTCATATGCTAGAAATGATTCTTTGAAGGTTTGAGAGCTGTAAATGCTCACTGGCTGGAACTGAAAAGATAGTTTCTTTAATGTAAAGTTTTTAAAATGATAAAATCAAATTTATTTTCAGATTGAAAGCATTTTGTTTGTTAAATGAGCAGCAGATATATGATGAACTCTTCACAGATGTAAGTTGCTTTTGAATTGCTTATAGGGTGCAGTTGTTCAATGTGTCCAGGGTTTTCTTTTTTATTGCCTATGAGGGAGCAGTGATCCAGTGGTAGGACAAAAGCGTTTTGATTCAGGTGTCCAATATGTGTGTTCTGTCACGGACACTGCTTATTTTATTGAGCAAAAAACTTTCTCTTCATGGGTTAGCTTGTGCAAGCTGTAAAAAGGTATTCAATTTGATGGGAAGGTATATTTTTTTGTACTGTGGGCTTAAAGAAGTGAATTGGATGACTTCTTAGACAGATTGGGGTAAGGTTTGGGCGTGAAGAAAGCCGCTAGACCTATGATATTTCCTATGGAAGGGAATTTACACTGTATAATATTTTACTCTTGAATTCTAAAATTTGGTTTGCTTTCTGTGAAATTGAGTGATTGAGACTTTACGAAAATGGAATTGTTTTTATGTGTGATAGATTTGTATTTATTAAATCACTGATTATTGTTCAATAGATAGCAAACCTGGTTAAAAAAATGTTACCTAACATAAAATTTTTAACAGAAGTATTAAACGAAAATATTGTAAGAGATGATGTCTGGTCTTATGCATTTGTAGAATGGACATGTTGATATACTTGCAAAAAAATATCAAAATGTTTAACTGGAATGTACAGATATTCTTCACATAAAGCTCTGTTGTTTAAGTATATGTAATTAGCACTTAAAGAGGTCGAAGATTGATTTTAAATATTAATTAATAATAATTTCAGAGATTTGGAAAACTGATAGGACTTTGGAAAGATCCTCTGAAAGGAACAATATGGGTGTTTACTTCACAAAATGTGTTTAAATATAAAGTCACCCGGGAAGATAGGTAAGCTGTAAATCCTTGATAGGCATATTGTTTTTTATTGATATGGTTTGTTAGCAAGCAGATCTGAGAAATTATCTTTATATATAAAGTCTTTATGTACATGACATCTTCATTTAATGATAAGATAGTTGACTTTAATGACTTAGCCTACATGGTTAAGAGTTTGAATCCTTTCATGGCCTTGGACTTTTTTCATGTATGGAATGTCTCCAGGTAACTTATGAAGGGTTGTACATTCAACTCAGGTGTTCATTTTTACCAGAAATTGTGAATACGTGAGTGCCTGAGGTATTTTACAACAGTAAAGCTGGAAAGTAGCCAAATGACTCTTGCATAGTTTTATGACACAAACCAGAATTTATGACACAAACTAGAATTTATGACACAAACCAAATAAAATGGCAGCAATTTTAAGTGTTCATTTTATACAAGTATTTGTTTTTATTTGCAGGTAATTGTAGTATGCATTCTGTTTATAAATTAATAGAATTTTACTTTATACTTTCATAAGTGGGTAGCTATTGAAATTATTTGAAATTTTAGTTATCCAGTAGTTTTTATTACAATGGAGAAAGGATATTGAAAACCTGTAAAACCTAATTTAATGGTACCATAAAGGATAAGCTTTGGCCACCAGTATAGAGCAATGCCAGCTTTCATATTCATGCAGTCTGACCAGGCTCTATACTATTGGCAGCTCTGGTTTGTTTTGTATTTTGATATTGAAATGCCTTAAACTTCAAGTAGACTTTTCCAAATTCAAAGAGAGGCAAATCTATTACATAAAATTTCAGCAGGTTTATCTTGGAATAGTTACCATACAAGTAAAATTGTTTCACTTTAATTTCCATCCTAAAGTGATAAGGTTTATCTTGTGTTGTAGGGATGTGTGGCAGATGTACTTAGATAAAGGAGACTTTGAACTTGCTAAAGAATATTGTCGAGTAAGTAATATTACATTTTGTTAATTTATATACTAAGTCATTTAAACAAAGGTCATTAGAATATTTATGTACAGTTCAGGACAGAATACTTTGTAGACAGAACACCTTAAATGTTGATATGTATTTTAGGACATATTTTAGGACAGTGATGCAAATTGCAGAAAGAAATTATATGTATATCTATTTCAGGACAACATAGCTCATAAAGATAGAGTCCTAACAAAACAGGCAGAGTATCTGTTCTCTGAGAGAAGGTAAGTGTAATTGTTATATTTGTGAACTTTGTATCTTATGTCAGATTATGTTTTTATTATAATGTGTAAAAATGTGAAAGTATAAAGAAAATACTGTACAACCTCTGTCACAAGCATCATCCTTTGGGGGTTGCAGCTCAGTATGTTTATTTTGCATTTTTATTGCATCAGATGGGAAATTTTGTAGAAAAGTTTCATTTGGGTAAGATATGAAATAAGTTAAAAGTGGATAGGTCTACAATTGGCACATTTTCCATTATTATTTCTAATACTGATTAAAAACAATAGAAATATGAGCCGCGCCATGACAAAACCAACATAATGGGTTTGCGACCAGCATGGATCCAGACCAGCCTGAGCATCCGCGCAGTCTGATCAGGATCCATGCTGTTCGCTATCAGTTTCTCTACTTGTTATAGGGTTTGTAAGCAACAGCATGGATCCTGATCAGACTGCACGGATGCGCAGGCTGGTCTGGATCCATGCTGGTCGCAAACCCACTAAGTTGGTTTTGTCGTGACGCAGCTCAATTATATCATTTTGATATTCTTATGAAAAATTGTTGTTTGAAAAACAAAAAGTCAATCAAGTTTTCAGTGATGTATAATGAACATTTATAGGATGAATAATAATATTTTGTTCAAGAACATTTCATTATCACCTAAATATATGAAATATCCCATCATGTATCTCACACTTGCCAATAATTCTTTGATGGTTTGTAGTTATCTCTAATACTAAATACTATTAAAGTAATTATTCATTGTATTACAGACCTTCCATTATAGACCAATTCACTTTAAGCAATTTTTGCATTCAGTAGAAGAAGTTATATTGTAATTTGAGACAGCATTTCAAGGTAATAGATTGTGTTCTGTTTCAACATGATCACATAAACATGTTTATATTTCATTAATATGGGCATTTTATTTGAGTATATTATCTGTAATGTATAGGTTTCTGGAAAGTGCTGAAATGTACGCTCAAACTCAGAACTCTTTTGAGGAAGTGGCATTGAAGTTTATACGACTCGAGGACAAAGATGCCTTGAGGAAACTCCTACACAAGAAGTTAGAGTCCCTCAGACCACAGGTTAGTTGTTTCTTGCGTTTGTTGATTAGTAAATGATTTAAGACAAAGATGCCTTAATCATACTTCAGGGAATAAAATAAAAAAATCACAAATGCCATCTTATTGCATATCAATACCATCTAAGTGTTTCATGTTAAGAAACTTTCTAATTATCTTTCAGAAGGTTTTGTGGTTTAACCAGGTGCCTGTTTATAGAATATATCACATAAAGCCTATGTGATTGAAGTTTTTATTATTATCATCATGTTTTGACAATAATATGTAAAATGTAAATTAATTTGTTCACCCATCAACAAAACAACATGTAATGTTGAGACTTGTGGTCTATTCGGTAAGTCTAAGGTTGCCATTTCTGATACACTGGCCCTGCTATATTTTTCCAGTAAAGTCCTGCATAGATGGTTAAATTCTAGCAAAGGAGGAAGCAATTTGGCAAGATTATGGACAGTCAATGATAATTTAAAAACACACTTGTATCTGAAATATATTTTGGAGACTTACAGTCAAAGGACATAATTATTCGCCACTTTCAAAATGGCGGCCAATTACGCAATCGTAAGCAACTAAAAGGAGACGGTCATTATAGAATTAAAAGTAATCATCTTACCTCAATATTTTGTCAGATTTCCTTTCATTCTTATTACTTCTTTAATTCTATGTGGAATTGTTCTATAAAGACCTTGTACACGCTCTAGTGATATATTTTCCCATAGATTCTATATGTGAAATTTCGGCAATCAGCTGTTCGCGGGTATGTATGTAATTTACGCGGTGTTTCAATCGTCGTTTGATGTGTAACCAAAGATTTTCTATTATATTTAAGTCAGGAGAATATGCTGGCCATGATGTTGTAGTTACATCATTTTCTGTTAAATAATTTTTTACTAATCCGGCTCTATGAACGGGGGCATTGTCATCCTGGAACACATAGTCATTATTTCCAAAATGCCTTGCAATAACTGGCCATAAATTATTTTCTAACACATCTAAATATTTCTGTGCATTTATATTACCCTCAACAGCAGTCAAAGTTCCAATACCCCCAAAGCATACACATCCCCAGACCATAACACTAAGCTTACCCCTGGGAGCGGGACAAACTAAGTGAGGTTTATATTTTTCGTCATCTTTCCTCCAAATAAAAATATTGTTATTTTTCCCGATCACCACCTGACTTTCATCACTAAAGATCCACTTACTCCAGTGTTCTTCCACAGTCCAATGTTTTCTTTCATTACACCATTTTACCCGATTTTTTCGACTACCCCCACCAACAACCATCCTCTTCTGTACAGCCCTCCTTTTATACCCCAACTCGTGAATTTTTCTTTCAATAGTTTTATCACAAAAAGTTCGATCCATACCTGTATTCATCATATCTGTAACATCTCTCAAAGTCCTTTTCCTGTTACATTTTATAATCCGAGAAAGTTTTGTTCTGTCTCGTTCCGTAAATAATTTTTTTCTACCCCTCCCACTACGATTTTCAACACTTCCATACTGTTGATATTTCTTTATCACACTTTTAATTGTTGATCTAGGAATACCCAGTAATCTTGACAATTCTGACTGATTTTTATTCTCCTTAAAACTATTTATAATCAATTCTCGTACATCCCTACTTAATTCTTTTGTTTTCGGGGCCATTTTTAAAAACGCCCACGAAATAAACTTGTAAACAATGCAGACGAATTATTGACCTGTATATTACGTCACCAAAGACTGATTGAACTTTGGCCCTGTTTACATGAATAATACTATCGGTTATTTATAGCGCGCAGCTTAAATTCTAAGGGTACATGTATATGGTGCGTAGCGCGAACGTCAGGGGTGGCGAATAATTATGTCCTTTGACTGTACCTCGGGTCTTCTATCACAAGAACAGTTTGAAAATTGCCGTTATGCTTGTACTTAATCTATTTGACTGAAACACTTTTCCCTTCATGATAACTTTGGTTAACTTTGTTTGTGGTGGCATGGCCAAGTGGTTAAGGTGTTAAGCTAGTAATCTAAGGATCTCTAGCCACGTGTGTTAAAACCTTATCAAGGGCAATCTGTTGTTTCTTTGAGCAAGAAACTTTACATTTATTGCACAGTACTGGTTGATTCCAGGAAAAGTTTAAAGACTGTACATATAAGATTATATATTCTTACACAATCTAACTATGATAAATTATTAAACTAACTTGAAACAATACCCTTGTTTGTATGATATAGGATAAGACACAGATGACAATGTTGGTCACATGGTTGATAGAGATATATCTGAACCAGCTGGGGGAGTTGAAGGAACAGCAGCTAGAGTCTAGTCCTACATTTAAAAAACTACAAGAAGAATTCCAGACCTTTCTGAAACAAACAAGAACAAAGGTAAGATATTGTAGTGAAAATAAAATGCAGTTATCATGGTTAAATCATCAATAATCTACAGATATGTATTATTGCTAAAATCTTTTTGTAAGTATACTTTAATATTGTCACCATATTACCTAAACAGAGTCAGTGTGATTTGAATATGAATGGGATAAATGTGTCACTAAGTTAACAAATATAAAAATGATTATTTTTTTAGCAGTTTATGATAATTATTACTATCGATAGGTAGAGCATAGTTATTTCAGATTACTTTGTGCGAGGTTTATTACATAACTTGTCTGTCTCTCAAGTATACTTGACTTCCCAGTGATCATTGAGTTAAGCCCTTCTCAAGGAAGAACATTTTGGAATGTGGTTGAGTGGTTTAACTCCGGCCAGGTTTTTAAAAAAAAATTCATGTGAAGAAGCTATCCAGCTAGCTTACTGAACATAAGTGGTTCTATGCAGGTGCCTACTTTTGCCAGAAATAATGCACGGAGGAACACCTGAGGTTTTTCTCCACCAGTAAAGCTGGAAAGTTGCCATATGGCCAAATGCCCTATACAGTGTTATGACAAAAAACAAAACAAAAAATCAACAAAAAACAAATGACCAACAACCATTTGTCTTCATATCTTCATAGTCACCAGTACGGGTATTTTAGGACTCAATGTTGATATATGTTTAACTTATCTTATTAATCAAACGTGAATTTAAATGTTCTTACAATAATTGGTATATATTTTAGGAATGTGTTGTACATAATAAAAATGTTGTGTATGACCTGATATCAAGTCATGGTGATGTGGTAGACCTTGTCTTTTTTGCTCATCTTATGCAAGGTATGTAATATTCAAAGTTAAAATCGTACTACATATTTAACAGATTTGTGGAATATGTCTTAGACCTGATTGGATAAAAGTTGATTTAAAGGGAGACACAGGCAAAATTTTCATTTCTCCATTTTGAATCTTTCATTTATTATTCTGTAAATGTCCTCAAAACAAATACACTAGGCAGTCACAGGAACAAAACTTTTCTCCTTATAAAGAATAAATTGGTGGCTTTCTAACTCTACCCACATGGGTCAGGTTAGAGTGTTAAGATTTCACAATAGTTGTCAAAGTGAACTCTGAAAACGTTAAAGAACATGTCAAATGAATGACTTAGACTTGTTTTAATCATACAATATCAAAAATATCTGTTATTGTTCAAGTCACATTATTTGTTTTAAAACTATTCGGTGATACAGTTGGCGTCTAAATTTCGTTCAACATATAAAGGTATATTTACACTTAAAACCCAAAATACATGTATATAGAATTTATACAGAAAATCATGCTTGGACTTTAAAAAATGTCATTTTAGCGTGATTTGAGTACATAAGATCATTTTAATATTTTATTCATTAATTTGTATCCCTTTAAGATAAAAACACATTTGAAAGACATAACAATGTTCTGCCTCTTTTGATGGCCATTTTCAAGTGTTTGTTCAACTTGAGGGTCAGTCTGTAGAATAGAAAAATAATCTGATTTGCCACTTGCTGTATCATGACAACATGTCTCTTTATATATGCATTAGAATATCATATAAATTAAAAAAAATCATCTTGTATAAACTGCTTCATTTTAAGTTATATGGTTATTCTTAAAAGAAACTATGATTTATTTTGGTTGCACCAATCAAGAAAATTAAAGTGACATTACGCATGAATTTAGTGAGGGAACGGTTTGAGCCGCGTCACGACAAAACCAACATAATGGGTTTGCGACCAGCATGGATCCAGACCAGCCTGCGCATCTCCACAATCTGATCAGGATCCATGCTGTTCACTTACAAACCTTATAACAAGTAGAGAAATTGATAGCGAACAGCATGGATCCTGATCAGACTGCGCGGATGCGCAGGCTGGTCTGGATCTATGCTGGTCACAAACCCATTATGTTGGTTTTGTTATGACGCGGCTCGTTTATATTATGCCATAATTCCTTTAAATTTTATAATTTACATCACAATAATTAACTGAACAATAAATAACTCACATAGTGCTAAGAAGTTTCTATAAGAATCCATCTGGATTAACATTCAATGTAACATTCAATTTATAAAAAAGTGGGACAGTCTTTTTAAATTGTAGGCAGATTTCTATTTTATCCTTAACATTTTCCAATATCAACTGTTGGTCAATCATCATTATATGAAATATATAGTCAATTCAGCTAAACTTGACAATGAAAAAGTGAGCATTATGTCACATTTTAATGTTGATATGATTTATTTACAGATTATGAAAAAGTTATCAGTCATCACATACAATATGATAATTATAGAGGTGCTCTTGAGGTGCTTAGCAAACAGGTAAAGAGTTCAATCTTTAAATTTGCAACTCTCTGTGTAGGTCATATTCTTATATGGTTTGTATTTCAGTTTTGTAACATTGTCACTTTGTTGTTTGACTGAAAACAGACACTTATTTAATATTTGAAAAGTGTTTGAGTTGAATGACTGCCTGAAATATTTGTTGTATGAATCAGCCATTTCCTCCACCAGTTTAGCTTGAAAGTTGCCATATGACCTATACTGTGTTGTTATGATGTAATACCCAACCAAAGAATTAAAATGAATCTGTCATTCAGTGATCAAAACATAATTAAATCAAGTTATTCATTGGAAAAAATATTTCAAAGTGCTTAAGATGCTAAAGTAATTAAAGAATATTTTTTGACATATTGTATGCTTTAAAATCAAATGATATTGTTTGTTATCAGAATGTAGTTGTTTTTTTTTTTATAAAAACAAGTTACATAACTCATATGCTTCTTTTTATACTTTTTAGGAGGATATGAAATTGTACTACAAGTTCTCTCCCCTGTTGATACAATACATTCCAAAAGACACAGTGAGAGCTTGGATAAGCCAGGGGAAAAAACTAGACCCCAAACGTCTCATTCCGGCATTAGTGCAATATGATCATAAAAAATACAGTGAACAGGTGAGAGGTTTTACAGAAATGAAGGAATGTCCTTTTGGAAATATATTCTGTTCAAACACTGGTTCTCAAACATGCAATGTGTGAATGATTAGTACCTGAAACCTTGGACTTATAAACCTTATTTAAGACATTTGTTAGAAATTTTAGCTGGAATAACAGGGGGATCAAACTTGCAAGTCCTGGAGTTGTATTTAGGCAGACATAAGACCACTTCACCTACTCTAGATTGATTCACGATTATATCATTAGTTACAAAGATTTTTGACAGGTTATATAGTTCTATATATAAGTGGTTGTTTATATATATATATAACCTGAGCAGTTAGATGAGGATAATATTGCAAACAACCATTTATTATAGTTATACAATCTGTCAAGAATAATTATAACAAGTACTTTATGAGATGATCATGATTCTCCAATGAAAAATGACGTTACAAACATACAGTATTTTAAAACCACGTGTATATATTTCAGGGTAGTGATGTAATATCATATTTAGAGTTTTGTGTGTATAAACTGAAGAACAAGGACCAGGCTATACACAACTATTTACTATCTCTGTATGCACAATTAAAACCAGAGAAACTTCTAGATTATCTACAGGACCAAGATAAGGTATCAGAATATTTTCATGGTTTTTTTTAAACCTTTATTTTGCAATCTGTAGCATTTTACATCTGAGCTCAAGGAAATTGAGTTTATATATAAATGCAATTAAAAAACATCTAAACAAAATACATCTTGTTTAAGATTGAAAACTTGATGTTTAGCATCATTTTATGCTCAATCCCATAGCATTGATATATCAGCTTACAAATACAGGCATCAGTGATAACAGATCACTGCAGTGATGAAGCAGATCTGAATGATTATTATGGTTCTTGTCTCAAAAGCTCTTGAAACCCCAGTCTCCAGGTAATGAGACAAACCTCTTCATCATTAGGCCATCCATCACTCCTTGATGTTACTTCAATTGATATGTTAAATATGCAAAATTTTACTACTTACCTTAATTTGTAGGAAGCAGAGGAAATTGATGGTTTATGTTATGACCTGAAATATGCATTACGACTATGTCTAGAGTATGGACATAAGAGGGAGTGTGTACATATATATTCACTGATGAACCTGTATGAGGAGGCTGTGGATCTTGCTCTTACTGTAAGTTCCATATAATACATGTATATTATCTGACTTTTAAAGACTTGATCTGATTGTTACCTTGTTGGTTGACAGCTGGAAGATATCGAAATGTAGTTATTCAAGAAATAAACTATACAGCCTATGGAACCTTACTGGTTTTACTCAGGTGCCTGCATATACCTGAAATAATGGACAAAAGGGCACCTAAGGTCTTCCTCTATCAGTAAAGCTGGAACGTCTCAATAGGATCTCAACATGTGAAATAAAACTCATCAAAGCACTTCTTCCCCACACCATATCTTTATTCGCCATTTTGTTGGCTTAAAATGAGGCAGTGAAATTGACTTGAAAAGGATTTGTTTTTTTTCCCCATTACTTCTTCAAATATTGACTGGGTTTGCTTATTGTGTCATCCTGGAAAAATAGATTTATGACACTAATGACAGTTTTAAACTAAATATCAATCACATATATGTGGTATATAGCTGTAAAAGATGACTTCATTTGATTGTACTGGTGACATTTAGGCGCAATGGGGCTGGGTGTCTTTTCTGGTTATGTTATTGTAATATACTGAAACACATGTCACAATAATAAACAATATCTTATATCTATAAATAAAATTTTAGTTTTTCAAATGTGGTGACTCCAAAACGTTTATGACAGACTTACACACTGTACACATAACCTGTGCTTCTAGTAGTTAATAATTTTATTCTTCATTAATTTGAACAAACAAGTGAATATGTACACTCTCCACTTCTACTTATTCCGCTGGGTTATTTCAGGTGGATGTTGAACTTGCTAAAAGTGAAGCAAACAAACCAGATGAAGATGATTATGAACTAAGGAAGAAACTTTGGCTAAGAATAGGTAATTATAACACACATTAACTTACTGTTATATAATAATATATAATAATTGTTTAATGCAGTATGAAAGTTAACATTGTTGGATATCCATCGCCGAACCATTAGCATTTATCAGATGTTAATCAACTGTGGATATTTGAGCTGCGTCATGACAAAACCAACATAGTGCGTTTGCGACCAGCATGGATCCAGACCAGCCTGCGCACCTGCGCATTCTGATCAGGATACATGCTGTTCGCTTACCAACTCTATTACAAGTGGAGAAACTGACAGCAAACAGCATGGATCCGCGGATGCGCAGGCTGGTCTAGATCAATGCTGGTCGCAAACGCATTACGTTGGTTTTGTCGTGACGCGGCTCATTTGATGTTGGAAAGTTAATGATAACTTAATGAACTAAAGCAAAACTGAAATAAAATGCGCCTAATGGCTTGGTCAGTTAACAAGGGATACTTTAATCTTTTATGATTTTAAAAATATATATAAATGCTAGCAGGTCTTTGAGTCATTTCATATCTTATTGAAAATCTATACCTCGCAAATAACAGTAATAATTAACTTGTATTTTCCACTCTGAATATTTTTCAGACCAATGAAACTCATATCTTTATCTTCCCACAGAGGTAATAATGCAATAATGTGTAAATGGAATTTATTTTGTGATGTGTGAACAAGTCACTATCTTTAATTGTTCCAAAAGTTCAGACTTTTATATACAATGTAAGGCAGCAGAGTAAAATGTTCTTCTTTATATTTTATAAGCCCGCCATGTTGTTGAGGAGGAGAAGGATGTTAAACGTGCCATGGATTTCTTACATGAATGTGATCTCCTTAAAATAGAGGATATTCTACCATTCTTTCCTGATTTTGTCACCATTGATCATTTTAAGGTAACATATATTGACTTACTTATGGCTAATAGTTAGGGGCGTAATCGATTCAATTGATATCAGTCTATCAACGATTTTTGTTATCTGATTTGATATCGATTCCAGTTTTTAAATATCGGATATCGAATGCACACAGTCATATTTCTAGCTAAAGAGACTTCAGCAAACAGGTTTTATAGTACTGATAGACCAAACGTCAAAATAAAAGAGACATATAAAGTTATGGAAGCCAGAACCAACATATTTCAAACATTTTGTTTTCTAAAACGAAAAGGGAAATCAACACCAGAGTTACCCCCCAGTGTCTCTAACAAATGCTGCCGAGTTTCGTTGTAATTTCGCAAGTCAGCTAAGTGGGGGTCAAGACCCCCCAATTCACATTTTTAAAACGGAAAATGCGAAGAAAATTTTTGTGTTTCTTTGTAAAATTATGATTGCATACGTTAAACTTTAATAATTATTCCGGTTCTAAACACAATAATTTGCCAATTAAACCCCAGCTTACTAGTGGAACGGCAAGGAAGGGATTCAGCATAATCCGTAACTACGTAATAGCAACAACAACAACAAAAGTAAAATGGAAAAGGCTTTAAACATTATAGTTGCTAGTCATTAGTTGTCATTAAAAGTTATAATGATAAAAAAGAAACAAATGGTTCACTTTTCATAGTTTATTTGTTTTTGCATTGTTTAAATATAACTGCATATTAGAACAAATTAAAAAAGACTTGAAAGCTTAATTTTGCCTGGCAATCGATATATCGCTGTATCGCCGATAATTCATTACCGAAATATCAATACAAAAATCCTTATCAATGACACCCCTACTAATAGTATTATATCACTTCCCCTCTTATCCTCATGCCTTGAAATATTCAAGTTTAGCTTATATCCAAATGAAAATCTTGTGTTGTGGAAGTTGGTTCATTTGACTGATACTGCTAAAGGGAGAATAGTGACGTAATGGTGAAGGCTTCTACCTGTCTAACTACGGATTGTGGATTTCAAACACTACTTTGGTTGCAAACCTCATCAGTACTGTAAAGTTCCAGGAAACCAATTGGCTAATGATTAATATAAGAGGGATAAACTTGTTTCACATTCAAGCTTAAATGAAAATGTTCAAACAAGGTAATCAAAAAAGACTTTGTAGTGTAATTAAAGGCATATGAATGACAGGAAAAATACATGTATTGACTGAATACATGTACTTTGGTAACAGTATTTTTTATACTGAGATTAGCTGTTGTAAAATCTATAAAGCTACTAATAAAACTGTATATAATTTAAAGTATAACTGTGTATTTCAGGATGCTATTGTTTCATCATTAGATGACTATAATCGTCATATTGAGACACTGAAGGAGGAGATGGATGAAGCTACAGGCAGTGCCGAGGAAATACGTAAAGAAATACAAGCATTTAGAAACAAGTAATTACAACTTGAAACTGTTACTTCATATGATGGTGCTTTTAAAAGGGGATATTTATATACACATTTCATTTTTTTGTTTAAATAGAACAGCAAACAGTCATATATTGTTTGTGCTTTGTTTGTGATTTTATTCATGTGATTTTTGTATCTTTGCTAAATGATATTTTATTTTTTGTTAAAGAATGTTGGAGGAAGAGTATTGTATATATAGGGCAATGGACAATTAATGATTTAAGATCTTTCTTCTTTGGTAAGATTACTAGGAAGTAGTTGTTTGGCATGATATAAACTATGCACAAGGAGAGGTTTGACATAAATGTAAAAAATAAATCCAATATAATTCTTGCAACTCTGCAAGTGTATGACATATACTTTTACAAACTGTCAGAAAACATAGAACTTGAATCATAATCAGAGAATTGTCATTTTAGTTATTTTACTGCATGATATTTTTTTTTCATATCAACAGGTATGCACAAGTAAAAGCTTTAGACAAATGTTCCAAGTGTGGCTTTCCATTGATGACAAGGGCCTTCTACCTATTTCCATGCCAACATAAATTCCACTCTGATTGTTTAATTGAAGAGGTATATTTAGCTGTGACATAGAATTTCTTTGTAATGTAGTAATGCAACAAATTGATAAACTTGTGTTTATTGCAGTTTTCTCCCCTTGTTTAGTGCCAGAGTGATTTCAGTGCCTATCTACTCATTTTGGGTTAAAGCCCTTATTAATGTACCCCTATTTCATCATATGTAACCAATATTTGTAGACTAAAGAAATTGAAATATGCTCATCACTTACTGAAAAAATGAATACTACGTAGATATTAACTTGTCTTCCTGATCATTTATTTTAAATTTTGCCACCAGAATAGAGCTAGGCTAGCTGGCATATCTGTGCAGCCTGACCAGGTTGTATACTGTTGGTAACTAAATTTTTATAATAAAAACCCCTGAACTTCAGATTGACTGTTCCATATTTAAAGCTTGGGAAATCCTTTGCAAAACTTTAGGATGTGAAGTCTTAAAACTGAATATCAATATGATATATTTATGATATGTATTTTGTTTTGCAAATCAAGATATATGTCTGTCTGAATATATGTAAAAAAAGTAAAATATATGTTAAATAAGGTACCATACCCAAAACCAAACACTTAAAAGCATCTGAAAACAGTAGTTCTATCTTCATAAAATATTAAAAACACCAATAATAAATATGAAAATGATAAATGAAATTAACAATTGCAGATTTTACCAAATTTACCTGGAAAGAGGGGTAACAAGGTGAAAGACTTACAGAAGAAATTAGCAGAGAGAGATGACACTAGACAGAGTGTTGTAGGGAAACAAGATCCTTCAGCTGTGGCATCGAAACTAACAGCAAAGGTACATAATTGTCAGATTATAGAACAATGGTTTCCAGATGATAACTAGAGTTATGAATGAGATATTGTAATCAAACTTGGTATACAGCAAACTTATGTGGAGACTTTGGACCTCTTTAGGTCACTGTTACTAAAAATATAAAAATGGGTTCTGAATGATAACAACAGTTAGGAATAAGGTTTTTGTAATACATGTAAATCTTGGCATTTAGCAAGTTTATAAAAAGACCTAGTTTGCAATTGTTTATAGACCCCAAAGGTTCAATGTCAAGGTCACTGTAACGAAAAAAGGTTTCCTAAAGATAAGCAATTAATTGTGAATTATTGAAATGCAGATGAAACATCATAAAATATAGGTATGGTTCAAATTTTGCTTCTTAAAAAGTTAAGATTGCTGATTGGGTTATGAATAACATTTAGTGATAGCTCTAGTTTTTTGTAGTTTTCAGTACTTTAATAATATAAACAAAATTTCAACCTTGGTCTGAATATAGATGTATGCATTTTGATTTCATAAATAAATCTTGTTTCAGCTGAAGATTTTGTTTTACATTACAGGCGGAGTTGGACGACCTGGTAGCATCTGAGTGTATTTATTGTGGTTTCTACATGATCAACAGTATAGATAAACCTTTCTTAGAGGAAGATGATAATAGTCAGGGATGGCTTTGAGCTAATAGTGTGTAACCCTTAAAACCAGACATATAGTACACCTGGGCCTGGGAAATAAATACTATTTTAATTTTCCTGGCAGGCAATTGGCATTAAAAGAAGAACTTGATGTATTAATGAATGATATAAGAGGAAATCTATAATAGAATTTCTGTTTTGCTGGATGTTTGAACTTGTAAAATCAAAACTATGTGTGTTACTATTTGATTGTATTGAGAATATATACATGTAGAAACTGTGATAGCTTCTAGCCTTTTTGGTATTGAACTATATATAAGTCCACCAGTGTATGTTTAAACCAAATCTTGAATGATGTCTATTGTAGCTCTTTGTTTATTTAACCCTAAGCCTGCTGAATTTCTTAAATTTACTTTTTTGAACAGTCAATTATCATATCTGAGATACCAAGATGAATTAAAGTTGGTAGACAACATTTTTGACCTTGGTCAGAATGCATCGATATGAACACCGGTGGCAAAGGCAACTCACTTCGTTTAATCTGGTTAAAGGTTTAAAGATAGATAATGCATGTATCAATATCATCTCATATTTTTTGTATCGGCTGCATTTTTGTGCCCCCATCAATTGTCTGGCTCCTCTCTACACTAAGCAATAAATGAAATGAATAATTGCACACTATGGTCTCATTGACTTTACATGTTCCATTATTTTAAAAATATCACACAGTAAGTTCACAAGTTAAAATTTAATTTTTTTGTTCGGTTTCTTTGCAACCTTAAAGAGAATGCCACTAGGGACTTTAAACTCTTCTGTCTTGCCAGCTTACAGAAAGTTGGGGGTTACTCCTCAGGTGCCAAAATAAAGCACGAGGGCACCTCAGGTTTTCCTTGACCAGTAAAATAGCCTCGTTACCTTTATGTTGTTGATATGAATTAAAAACAAACAAAACAATTGAGAGAATGCCAAGAGATATTCCTGGAGTCTGTACTCACAATGTAATTCATGAAAGGATAGAAAGAGTATCTGATTAAACATTTATGATATAAGTTATATTTTTTACGATTATGATTGCAATTTAGGTATGAAATGTCTATTTTTTACTGTTGAAAGGTTTTATGATATTCTATGAATTACTGCTACCAAAGACCAAATATGGATGTTCTTACAATATAAGAAATCAGTTCATTAAGTGCTTTGCTGTAAACATTGTTTGTATATATTGTTTCGAGAGAAAGTATCTGTAAATATGTATACGATTTATATATGTGAATTGTTTATGATGTATTTACATTAAATGTGCAATACCTATATGTGTATTTTTCTTTCTTTTATATTAATGTAAAGCACAGATTATTTGTCCTATGGCTATAGCTATGATTGTTGAAATAACTAGGCCACAATACAGTTAAAGTGAAAATAAAAAAAGATGCATGTCCTTTTTGTCCTATCTCAGTCACATCAATCCTCATGTGGCAGTGAAAACCAAACAAAGGCACATACCCTAAGGGTGCTCTTTTCTAGGGCAAAATACATTCATTTGACGCATTTTTTTCACTACATTAACAAGGTTATACCAGGCGCCTTTACTTCAACCAAATACCAGGCACCTTAACTTCAACCACACAGGAGCAGTAGTCCAGTGGTAGGACGCGCGCTTAGGGATCGAGAGGTCCCGAGTTAGAACCCCACCAGGGGCACTGCTAATTTCCTTGAGCAAGAAATTTACCTGCGATTGCTTCACTTCACCCAGGTGTAAATGGGTACCTGCGAGGGTGGTATAATTTCGTTGCGCCAAAGTGTCGGCTGCACTAAGTGGAGTTAAAAGACTCCCCAGGGAGATTGATAGATAGATACCAGTAGCCCGATGACCAGGGGTAATAGCTGTAAAGTCGGTGAACGTGTGTAAGCATGAAACTTAGACTATAAAATGCAATTACTTTTTACTTTCATCTACATTGTATTGATTTTATCAACACCAGGGAGCTCCCATGGCCGAGTAGATAATGCGTTGACTTAAAACCACTTGCCTCTCACAGCTTTAGGTTCGAAACGCTCGTCTGCGATTTCTTTCATGTAAGAATGCTATCCAGATAGCTTACGGAACATCGGTGGTTCTACTCGCGGTGCCTGAAATAACGGAGGGGCACCTCAGGTCTTTCTCCACAAGAAAAACTTGAAAGTCGCCATATATGACCTATAATGTGTTGGTGTGACATGAAACCCAACCAAAAAGAAGAAAAAAGTATATCGGTCTCATTTTATTGGGAGGACTGTTCTAAATTTGGTAATTGTACCAGCCTGTAACTACCACATATTCTACATGAATCAATCATATGAAACCATATGGGAGGATGATAAGAATTACACATGTCAAGAATCAAATAGTTCCTGAAAAAAAAATTGTGCTAGGTCTAAAACTTGTCAATTCCAGGTCAGACGGCATAACAAGAGAACTTATTGGACAGGAAGTAAATTTTGTACAATTAAGCAAATCCAACAAATGCAAATTATTTAAAAATGATATTTATTTTTATCAATCAATGATCAAGAACAATGGTCGGCCTCAAAAACGCGAGTTTCTTGATTTTATATACAATCCATGTTCCTACATTACAGCACTATCCCTAAATCTGTCTAACAATCTTGATATGAATAAAAAAATTAACTTTAAAACCTAAATCTTTTCAAAAATGAAACAAGATTGCATTTGAGAAAAATGCTATGCCACCGCATTAATACAACACTTAATAGTAGTGTAGGAACAGATTTTTTTGTTTCTATTCAATTTTGAAGATTGTCATAATGCATAGATCCCTGACCTATCTAATTCTTATTACCAAATTAGTGGTTAAATCTGTTGTTAACTCAATAAAAGATCAGAGTAGGAATATATCATTGCACTCAGGTCTAGTGAATTTGGTGATGAAGGTCATATTTCACACAGCCTAAATTACATCAAAGGACAACATAGTAAGACACTTTGTCAAAATCTAGGTCAGCTGAAATAAAAGTTCACTTTACATCTTAATCAGTGTGCACATGGTTCAAATTTCATAGCTGTACATCAAAGGACAAGAAAGTAGGTCACATCATCAAAATCTAATTCACCTGATATCAAAGTTCAATTTTACAACTAAAACTGTGCACATGGTCAAAATTTCATTGCTGTACATCAAAGGACAAGAAAGTAGGTCACTGTCCCCTCGGGCAAGGCAAAATTTTGGATCCAAGAGTTTAATTCAAAACAATCTTGATACAGGTCCACCAAACAACATTTCAAGTCAAATATCTAAGCTGTAGCTTTCTCCCATTCAGAAAACATTAATTTGTTTTATTTTTTGTTTTTACTATGTGTACATAATGAGAATCACTGCCCCCTGGGCAGGGCCAATTTTGACACCAGGGGAAAAATTTGAACAACTGTGGTAGAGGACCTAAAGATGATATTATATAGCAGACATCAAAGCTTTATGCCTTGTACCTTCAGACAAAAATATTTTTTTTACTACATGTAAATAATGAAAAACAATGACCCCCGGGGCGAACCAATTTTGACCCCAAGGCTATAATTTGTACAATCTTGCTAGAGGTTCACTACATAATGTTTCATGCAAAATATCTTAACTCTAGCCATTAAAAATTTAGAGAATATGATTTTTTAAGTTTTTACTATATACATATAAGGAAAACCTATGGCCCCGGGGGCGGGGCTAATTTTGACACTAGAGGCAAAATTTGAACAACTTTTGGTAGAGTACCTATAGATGATATCATTTAACAAATATCAAAGCTCTAAGCCATGTACCTTCAGACAATAAGATTTTTTGATTTTTTACTATATGTATATATTGAAAATCAATGACCCCCGGAGCACGGGGGCAATTTTGACCACAGGGCTATAATTTGAACAATCTTGCTAGAAGTTCACTTCACAATGTTTCATGCAAAATATCTAACCACTTGCACAAGTTTTTACTATAAGTGTTTACTATATACATATAAGGAAAACCAATGACCCCCGGGGAGGGCCATTTTTTTCCCAGGGCTATAATTTGAACAATCTAGGTAGAGGTCTACCAGACAATGCCTTATGCAAAATATCTAAGCTCTAGGCCTTTTGGGTCTTTACAAGAAGGTATTTTAAGTTTTTACTATATGTACATATAGTGAAAATCAATGACCCCTGGGGCGGGGCCGATTTTGAACCCAGGGCTTTAATTTGAACAATCTTGGTAGAGGTCTACCAGACAATACCTTATGCAAAATATCTAAGCTATAGGCCTTTTGGGTCTTTACAAGAAGATTTTTTTAATTTATTCTTATTATTCCTTTTGGTTGCCATGGCAACCAGATTTCTGCATGGAACGAAATTCTTTGAACAACTTTGGAAGCCCTTCACCCAAGGATCAATCCTGCCAAGTTTGGTTGAAATTGGACTACTGGTTTTTCACAAGAAGATTTTTTAAGTTCACTATATAATCTATATAACACACACACACACACACAAACAAACACACAGGTGAATCGCTATATGCCACCGCATCGCAGATGCTGCGGTGGCATAAAAATTACAGATATCCTAATTGCTTTTTTTCTTGTTCAGGAAATAAATACACATTATTTCAAAATATCTGAAGATAAAGACTAAAAAAAGTTGTGAAATAAATAGATAGTCACTTGTGTATTAAGTCATTAATGTTAGTATATCTCTAATTGGTATGTAAACTTAAAATCTATCCAAAATTAAAAATCTTCTTAATTTTATGACTTCTGACCTTATATATTCGACAAACGTATACTGTGTAGCAACGATTTTGTTGAATTGAATATAATATGTATTTTTTGTACAACAATAAACATTGCACTCCTGCTTTAGACACTAATTTGATGCTACTGCCAATAAAGTTATTCATTTCTGGAATGTTGAACCTGTGTATTTGTAAGAAATGAAAATTTGTTGGAAACCTTCACGCTGTCTTGAATTGATAATCATTCATAACAATATTATGACTTGAGAGCTGCTATGGAAATGTACAGTACAGCTTACAACTTTGAAACATTTGGTATTATAAAATGAAGTGTATATACTACATGTCATTTTTCAAGTATATTATATACCTTAATGTTATTCATTTCAAATATTTGAAATGCATGTATTTCTGGTGAGAAATGAAAATGGATTGTTTTTCCATGATTCCCGTCTTCAATATTTATACTTGTCTTGTAATCATCAAACTTATTCAAGGCCATTTTATCTAATATCATATTTATGTACATCAAAAAAATACCACCATGACAACATTTTACACTTACATATTTACCAACACTAGTATCTTAACATACCATCTTATTTAGATGGTTACACTGTCTCACAACATGATTAACTCTATAAAGTTCTTTGTGTTAATGAGGAACACTTAATCACTCTATATAAATATCAAGGCGTTGTGAACAAACTAAACCACAACCTGCAGGAACCAAAAGAGATTAGCCTTTGCACCAGGCAAACCTTCATGACTTGCCTCTATATTGTTCGTAGCCCTATATCTTTCTATTTTTGATGCTGATATTTCTTGAACATTGAATGAACTGTTCCAAATTCAAAGCAGTGTAAAATGATTAATCAATTTCCGCAGGTTATTGGTTCAAACATTTACAGTCATCATTTAGATGTAGCATGCACTTTTGTAGCTTGTACAGGTCAAGTTTTTAATACAAACTCCTGAGACAAACAGTATGGCAGTTTTCAATTTCCATTCATTTCACTATCACTATTCCTTTTTATCTGGCATTTTCTAATTTAATATCAAATTCCAAAGTTTTGAATTCCATTTATTCTGTAAATTAAGATCCATCCATAAAACAGATCCTAACAATTTTCATTTACCAGACTTTTTGGGTATACTGCCCGTTGCCGGTATAACAGTTGTTTTGGTCCCTGTTGCAATAGAAGTTAAATTCACATTAAATTTTTCTGCAATTCTTCCTGCAGCTGTTTGGCTTGGTTCGTCCCATTTTGATTTTCGCTTTTTCTCGTCTGAAATGTACAGAATTACAGATTAGAAAAAGAAAATATTGCAAAAAGATTTCAATTATTATTCTATCATCTTCCCTGCATAGTCTTATAGTTCTCTTTGATAAATGTAATGAAGACTTTTTCCATCTCTACAATCAAACTAGGCACAATTATAGGGTTAACGCATGTTTTTTCGTGTAATAACGTTTGCAGAGTCTCGAGGAATGGTTGGTGCCCGAGCCCGGTAGGGCGAGGGCTCCAACAGTTCTAAGGGACTCTGCAGACTTTATAACACAAAATAAACGTGTGTTGACGCTATTATAGCATAAAATTTTAAAAAAGATTCATGATGTATATTTAATACAAAACACATACATTAAATCCTTGTGCTAGGACGGTATTTATCCAATTCTACATGTTTTATGCATGCGTTTTATTTTTCCGGGGCCAACTAGATCTACTTGGGAAATTCAAATGCTCAGAACCGTTCGAAATTTCGAATTTTAATTGATTTAACAAAGCTTATCATTGGAGATTTATTAACTCAAGAAAAAAAACATTAAATTACTCTGCCTAAGATGAAACATGACTCTCAGAAATTCTAAGAATTTTGTCAGATTGATGGTAGAAAAAATATCACTGACATCAGAATCGTTTTTTTTTTTCAAGCTCACAAGTTTATAAAAGAATATCAGGCACTAAACATTATTCTCTCAAAGAAATATAAATAGCATTTATCAATATTAGCATCAATAAAACAACATTTTCTCATATTCATTTTGTTTTATCTTTTGTAAGTTAATTTGAGGGTTAAACCAAATGACATTTATTTGTTTACATTGACAACTGTCCTTTTCTTAGAAAGGGCGACAACCAAGATAAGAGGCACTGTCTATACGCCGTATTTCCGGCATAGTTACTTGAATGCTGCTCGCCGTTATGCGATTGGGGCCCTCGAATCAATAATTTCAATATAACACTTTGGCAAGACAGGCCAAATCGTTTATTTTTTGTTTGTTTACTTGGCCCTGTATGTATTGCACATAGGTAAAACCGGGCTATAACAAGAGCACGTGACTTTGTTAACGCATGGTTTTGGCCCCATTATAACATGGGCAAAAGAGGGAAAAATAGCCGATTTTATGCTATAATATTGTTTAGGCACCAGTACATACATGTACACACAACTCTCGATTTTCCCCCACCTTTACTGATGGCAGCTGAAGTAAAGGGAACCAACTTATGATGTAAAAACAATTTTCAGGATTTTTATGCCATTTGATGTCGGTATATACCAATAACTTGTGAGAAAATTTAAGATTGTTTGCTAATTTTGTTTTTTTACAATAGTCATTTAATTGTGCAAAAATGACCTAACAATGAAAAGAGTTTAAAGGCTTTCAACTCGAATCGGGCCAAGAATCACACTAAATAATCAACTTTTAATTTTGAGTGTATCTTTTAATATCTATTTCATTTTTTTGAGTGTATCTTTTAAAGATCCAGTAACACAATTTTTTCATGGTTTTATTTCATAAATATGATGCTCAAATTAAGATTTGTCAATATTGTAAGTTCCAATAAGCATTATTTATAAAGATATTACCCAATTTAACATTTCATGTAAATAAAGGGAGGTAATTAGAAATTTATTTTCTATAAATTCTAAGTCAAATTTTCCAATAAGAAATGAATGCATGTAATTTATTGATTAAATATAATGTGCACAAATATTTGCAGTACACATTTTACATATTCTTCGATGTTTGAAAATTGTTTTATTTGCATAATTATATACATATATAATTTTTTGCAAGTGTGGTATACACACAGTAACAATATCAATCACAAAACATACAGGATCTTTAATATCTATTTCATTTTTTTTTCTGCTTAAAGTACACCAGTTGATTTATGCAAGATTTTTTGGTGTTTTTGGACTTTTGGACCTCAGTGGAGCTCCTTTAATTAATATCAGTATTCTAATATTGAAATACTTTCAACTCCACTTAACAATAACATGCCAAGTCTGGTAGGACAAGGCCTGCATATTTTTATCAAAGTTCCAATGTACATGTTCTCTAATGCTGAAGTTAAGTAATCAGAAAAACTTTAACACAGAGTATCCAATATCTATCAAATATTCATCAGACAGTATATTATAAACAAGAATAGGTTGAAACGGGTGATGCTCCCCAAACAGGTTTTGGACACAGAAAGTGTAGTTTCAGAGTTATGTCCCGGACAAAGTTCAAAGTGCAATTATTCAAAACGGCATTGCTCATCTACAAAATGATATCTATCTACATACAAAGTGTCTTGTTCATATCTATTATACTTCAGAACTATGTCCTGGATAATGTTCAAAGTGTAAAAATGGACAAAGGCCTATAACTTCAAAATTAGGCAAGGCAAAGTTACAGTTCTTGTACATTGCACATCTAGCCAATGAGATCTATCTACCTACAAAGTGTCTTGTTCATATCTATTATACTTTCAGAACTATGTCCTGGACAATGTTTAGAGTGTAAAACTGGACAAAGGGCAATAACTCTAAATTTAGACAACGCAGAGTTATGGTTCTTGTACAATGCACTTCTACCAAATGAGATTTATCTACCTACCAAGTTTTATGTTGATATTTTCTCTAGTTTCAGAGTTATGTCCCGGACAAAGTTCAAAGTGTTTAAATGAACAAAGGGCAATAACTCCAAAATTAACCAAGGCAGAGTAATGGTTCTTTTTCAATGCACTTCCACCCAATGAGATCTATCTATCTAAAAAGTTTCATGTTGATATCTCATATAGTTAAAGAGCAATGTCCAAGACAAAGTTCAAAGCGTAAAAATGAACAAAGAGCAATAACTCCAAATTTGGCAAGGTAGAGTTCAAGTTTTTTTTTACCTACCTAAAAGTTTCATGTTGATATCTCTTATAGTGTCAGAGTAATATTCCGGACAAAATTCAAAGTATAAAAATGAACAAATGGCATAACTCCAAAATTAGGCAAGGCAGAGTTATGGTTCTGATCTATCTACCTACAAAGTTTCACCTTGATACCTCTTGTTGTTACAGAGTTATGTCCCAGACAAGAATAGTGGACGGACGGACAAAGTGGCGACTATGTGAGCACTATAATAAATGTCAAATCCAGAAGAAAAACAAAACAATTTGTTTTGAACCCAATACTAAAGATAACAGTAGAGATAATTTACTTACCAGGAACAACTAAATCTGTTTTTGACCCTGATTTCTTTGTAGCTGTTATAAACTCAACCTTGGTTTACTTACCAGGAACAACTAAATCTGTTTTTGACCCTGATTTTTTTGTAGCTGTTATAAACTCAACCTTGGTTTACTTACCAGGAACAACTAAATCTGTTTTTGACCCTGATTTTTTTGTAGCTGTTATAAACTCAACCTTGGTTTACTTACCAGGAACAACTAAATCTGTTTTTGACCCTGATTTCTTTGTAGCTGTTATAAACTCAACCTTGGTTTACTTACCAGGAACAACTAAATCTGTTTTTGACCCTGATTTTTTTGTAGCTGTTATAAACTCAACCTTGGTTTACTTACCAGGAACAACTAAATCTGTTTTTGACCCTGATTTTTTTGTAGCTGTTATAAACTCAACCTTGGTTTTACTTACCAGGAACAACTAAATCTGTTTTTGACCCTGATTTTTTTGTAGCTGTTATAAACTCAACCTTGGTTTACTTACCAGGAACAACTAAATCTGTTTTTGACCCTGATTTTTTTGTAGCTGTTATAAACTCAACCTTGGTTTACTTACCAGGAACAACTAAATCTGTTTTTGACCCTGATTTTTTTGTAGCTGTTATAAACTCAACCTTGGTTTACTTACCAGGAACAACTAAATCTGTTTTTGACCCTGATTTTTTTGTAGCTGTTATAAACTCAATCTTGATTTACTTACCAGGAACAACTAAATCTGTTTTTGACCCTGATTTCTTTGTAGCTGTTATAAACTCAACCTTGGTTCTTTCTTTTCTCTCCTTTTCTCGTTTTTCCATATCTGCTTTTTGAGCCTTGTCTAGGAAAGAAGGGAAAAATGTATTAAATGACCAAGTAAAACATTTCTTTCAAAGAAGACATATAAGTTGTCTTTTTTTTCTTTTTTATTCATTAGTTAAAGTTACAGTTTAAACAAAAACATCTTCTCGATTGTTTTGCTCTAATGCATGTGCTGTGTTGATCTCTTTCTTATTTTTATGTAAAAATGATTCCTCATTATAAATTGTGAAGAAGAAAAAACATGCATGTACATTTATTTGAATCTTCTTCGTAGTTTGCTCTAAGGATACAAGCATAGTTTTACTTAAAGCTGCACATTTTCAGATGACTGAAGTTTTTAAGAATTTTACAACATAGTAAATATTCAAAATGCAAGCAACACTTTGCATGTGTAGTGCAAAATATACATAACTTACAATTTCTATAATCATATTTCACTAAATAAATGAGTAAGGTACATCTCTGCATATATTGACATGTTGTACAAAATTTTATATGTACAGAAAGTACCTTTGGCAAGTTATGATTACTTTATTTGTATGCTAATTTAATAATATGGTAGTTTTATTCAATGATTTTGTTACTGATTTCTTTAAGTAGGATAAAGTATATACTGTATTTACCTAATGCATCATAGAAAGATTCTTTCCCCCATATACTAGGATCATATAATTCTGGTGGGTAGTTTGTGCCCTTTTCATCTATTCCACAAAATTCTATCAACTTTTCATATATACTGGAAAATAAGACAACTATGTTACAAAAAGCAACATAACCAAAAATCATTCTCTAGACGAACAGGTTTATATGAGCCGCGTCATGACAAAACCAACATAATGGGTTTGCGACCAGCATGGATCCAGACCAGCCTGCGCATCTGCGCAGTCGGATCAGGATCCATGCTGTTCGCTTACGTACTCTATAACAAGTAGAGAAACTGATAGCGAACAGCATGGATCCTGATCAGACTGCGCGGATGGGCAGGCTGGTCTGGATCCATGCTGGTCGCAAACCCATTATGTTGGTTTTGTCGTGACACGGCTCATACGTACTGACTGTATAGTAAATGATACAGACAATGTTCAGACAGCATGGATATGCCTGCCGATCTTGGTCTGCACTGGTCCCATAATTCTCATGGGTAATTCAGTCACAGACAAAGGGCTAAATATAGACATCTTATTACTCTTTTGGTTAAAATGTAGTTATCAAATTAAATACATGTGTAAAATACATGTCATTTGACATAAAAATGTATTTTAAATAAAGCACTTACCTTGGATTTCTAAATTCCACCTTGTTTTGTATATTTCTATTGAGATCCAGTCCCTCTTTCATACGTCTATCATGTAAACTGGCGATTTTGTCCTGTAAAACAAAAGTAATATCAACATTGTATACCATTTAAATGTTATCAGAATTGCAAATAATTATATAACTCTTTTATAATACAACTTAATGACCCTTTGCAGCAGTAAATACTAACTGAAGTGCATGTTGTCCTGGACAAAAGGGATAACATCATCTTCAATATAGATACAATCTATATACAACTGTGTTGCACATGTAAAAATATACACATGTAAACTGTAGAAAAAAATCACAAATCACAAAAGCTGCCAGAACAGCATGCTCTACTAGTGCGAGTGTTTGATAGTAAAAGAAAAGGCCTGAATGATGGAGGAATTCATAAAGAGAATGACTTCATTACAAAACATTACATCTTTATAAGTCTTGGACAGTAATCCACTAAGATCCCAAAGACAAGTTTCATGAACAACTATTTTGAGTAGGTTTGAAAATTGTACTTGCACACAAAACTTAACCAGGATTTTATGTTCATAAAGAGCAATAAATTAGTTAAAATACATGTAAGAGTTGAATGTCCTGGACATTGACCATCAAATGTTATCTGGAAGACGTGTTTTTAAGTTTCAAGTGAACCTTCAGTACTTAAATTTGAAGAGTCAATAGATATTTCACAAATAAATTTAACCAGGAATTTTCAAAGTTAACAAAGGTCCATCATTCAGTCAAAATGCATACCAGAGTTATGGGTCATGGACAGCAATCTATAATTTTGATTCTTATTAGATATGTGACCTATCTAAAGTTCCAATTGAAAACTTGCAGCAGTTTTGAAGATTTGTGTGACAACGTTCCTAAATTGCCAAAACTCAGTTAAAATTTATATTACAGGTATTGACCTTAAATAACTTATAATCTCAAAGATATGTTAATGTGTAAAAAGCAATCATCTCTTGTGACTGATAAGATATGTAGTTGTACAAGAAGTTGACCAAATGTTTTATGCCAACACCCAGGTAAATAGGAATCTGGATAGCCAATAGTTGATTTAAAAATTACTATCTTCTAGAAAAAAAAGATGAAGCAGAAATCCATTACCTGTAATAGTTTGGAACATTTAGTAACTGGTTCAGGAGGTAATTCAATCTCATCAAATGATTTATTGAGCATTGATCTTGATAATGATGCTGAAATAAGACCAACATATTTGTATATACTAAGCTGTATTATGAAATAACATATAACTGTATTGCTGTTTTTACTTGTATGAGTACAATATGGAAATACAAATATTGAGCTACTAACACTTGGAGTCATGGTATTGATGTGCAGGCTTACCTGGCTCTATACTGGTGGTAAGGCTAAATATGTTTCTATTCAGCAGGTTTTAGGTTTAACCGTTTAGGGTAATTTTGTTTTTTGTGTATACAAGTTTAATATATAGTAATATATAGAGAAAGACAGCAAATGAAAATTTCCAAAACACTAACCCCTGAATGTCAGTTAATGAAAATTTTTAAAATTCATAATTATTGAAAGAATTCCCGATTTTTTTCAAAATAAAATGACTTACATGCTTGCTCAACATTTAAAGATGAACTCATTATCTTCCCCTGAAAAATCAAAAAGTATGTAAAAACCTTCAAGGTGAAGATGTACCCTGGTACGCTGTACAGTTGGGTATTATAAAAATTTTACTGTATAATCCCATAGTACATTGATTTTCAGTTGGTCAGTAATACTTTTAACTTAAGATAATGACAAAAAGTAATAGATCTTGATACTACTGTATATATGATACTACTGTATATAAAGTTTTTGAATTTACAATCAGATCAAAATAAAAGAAACAAACTGGAACGGACAGAATTAAAATCACAAAAACTGATGGAAATGTGAGTTTGTAATTATTTACTTAAACTGAAGTTTCCATTTAATATCCATAATTACAGCCCCTTCATTAGAGTATTTAACTATAACTCGTTGTGTACTTTAAGTTTTAAAGATAGTGGAAGCCTGTGATTCTATGTTGGACAGAAGAAGCACAAATAAAATACATAAAGCATCAATACAAAATCTCATCTTACAGACTGTTTATAATTTTAGTTTGGCTAAAACTAGTTTTAATATTTGCAGAATCTTAATTTTTTATGACAAAAGATAACCTAACAGAAAGAAGAAAATTATCTATACCTCTACAATGCCACGCCCATGGTCTACTGATTCTTCAGGACTTGGCTCCTCCTCACTTTCACTTGACTCCTCCTCCTCCAATTCATCAGCTCCATATGACACTAATCTTGTAGCTGAGAAACAAATGTTACTTTACAAATTATTACTGCAGGCATAGTGTATTACAGTACTGATGATAAGCTAGATATTTATAAACTAAATTGTAGATATGTAAAAAAAAATATGCTAAAGATTTTAAAAAGAAGAACTAATTTTAAAGAATTTGACAATTTGATTCATTGTCTTAATTAACAAGGTTAATAATTCAGTAGTGAATAATGATTATGATTGAGTTTAGGATCTTTCATACCATAATCCCAAAAGCTTCAACTCAGCACCTTCCGTGGCCTTGGAACTTTGGAACATTTATGCAGAATCTTAACCAGGATGTCTTTTAAGCTTAGAAATGGTATAATCCAGTATAAATCCATGCCAGAGTTGAGGGGCTAAATATTTAAAATATTAACTTCAATCTTATTTATTAAAAAAAATTATTAATATCATTTTATGAAGTCCTAAAACCTACAAATACCTATCTTTAAACATAGCTGAATCATCAAGATAAATGATAAATGTATATATACAATAGTAATTACGTTTTCTTTTCTTTGCCTTTTTTCTGTCTGTTGTATCTATGTCAGATCTGGAGTTTTCATCATCATTTATCAATGTGGAAGCTGGTCTGGGAACTGATGAAGGATTTGGTCTAGGAGTTGGCGTGGGAGTATCATGTTCATCGTCAGAAATTGTATCTACTGCTGATTTGATTGGCTGTAAACCAGAAATATACAGTCTCAAAATACAGGTTTAAATGTCAGCGTATATATTTCTAAACTTGTTTTAGAAATTGATTATCTTTTACTTTAATATTGCTGCTAACAGCAAAAAGAATAACCCCGCTGAATTCTGGATGATTTGATTTTCTTTAATAAAGGTTTTCACATAAAGGGTTAAGATATTTAGGTAGGGAAGCCAACAGTTTAGCATCCAGTCTTATCACACTGATGAACAATGTACAGGCAAATCTTGATCTACACTGATGGCATTTAATGATGTAATCACAACAGCTGTTTAAAAAGTAAAGCAGTCATTATAAACTTTATTAAAATTAGGCATAAAAATGAAGGGAAAATAAAATATCATTATAATTATTTTCACAATAATTTAATTCAATCCCAGGTCTTATACAGACTCAATAAAGTCATGAATAACATTTAACTTACCTTCCCTTCTTCATCTGACTCGGACTCTTCAGCATATGCGGCTAGAGAGGCCATAGCAGCTGTACTGTCATTCCGCTCCATACCAGTAATGTCCATAATTCTATCAAACCAGAATAAGTAATCATTAAAAGACAATATCTATAAATATTGTATAATAGATATGAGAAAAGTGTTAATTGCCTTTGAAATTAAAGTTGCAAGTAAGATTTCGATAAATTGTTTTAGATTTATGGAGGTTTCAAGATTCAGACAAAAACTTCGTTTTGAATATTCTAGTGTCAGTCTCACTCTTCTGATATATATGAGAGACGTCAATTTCACCAGACACCAAATTGATATTTAAATATCTAAATCAGTCTTACCATACTTGATAGAACCTACATACAGTCCCACATCCACATTGTAAATTTACATTGTTATATATACATGTATAAAAAATAATGCACAACAGCAGGACAAGTAAATCATTACTCAGGGCTCTAAATATCCTATATAGTCTGATGTCCCGGATAACTTCGGACAACTGATAATAAGTAGAAAGTTAGTTCCGTAAAAGTCAAATTTTGACAGATGCTTATCTTGAACAACTGTTTACAAAAACGACCCTACACAGCATAGTGCGTTGGTAATCTACGACTGAGCCAATCAATTTCAGCATACGCTATGCTGATTAACTTTCCATGCCACTGGCAATAAAAATAAATATGACACTATTTTTTCTTTAAAGACTAAATACAGTTATTTGTGCGTCCAATTAAAAGCGGATGGCGTACCTTAAATATCGATTAATGGTCAGTAAAATCATTTAAATTACATCAATTTTATTACTGTCCGAATAAATTTAATCCGAAATCACATCAAATATAAGACTTTCAAATCTTTACTCTCTCCTTTGTCTTTGTAGAAAAACATTATCCAGAACCGTAGATGAAAAAATAATAATATAATCTACAAAGAGTAATAAGACAATATTTAAAAAGTTTTAAAGTATTACCAAAATTGTGTAAATTCCGTTTCAGCTGCGATTGTTGGATTACCCCTAAGAAAGTTTTCTATCCAAAAGAAAAAGAAAATACCCCTATTTACCGACAAGAAGTAAAAATTTGATTGCTCTGTAAATTCTTACAACTTTTCTAAAAACAACTGGAAATTTTAGATGCTGTTTATGAAAGCCTGTATTATGGTTGACAACGTAAACAAGGGTAAAAAAACAAACAATGTTTAAAGCAGCATGCCTCCAGAGTCATGTTAATTTTCATGAAATTTTTAGAAATGTACTTATAAAAGTAAAACATTGTTTAGCGAACAAAGAAAATAATAAACAGCACTTGCAATCCACGAAAATTACCAAAAGAGGTCAAAATAAGCAAAAAAAGTAGCCCTTACTGCGTTAGTAACACAGTAGAAATATGGTAATAAATACTGCAAATCAGTCCTTAGTCGCACATAACATGTAAATTATTACTTGAATCTCGAATCTTTATTAATTTTCTTAAACTTAAGTACATTTTTTCTCAAGTTTAATTTGCTTGAAATAATTTAGCTCATCTGGAGGAATGCAGCTTTAAATTATGACTAAAAGTTTTGAAACTCGTCCCAGAAGAAAAAGGAAATTTGAATTTCGGATTTTCCGTATTTTGAATAGATCTACTGTAAATTTATGTGTATACAAATGAATTTTTATTGTGCAAACTGAAAATAATGAGTTTGAGTCTTTAACATCTATTTCAAAGTCATGAATATCTAAAAAGAAACATAATGTGGCATAAACGAATACTATTAGACATTCTTCATATTTGAATAGGAAAAAATGATACATGTAATTTTTTATGTATCAGAAAGTTTTTTTTTCGATGACCATTTTCCTTGGCACGTGTCCATATATGTCCACGAAACAGTTAGATTGTTAGAGAGGCTCTTGAACTGGCCAGGTATAAATACCCGGCGCCTATCCCATTCTTCCCAATAAAACTAAACTTTTTTGTTTCTTAATCAATTTCGATAATTTTGGTATCAAGTGAAAGATTACTTAATAAGCTTTCTATGGATGCCTCGAAAATTAAAGTTAATTGAGTAGAAGCATTAAAATATTTGTTTAAAATATTTTTTGTGATTCCTTGTAAACTACACTGTAAAATTCGGAATGAAAACACGCTCCCTAATAACTTTTTTATTTGAAAATCAATTTTAACAAATTGATGAAATGATAAACTTTAAAACAAAATTTTCATACTTCTACACCATTTTTTTTTATTTTTAAGGCATCCCTACAAAGCTTATTAAGTAACGTTTCATTTGATACTAAATTTATTAAATTTGATTCAGAAATAAAAATGTTAGGGGCGCCGTGTTTTTCTTAACGACTTTGAGAGTGTGGTTTTCAGATGAAAAACTGAAAAACTTTAAAACAAAATTTTTAAAGCTTCTACTCTATTCATTTTTATTTTCAAGACATCCTTAGAAAGTTTATAAAGAAATCTATCATTTAATCAGATACCAATTTTTTATACCTCGCCTATTGAACTTTGCCAATCTCCTACGAAGTGATCTTCCCTTATCAGTACAGAGTACAGTCTGCCAAGGGAGGTAATCAGTGTGTTTAGTTAGTTTAGTTTATTTACTTAATCTAGGCATATTACATGCATGTGATTAAAACTACAGCTAGACTATATAAAAGATAAACAAAAACATGATGAAGTGTTCATAGCACAAGTGCATGCAAACACTTAACAATGTGAAACATATATACAGATTCCCTGAATAAAGAACATCTACATTATAATATATAATATATAGTTTAACTTTGGAGAATGAGTTATTATTTAATACTTTGTAATAAAAGCTTACAAAATAAAGCAAGTTTATTTTTATTTATACAATGTATGAATTCCTTTAACTTAAGAAAGCTTGGGTGGTTAACATAGTATCTCTGAATATATGTCTTTCTATCATTAGAAAATGTGTGCATTCAAAATGATAATGAAATGAAGACACATTTTTGTGCATAAGTGACATATTCCATCAACACGTTCAATATTAAAATATTGTCTTTTCTCTTTAGAAAAATTATGATTCATAGTTCTAAACTTACACATATAAATAGCAAGATTTAAAGGCAATATATCAAGATATTCCTCAAAAGTATGTTCAGTCTTATAAATGCCATACACTAAACATTTTGCAGGGTTAAACACTGTTATCCAATTCTGTACAAACTGATGATATAGTCTGTTCTTAACGATCAAGATTATCTACCTTTTGGGAAATAAAGTATTCAGACATACCTCGTTCATCTCAAATACCATGCAAGGAGAATAAACTATATCATTAATTTCAACATTTCAAGTTTTATTGTGATACTTGTACATGTTTTAGTTACACCCATATTTTCATGACTGAGTACATATCAGATGCTGCTACTGATATATGCTCAAGCATCATACTGGAAATTAGGTCAACTATATTAAAATAAAATAAAATTGAATCATTTACTTTAATTTATTTCAAAAATTTAAATTTAAAAAAAAATCTAATTCTTTTTCTGATTTTAGGGTTGTGTACATAAACAGAATTCTTGTATGATGTAATTTTATGTGATGTTTGATTGTAATGTTATATTTGCTTTTAATCATTTAATGCTTTCTTACCCATATTTATATGTGCTGATAAATCTTAACTGTTTTACAGAGTCTTTCATAAATGTACATTGATCTTCTTAATACTTTTATATATTTTCTTTTATACAGATTGTTTGTTTGAATTGTTATAGGATAGTAAGTTATGTCGGAAAATAGCTTATATAGCTAATGTTTATATGTTTTTATGAAACCGACTTTAAATAAAGATTATCTTATCTTATCTTATCTTATCTTTAATATGTAATTTATTAGCAGAATTGCAAAGAATATTACATATCTTGTTATCTTTAGAGATTATCAACTTACTCCAAAAACATAATACATTGTATATAATATATAACATAACAATCTAGCTTTAGCATGTACAAGAATTGGTTTCTATCCAAGTTCACCAAAGACCATACAATTAGGTGTAGATGGTTTTAATTTCAATATAAATTTATATAATTTAAGGTGAAAGGACTGAAATATATTAATATTTTCAATGTGAGGAGTTTGGAACGTGAGGAGTTTGGATCCGGGTTTCCTTTCCTTTCCGGGTTCCGATCCCGGCATTTAGTGTGGTGCTCCAATCCTTTTTAGTCTCGCTCATAATTAATAAGCGTCTAGCTGAAAAATATTCATCAGCACAAGCAGCTACTTTTTACAATAATATATTAATACTGCCATTAATTTTATCACTGAAGTAAAGGTAATTTTTATTTTCATTATTTTGAGAACAGTTCATTAAGTATTTACGGAAGAGTTTATTGTAATTGATATTTGTCAAGTGAGGTAGTAACCGGACGTTTGTGGATTTGAAAGACCCTGAAAAAATTAATCGTATGAATGTCACTATTATGTAACACAAGTTTCAATTAAGTGTAATATCAAAGAAATGTAACAGTGGTTGACTTGTCCTTAATTGTCACTTTTTGAACGAATGTAATGGCTTTGCAGCCATTTTCATTTGTTACAGTGTGTATGAATAAAACCTAAAGGACAAATTTTTGAAAAAAATAACCAAAAGTCATTAAAGTTAACGCAACTTATTTCCACTCAACTGCCTACATAAGTCATTAGATATAAAGTCATATTTTCAGCATATCAGCGTGACAAATGCTTAGAAAATCTAAAAAACGCATCACATTCAGAATTCATGCGTCAAAGTTAAGCACAAAAAAATACGCTTGTATGTAAATAACACAAGCGTGACAAATTTAGGTGTAAACATTTAATATTAAAGGAGGGGATTTTTTGAGCATGAAAATACATTATATTTCTATTTAATTGCATTAAAAAGTAAAAATTCTGTTGTCAACAACGCATGTTAAAAACGAAAGTAGCAGGAAGTACAGAAGGGAGGTAACTCCCATATCTGTAATTATTGATAAAATTTATGTGCTAGATAATCATCGTAGGAGTTAACATAAAGTTTGTTTAGAAATCCATTGTCAATCTTATTCTTAAAAATAAAGAAAAATATATTTAAATTTCTTTCACTTTTGTTGTTGGAATAAATAAAAAAAAATTTCACCTCCTGTTTTGTATTCAATATTTTCATACCCCGTCTACAGTGGACATTTTTTTCTCAGATCAATACTTTTTTTTTAGGAAAGATATAAATCTTTCATGTTTATTTTTCATTAATTCTAATTTCAACTGTAAATTGTTCAAACTGGAGTACATGGAAAAATATGTAGATAATAGTTTAAGAACTGACATAGGCAGATTTTAAAATAGTGTGATACATTTTTAACAACAACATGCCAACAAAAATCAAAAAAAAAAAAAATCAGTTGAACTTATTTATTGTAAAGAAATGCAAAATGCAATTGCTATTTTTTTTTACAGATTTTCAGACTTCCCGAAAGTTAGAAAAAAGTGTCGGACATTCGGTCTGACAAACCATGAAAATCTGTCGGACCAAAACGAAATCTGTTAGACCGAATAAAATTAATCAAAATCAAAGGGAAACTTTTCGGTATTAATTTTTTCGCCGTACAATCGGCACAGTCTGTACAGCGCAATTTTCATCTCCTCCCTGTCATACACTAAAAATTCACGGTCCTGCTTCCATTTTTCATTAAATTTTGTCTCAGGTCTATTCTTTTCATCCTTTTATTGCTGTTCTAGGCACTCCTCTGACGTAGAATTACGTTTTTTCCCAGGTTTGGCATCTTTAGCGCCGCCATTTTGTATACATGCGACTGGGATAAAAGCCGAACCGATCCGGAAAAAAAATTGTCGGACCTAATCAAAATTTATTGGACATGTCCGTCGGACCGACGTATTTCAGGAAGTCTGGATTTTACCCCTTACATTTTTCAGATTTTGCATTTTATCCCTCACTAGATTTTGAGGGGTAAAAACCCCTGGGCCAAAAAAATTATCTTTAGCTCTGTTATAATTTTGCATTTCATATTTCATGATAGTTGCAAAAATGTTTGATATTGAATTTTATGTCTTTGCCTCTGTTATTTGCTAAAATAGCTTATTTTGCTATAGGATCCATAGTCCCAATATTTCATATTCTAAATAAAATGGTATTTGTTAAGTGTAGTCTATTGTAGTCTATTTTGTTACAAACATCCCCTCCACCCCTGTCGGATAAAAAAGAAAAAAACTTTGGAAATCAGCATACCTGAAAATATATTTTACAAATGATTTGATAATATACAACATAGCATGCTAGAATTTAAGTTTACACCACATATAAGATCTGACTGTCCTCTTTGAACTACTAAATGCCTGATTCTTTCCAGTTTTAACATTAAAGATTTAACATTTATTCATTAAAGATAATTTTGGTTTCTTTCACTATCTTTTGTTTTTATAATGTCTTTTGGTATTTCCATGTACTGTTAGCTACAATGTACATACATGTATATTATGTTTTTGTGTAACTTTATTTTTATTTTAACTATCCAAAGAATGTGTCTATCCTAGTATTCCCACTCGCCCAAGCATCAGCTTCAGGGAAACACTGGTAAATAAAAAGTATCTTGTACCACAAATCATTTCTCATTTCTACTATTAAAGATATTTGCTTGTAACTTTGAACTTATTTGAGATCACAGTAAGAAGTCACTAACTGTAACACGGATTTTGACAGAATTGTAAAAAACATACTATTTTAAGGGGATATCGTGCATATATTGGCCCCAAAATTTGCAAAACAATTGCTCAGAACTTAAAAAAATCCTGGTTAGAATTTTTGCATGCAACATTAATCTTAAAAAAACCCAAAACCTTGGAATATATTCAATTGAAACTTGAAACACATGTTTTCAGGATAAGAAAGGAGGTAACTCTGCAAGATCAGTTCATAATTTTTGGCTTGGAATTAAAATGAATTATGGCCTTTTGTGAAGTTTTTGAAATTCTTTTTGACAATATCCAACATTTATTACTAGGTCATGTATTTTAAAAAATTGTATTTTACTGCCTTAATATATTGGGCCTAGCAATTGGTAAGTTGTTTAAGAGTCTGCGTTTTTCCTGTGAGTATTTTTTCCTTCTGGCTTCATTACCAGAGGCATAGTGTTGGTTTAAATTAATGTGTAATTCTAGAGGGTTTGGGGACATGCCCTCCTGGGCCATCCTTAAAAAAATGTTTGTTTGCAGTAACCCGACCCAGAATTTTCAAGGTGAGTAGGTAGGTTGATTTTTTTTTTTTTTAGAACTGTACTCCCAAATAAACATGGAATTTCAAAATGCTGGATAATATATGCTTTGGTAATCTGGTAACAATTAATAAATTGATAACTGAATTCTAATTTAATAAGACCTACATTTTATTTCTTCTATTAACCTTTAACAGAACAAAAACAAAGCACAAGGTATAATTTTCTGATCCAAAAAATTTTTTTTTTATCCAGACCATGAAAAAAAATTTTGAGTAGGGGCAAATTTTGTGAGTCGGTCGCGTTACTGCAAACAAACATTTTTTTAAGGATGGCCCTGTGAGACCATTTTGCCTTAGTTTGTCTGAGGTGCATATCAGCATATATTTAAGACAATCAATATGTTCAGTGGTTTATAATAAGCTGCAGGTTAGATAGATAAATGACTCGTATTTTATTGTGAAATTTTACTGGACAACTGGTAATTGGTATTTCTTTTGCATAGAAATAAATGCCTGACAGAAGGCCTCTCTACAGTAGTTGTATTGTATTTTCTTCCACTTCTTGTTTAATGTTCTGATATTGAAATTATTATATTTTCAGAGGTTAAAGCTATAGAATAGCATCATGTCGTACATGCTGCAGCATCTTCACAATGGCTGGCAAGTTGATCAGGCCATTCTCTCTGAAGAAGATCGAGTAGTGATTGTTCGATTTGGTCATGATTGGGACCCAACATGCATGGTCATGGATGAGACGCTATACAAATGTGCAGAAAAGATGAAAAACTTTGCGGTGATTTTTCTGGTGGATATCTCAGAGGTTCCAGACTTCAACAAGATGTACGAGTTGTATGACCCATGTACATGTATGTTCTTCTACAGAAACAAACATATAATGATTGATTTGGGAACAGGCAACAACAACAAAATTAACTGGGCAATGGAGGACGTGCAAGAATTCATTGACATAATTGAGACTGTGTATAGAGGAGCTAGAAAAGGCAGAGGTCTTGTGATCTCACCTAAAGATTATTCTACAAAGTACAGATACTGATTGGTTGCATACTTTAGTGTTCATGTCTTTGTGCATAAATTTACATGTTTCATCAGTAAGGCTTTGTGAGTATCAAGCAAATAAAGTATGTGTAATTGGAAAATAGAAATGTGACTAGACTGCATGAAGTGTACATTGTATGAATGAACTTTAGAAAGGTATATAAGCACAAATTTCTCAAATTTTCAATATTCTGTGCAAAGTTTTAAGGTCATTATGGTTATCTACTTTGTTAAGTACTTCTTATTTTACAAGTATGTTATCCACATTTAATATAATTTGAAAGAAGTTTGGACTATGGTTCCAAAAATATTTTACAATCAAACATAAACAGTATAATGTGTTTTGTCTGTAGAATTATGGCTTTGCCAGTATTACTATATACAATTAAAAAAATTATAAACTAAGAAAGAAAAGTTTATTGTGAAGGAAGAAATTTTGTTGATTAAGGACTTAATCAAAATTTTACACTGTAAATGTTTGGAGTGACTGAACTGTATTTTATATTTTAGACTGTTTATGTTTTATATGGTGTAATTGTAGTAAGACTATTGTGAAGGAAGTGTTGAATAAAACAAGTGAAGCAATAAGAAATGTTACTGTATTTTCAAATTACATGTATATATTATTTTATGCTCACATGAGTGAGCTTTTTGGGTCAGGGTGAGCTTTTAGGATTGTTGAATGTCCATCGTCTGTCCACATTTGTTCGTTAACACTCTAGTAGTCACATTTTTGCCCCAATCATCATCAAACTTTGTCAGGATGTTTGTCTAGGTAATTGCTTGGATGAGTTCACACACATTCTAATACTATACTAATGACAGCTGTCTTAATAATAATAGGCAGAAAAATTTCAGAACACTTACAATCTTAAAATATATAAACAGTCTTTTGTACAGGGATTCCATACCTGCTTTTCTTGCATACAGGCTGACTTTGAAGGAGTAATGAATGTTATATTCTTCTTATTTTCTTTTGTAATTATCAAAGTAGATCAATGTGATTCACAAATGTGAATATAATAAGAGAATAGACACAAGTGTCCAATTTTATTATCTAAACTTTTGGATTGGCAGGAGATCAACCAGAATATAATGTATGATATAAAACAGGTATAATGTTGCCATTGGAAATTTACAGAAATTATCTCCAGGTTAGATGTCATACTAAAAAATGAAGTCCTCACTATTGCAATGAATTTAACTAGGAAAAGTGAGATAAGTATTTAATAAATATTAGTGAGATATAAAAAAATGGTATTACTTTCAATTATGTATTGTAGAATTGGTTATTTTTGGACATACTGAACTTTGCTTTTATATGTAAATATTTTATGGAAAAAAATCTGGAAATTAGGGAAATTCAGTGTAAGCCATGAAAACAATAAAATAACACAAAAATAGCAGTCTTGGATTGATTGTGTCTGATCATGAGGGATAGTGGAAAAGGTACAACATCTCTTACGCCCCCCTAGCACCTGCTTAAGCCTATTTAATCTTCAACACTACATGTGCTGTAATAAATTATTCAAAAGGATCTATAGCTTTTATCTCTGAAGTCATTTCTTATGTAAGTTGTAGAATCAAGGCCATAGAGCATTGGAATGGGCTGCTGTTTCAAAAATTTGTCCCTTTTTATATGCCCGAAAGAATTTTGGGCATATTATGTTATAACCCCTGGCATCCGTCCATCCGTCTGTCCGTACGAACCCAGATGTACTAGTGTGACATGGAGAACAATGGGTAACAGTAAATTCTCTTTGATCCTATTCATTCCGTTTTTACTTGTGTGTCTTTTTTTAAGCCTTGTGTGACTAAAAATGGCCAAAAAGATCAAAGGAAAAGTCACATAAGTACCATTTTGTTTGTACGTCCGTCCGTCCGTTAGCAATTTGGTTTCCGGAGCATAACTTAAGTTCCATTTGGCCCACTTTGTTCAAACTTCATAGGATGATTGTCCATATTAGGTAGAAGACCCCTATTGATTTTGGGGTCACAAGGTCAAAGGTCAAGGTCACTATCACCTTAAAACTGAAAACAGTTTTGGGAGCATAACGTAAGTTCCATTTGGCTCACAATATTCAAACTTTATAGGATGATTGTCCATAATGGGTAGAAGACCCCTATTAATTTTGGGATCACAAGGTCAAAGGTCAAGGTCACTATTACCTTAAAACTGAAAACAGTTTCCATACCCTAACTTAAATTCCATTTGGCCCACAGTGTTCAAACTTCATAGGATGATTGTCCATATTGGGTAGAACATCCCTATTGATTTTGGGTTCACAAGGTCAAAGTTCAAGGTCACTATTACCTTAAAACTGAAAACAGTTTCCGGAGCATAACTTAAGTTCCCAGCGGTGCTCCTGTTTATTATGTCTAAAAATCTTTGTTTACAAAAGTTAAACTCATTTAGGACACACAATTTGTAATTCTTTACCTGTCAAGTATTTAACTGTTATCTCTGAAAACTAGCAATTATACACTAAATTATTTTTGTATAACTTTATATGGTATACCTCCCTAATATACTTGTACTTATCAGTATTAAAGCTGCATGTCTCCAGATGAGTCAAAATATTTCAATAAAACCAAACCTGAGAAAAATGTACTAAGATTGTAGGAAAAGTAAAAAGAGCCAAGAATAAAGTTATAATTTATATGTTATGTGCGATTAATGATTAATTTTTAAGTATTTATAACCATATTTCTACGGATTTACTAACACTGTAAAGGTTATTTTTGAATATTTTGACATCATATTGGTAATTTACATGGGTTGCAAGTGCTGTTTGTAATGTGTAAATTGCTTCCTTTTGCTTACTTCACAATATTTTACTTTTAAATTCATTTTCAAAATTTTATGAAAATTAGCATGAATCTGGAGGTTTGCTGTTTTAATTAGCATCTTTTTATTTTACCAAGGATATTGGATCTACCACAAAGATTAAATATCATAAGGGAAATAATGTAATGAAATAATGCTTTATTATTATCTAATTATCTTTATTTTGAAGCAATACATTGTTTGGAAACAGAATATAAATGACATCAGTAAAGTATAAACAACTGTGTCAACACTATAAAACTTCATAATGTTTGCTGAGATTCCCAGTCTGAACTAAGTCTTTAATTAACATTCCTTTCTCAAGAAAAATCTTATGATGAATTGCTATGAAATATCCATGCTAGATCTAATTGCTTTGACATTATTATTTTAATTTCCTACTTGTTGTTATTAAGAAACTGGAAGGACGGTATCCGAATATTTCCCCCCCCCCCCGACAGTTGCCCCTTGGACTACAGACTCTTAATTTGTTAATGTGAACATTGCTGGCTTGTATTGATCTCTTGAGTATAATTTCACTGAGAATGATCGATTTAGGGTGAACGTTCTTTGTTGGAAAGAACTTTTTTTTTATACATGTATTTGAATGTACACGTATATAGGCGGCAAAACCTGTAGTTTCTTATCTCATTAGACTATGAGGAGTCATCTATGTATCCGCACTGTTAATTTGTGAGGCGGCTGTACCTAATAGAGGACAGAGTTACAGTATATACACTTTGTACTACTAGAATGATAATATTTTTTCTGTCACCGTAACGGGATTATTCACATGTACTGTTCTTTAAGGTGTCTTTATTGGGTAGCAAGACAGAAATATATAAAGCTGAACCTTGACGAAAATATATGCCACTAAGCATTTAACTTGCACGAATTGGCGATTCGTTAAAGTACAGGGTTTCGAGTTTGCTTTAAACTAATATCTATTTGATTTCTTTATTAAGTTATTAAACAATCAATGATCTCTAAATTGACCTCAGTTGCCCAAACCATTTGTGTCAATATACTACAGATACTTGATACATCACCGTGACTCGTGGTCCTAGTATTATTGATTTGAAATTATGAAGTTTTAATAGATTGTCAGTACGTTGACTGCGTGATTGTGTTCCAGTCATAATTAAGGGACTAGTAATTTTATAACAAGCGTGAAATAATAGCAATGGGGTCACGAATTGTTTATTTTCGCAGCCTTTTAATTAAATATCCTTTTTAAGGCTACATGTAATGCTGTTTTACTCATGAGCCCGGGTTCCAATGAGATAATGGAAAATATAGAAGATTTCTAGAGAGGGAAAGTCACCGGATGACGGAGTTGAGTGGGGGTGAAAGCCTTAAAGCTGCACTGTCAACTGTTATGATCTGTTTTCTGAGCAAATATATTAATTTGTACCTACCAGGTCTGCGATAAAAATAGCGTTTGATCAGCTGAATTTTTAATCAGCGTAAGCATTAAATATATGAATGAAATGAAATTCGTCTTCAATTTCAGAACATGGACATAATTGTCATAACCTTACTTGTTAATTCTATTCCTACCACATCTGTCGGCGTAAATATGAAAGAGCTTATTTACTTCAAATTTGATAAAGTTTTTAAATAACTTTCAAAACTTTATTCAATCGGTCTTAAGATGTACACCATGAGTTATCATTGAAATATGTACGTTTAAGCACTATTATAAGTCTATAAATATTTCATGAAATATAACTTAAATTAGAATTACTTATGTCATAAAATGAGCACGCATTTGAGAAAAAAACTTAAAGAAACTCTTTCTTTTTTTAAATCTTTTATAAAATAAGTTGTAAGTCTTGCATGTTTTCTATAGTTCCAATCTAATATTCATATTGCAGAATAAAAGTAAAAGTTACAAAAAAGCCTAAAAATAGTGAAAAAATACCCAAAAACCGTGGCAGAAGACAGTGCCTGCGTCAACAAAGAAAATACGCGCTCGTAAACTTTCAAATATTACTGACTATATCAACTCATAGGCTTATATTTCAGATACACGTTTAGCCGATGAAAATTTATATTTTGATTGCTCATATAAATATTTGTTATACGTTTATGAGGGTTATTGTCATATTAATTATAATAATGAATCATTTCCTCAAGTGACCGGTACTCGTATTGGAGTGCCCCTAAATGTTCGATTTCTTTATAATACTTCATAGAGTTGTTGTTAATGAGCTTGTTGTAGAGACAATCTCCAATGTCCTCCGCGCGTTCTCGAAGAGCTGTCTTGAAATACTATATGCATTGAAATACCATATGCGTTGTTTTAACAAACTTCAATCCATGTAAGGAGAGTGTATTTCTTTCCCAGCATCCTAGCAAATGTGTTTGCTGTACTTAATACCTGTGACTATAAAGTTCACATGATTCTTGATAATGTTTGTAGAAGCGGAATTCTTTTCTTTAATTTGTATTAAAAAGCGATGGAAACTTTTTTCCAGCAATGTTTTTTTATAGGTTTCATTTTGCTTTTTAAGGAAAAACGTTTTGTAGATTTGCTTTATCTTTTACTCGTATATATCCAAATTTGCGCATAGTATTTCGCTCAAATGCAAAAACATAGCCGATTATGTATGCTTAAAAAAAACACAATTTGGCTACAAAATTGGCATCCCTATTTTAAATACATTTCTTTTTTCTTTTTTAATTATATGCAAATATAAATGATGGGCTGAATAGATATATCTATAACCTTCTTTTGTAAATTAAGCATTGTTAGATTGTATACATGCATATGTTATATAGTGTTGATTAAATAAGCTACACTTAAAATCATGTACATAATACAACACTTAACTCAGAGAAATATAATCAAAGAAAGATTAATTATTAAATAATTTACAATAGCATGGCCATTAGTTAACATAGCCAATCATATTATAGTCACAAAGAGAGAACGAGGTAATGAATTTATTGGATATTGTCATTGATAGTTGTGACTTTTATAAGTGTGGATTTGAAATATTACCCTAATTGTAACAATAATGCCTTTTATCAGACGATTTTCTTTTCTCTGCTCGCAGACGACATGTCCTGCATCGTCTTTAGAGATCAGCGTCCAATCTCTATCTGAAAGTAGTCCGGCGGTTAACATGTCCTTAGAAAATAGTGCATGGGGTAATGTAAATTGCAGCCCGAAATGGATGATTATTATAATGTGTACTTTTTGTTATGTTTACTGAAAAGATTTAGTGAATCAGAAGGGGATCTTTTAAACAATGAGAACTATTTACCAACGTGAAATATTTACATTCATTTACTATATTTAGAGAGGCACTTAAATATATGCGATCTTTTTAAAACGTTAATTGTCGTGGCTATAATATTATCATAGTGTATATTTGGAATATGTGGAAAAAACGAGAATGAATATACGAGAATAATATCAAAGTGGTCGGCTTTGTTTTCATTTATGTTTTTGTGACGAAAATATTTTGCGTGTCTGTATCAAGCGTTAGAGTTTATTGGTGATACATTTTTTAAGCAGGCTAATTTGAGAAAATGTGAAATAACTGAAGTAAAATTCGTGATAATTTAGATTAGCATTTGTCCTTTGTTTTCCATGAGCATTAAACATTTTGAGGAAACATGACGGAAAGGAGGAGCAAGATTTGCGACTTTAGCTACACATTTATATTTTTCCATCTAATGATAAATCATATTTTTGGACAAACGCTGTTACAAGCTGTTTGGATGGTACCGTTTACGTCACATCCGACGTCAAGTTTCTTCTACAACGCGTCATCTTCCGTTTCGGCGCTAGCGCTTGGTCTTCAGACGGTATATAATCAATCTATTTTACCAGGATATGTGTTCAAGTAAGTATTGATGTTATTTATTCTATTAATATCAGTATTTCTTTATAATATTGCTCGTGCAGCATCATCATTTATATTGTAATTTCAACTGGAAAGTTTTCATAGCAATAAGCTACTGACATATAATGATTCTGATGAAAAAAAAATATTTATCAATATATCGGATGAAAAATACAAATACATATATTCTGCAAATAAGGACCGGCATTCTGACCAGACTCTATACCGTTGGACGATTTTTTAAATATTTTGTGAATGAAATAAACTGGATTGACCAAAATTCAAAGCAGTTCAAGTCTATTACAGACACTCAGTTGTTTATGGGCTAGCTTAGATGAAATGATGGAATGTAATGCTGTTCATTTATTCTTTTATTTTATCTTATTTTATCTAATTTTATTTATTATTATTATTATTATTATTATTATTATCATTATTATTATTATTATTATTATTGTTATTATTAGTAGTATTATTATTATTATTATTATTATTATTATTATTATTATTATTATTATTATTATTATTATTATCTCAAGTTTGTATAAAGCATTCTTCTTCATATTCAAAAACGTGTTCAAAAGTTCTTTACCGAACCTATTAAATAAGAAAACAACATTTGATTAGGGGACTGAAAGTATTTTTCAGAGGATTTTATTCTTGTATAGATCGATAACAATGATCATGATAACATGTGGCCAATATTTCAGGCATTTCGTTCCCTTCGTTCCCTCCGGGTTTTGTTCCAGAATAACCATGATTAATATGAAAATTGAAAACATTCAAGTACTTTAAATAACTTAAATACACCTAAGTGGAATTTCTTTAAGCAATCAGACAATACACGAAAACATGAATTTAAGAAAAAACAACATTGTAAACATAAGGCAGTGCGATCGAATTAAAACATAATAAAACGCAAAGCAACCTTCATGCTGATAAAACTAGAACAAAGTTTCTAATAGTAAAAAACATCAAATAATATATCATACAATAGATAATCCGCATTCTGCAGTAGGTAATGGTTATTTAAGACAAATTCTACTTCAAACGCTTCAAACATTTTTATTCCCTATTTTCCCTTTTCTCGTTATTATAAATTATTATTGAATGCATTTTATATAAAGTTGATTCTCCGTATCTCGTACTTCAAAGAGCGTACATTTGACTTCGAGATAAACGAAATTCGAGCTACTAGATGCTACTGTCATTATCGCCTTCGTATATGTTTTTACCTGACTGCCTGTCCTAAGATGTAGATGTAGGCCTACTCGTAATGGTATTGTTATGTACTTTTGTTGTTATTATTCAGTGTATGCTAACATGCTTGTTCTAATTGCTTGTGCTTAATATAGTTTATGTTGTTGTTGTTGCTAACGGGTATTTCGATTATTTAGTCGTTGTTGTTGTTGTTGTAGTATTACAGTGATAGATACAGAGTGCAGCAGTAAACAAAGTATGGGGGCCTTGGTAGATCTTCTGCTGGAGCGAAACGTTGATGTCGTTTTTGGACCGCCCTGTTCTAAAGGTAGCTCATCGCGATTTTGACATACTAAATAATTTTCTTTTTATAATACTGTAAACTAGATGATGAATATTCAATTTTGTTATAGAAATCATTTTGATATTAAAGTCATAAACTGTTCAGTAAAATTGAATATGTAGTCGAGCCTGTGCATTTCACCTACATTATATCGTAGTGACATTGCTTTAAAGGCCCATCATGTGTCAGAAAAGCTTTTTCTCGAAAGCTTCTTTAAATTTTGGTGTACATTTATAGTATATTGACCAATTACCTGAAGCATTTTTTTCATCTGTTTTCTTTTGGCAACAAGTACATTAATAGTGATTTGGTATTTTGTATGGAAGTCAAAATACTACGTTGTTTACATTTTGCTCCTTTAAGACACATTATTTTACATTAAGCATTATTTGCTTCAGGTAACAAGCATCTAACATCATCTTAAACCTTTGTTTAAACGTTATAAAACTAATGCTTGACCTTTCTAAAAAACAAATTATTTATTCATCTTTGAGGCCTTAAAAAGAGATCTCAGCTTTTTCACAATTGTTCACATTACGTTTGCATAAGTTTTACATTTTTACAGTTGTCCAGCCCGTTGGTGAGTTACTCGCATACAGAGATGTTCCATTGCTGAATTGGGTGTCTCTCGGTCAACCTATAGATTATAAGACAGAACATAACACGTACATACGAACAATGGCTCCAATATCGTCACTAGGTAATATCGATTTCATTCCACGGCATTTTATATTTACGCAATTGATACACAAAATTATTAAAGCTGCACACCTCCAAATCAGCAAAAGATATTTCAAGAAAAATCAAACTCAAAAATATACATAGATATAAATTTTAAGAAAAGTTAAAAAATTCAAGTAATATTTTACATGTTATGTGTGAGTAATGACTGATTTTCACTGCGTGACTAACACAGGAGGGGCTAATTTTGTATATTTAGACTTCTTTTTGGCTATTGACATAGATTTTAAGAGCCGTTTGCAATGTTTAAATTACTTTCTTAAAACTCACAATATTTTAATTTTAAATGCATTTTCAAATTGTCACGATATTTAGCATGAATCTGGAGGCACGCTGCTTGAAATATACAGTCAATATATGAGCAAAGGTCGAAACCTATCGATGAAAGAAGCAATGTTTTTTCTCTCATTGTTTTGTATATTGACTATTTTGGTACTTTTTTTCATTCCCGAAGATGAGCTTTTCAGACTGTAGTGACTGCATTTGAAGATCACTAAAAGTTGCATTCCCAGTATTAGGAATATCGCCTGACTAAACTGATATTGAATTATATTCTTTCAACGTATGTAACGTAAATTTATGTCGGTTAAGAAGATCTGTCCCCTACGGAAGCGTCCTAGGGCCAATTTAGGCTTTTCTATCTCCTACGTAGGAGTTTTCAATTTTTATAGAACACGTTAAATTGGCACCAGGACGCTTCCGTAGTCCCCTAAGTAAGGTTTATGTTATGTATTGGATTTTCACTACCATTTTACCTATCTTCAAAATAAAAAGACAGCTCCAAATAACTGCATATTACAAACGGAGAGTTATTAAATTGCAAAATAATTGTACCGGACAAAGAAATGTCATGTTTTTTTTTCACGTGGTACATGTATTTCAGGTGGCATTATGACATTATTTTACTACTACACCGGTTGGAGGAGACTGGTCATGATTTCTAGTGAAGGCGATGATTACAAGAGTGCAGCTGGTGTCATAGAAACCAATCTCAAAGAGCATGCTGCGAATTATTTCCTGTTAGCCCATCACTATAGTGACGTCAACATTAATGCGTCTGCAAAGGAAATTGACCAAATCCTGTCGAATATTATCTACGAAGGAAGAAGTAAGATTTTTTGGGGAAATTTTGTGATGTTTCTTTCCTAAACTATATTATAAGATTCCTTGTGTGCATGTAATCTGATGTTTTGGATTGTCATATTTTTTAATATCGCGATTAGTACCACCACTTAATCTAAAGAAATATATTCTTTGATTATCAAATGATATATTTTTTTCCAGTTATTATATTGGTAATACCGCGGAATGAGTTACGTACATACATGTTACAGGCGCACTTCCTAGGACTGACCAGCGGAGATTACCAGTTCCTTTTCACGGATACCCGGGTAATTGATTTATATAATCAAAATGGTTGATGTATAACGTCAATTAGCTTTGTGCCATCAGTGTAGATATTGGCCAGTCTTTACGCTCATGTAGGTTGACCAAATTTTGTAGATACAATAATGTAATTATTTTTTTTCTTTCCTGACATTGAAAAGTTGTCCCCGGATCAATTCAACAACTAGTAAACAGATTCGTCTGTCGTTTGTTCTCAACTCAATGACATGCTGTCAAATTCCAATAACTATAATTATGAATAAATCGAATGATGATGTAGAGACATTGCAGGACCTTCTGAACAACAAACGGAATATTCCAATTATTTTTATACATGTACTTACTAATCTCTAAGATAGGCCCCTATCTTAATTCACGCCAAGTGTGTTTAATACACTAATAAATAGATCTAAATTAGTCATAGTTTCTGGGTTAAGGTGCTTAATGTTTATCATCATTTTAGCTTGCTGGAAATGCGGACATGGCCTTTATAAACAGTGATCAGTTATGGAAGAGAGGTGACCAGTACGACACTGCAGCTAGACAGGCGCATGAAAATGTTCTATATGTATGTATTAGTGTGTATCATTTTCTATCTCCCTATTTAGGCTTATTTCATTATTATACAGCTTGATGAATTCTGCTCAAGCCGGCGCTTGGGACATTAGACGAAAACATGCTTTAACCACTACCGTCAATGAATAACCCCAATCAAAACGAATCTGCAACTTTTTAAATTTTGCCGCGAGGGGTGACCCGTTTGGTTTCCATTTTGTCTATTTCATTTGAAATGTCAGAATCAAACATATTAGCTTTCCATGACATTTTTGGGCTTTTCATCAGCAAGTTCTTATAACGAAGTCGTCGTATATCATTTGTAGTTTGAAACCCCGGTGCCAACTCGACATCGGCAACACCCCGATTTTATTTGAAAGAAACACCAAGCCATGAACTCATTTCTATGTCATCGTGTATTTTTTATTTAGGTTTTATTACTTATAAACACAACTCTGTCATCATAAACTATAATGGAAAATAATCATTTGAGCCGCGTCATGACAAAACCAACATAATTGGTTTGCGACCAGCATGGATCCAGACCAGCCTGCGCATTCGCGCAGTCTGATCAGGATCCATGCTGTTCGCTATCAGTTTCTCTACTTGTAATAGAGTTGGTAAGCGAACGGCATGGATCCTGATCAGACTGCGCGGATGCGCAGGCTGGTCTGGATCCATGCTGGTCGCAAACCCATTATGTTGGTTTTGTCGTGACGCGGCTCATTTGTTCTTACATCGTTTTTTTTGATTACTTTATTTCAGTTTGTTCTCGGTCATGATTCACATGACGTAACAGAATGGAAAACTGAATCATTTGATGCTTACAATAACATCTTCAATGGTAGATCTGATATACCAGATCCTAGCGAGGTAAATTATCTGTCAGTCACCTGCTTTAATACTTGCATTTCAAAGGCAAAAATATAATGACGTATATTTTAGTCCATTCAGAACAATATTAAAAGAGAGTCCCATTTTAGACCTTGTACACCATTTCCTAATCATGGATTCTGTAATTTACTTTTAAAAGTAACATAAACGTTACATATTAAATATCGCTGAAGATTGAAACATATTGATTTTTTCTTCACAAAGAAACAATGGCACAAAACATATTTTCTTGTATTAAATACATATGTATATCCATTTATATATTCCTTATTAACGTCACTAACACAGTTTCATTTGCATTTTTTAAAATTGGTGATACCAGTTAAGATTTTTTTGTCTTTCTTTATAAGCCGGATGAGTTTGCCGCCTACCTACACGACACCGTCATATTATATGCTAAAACGTTGAATCGGACTCTAACTTACGGATTTACCGGAAGTGGAAGAGCCATAATCGCCTGGTCATCCTTAGAATTTTTTAAAGGTACAGATATTGATACAAATAATAATAATAATAATAATAATAAATCATAAAAATAATAATAATAATAATAATAATAATAAAAAGAAATAAACAACCACAACCCAATAGAAATAATATCAATGGCAACCATAAGTTGAAATAGACAATTTCTTACATAATGATGACCAATTCTTTGGCACCATGAAATTCTATAACAAAGACCCTGAAACGCCAAAACTGTCTTTTAATGTGACAAAACTGACACCCTAAATTATACTTTTATTGCGGTCGTTTTCTTCGTTATTTCTAATATTTTATTGTAACGACGATGTATGGGGGAATCAACGTGCTAACACTAATGATATATCAAATGTGCATTTATCGTTATTATTTTTTGAAGATCAAGAAAATGTCTTTAAATGACTAACATGACGTTTATCATATTACACGTGACATTTGTATTAATTTAGGGCTATCAGGAGATGTTGTCATGAACACGTTGGGTGATAGACAGCCCACATTCTTCGTGTACGACATGGATTCGTCGGGATCTTTTCACCAAGTTGCCAGCCTACAGTATACGATCGATGAAAACTTGGCGAAAGTTAATGCGGTATGAATATTTTAAATAAATATACACCCATTACGAATAAAACATTAATTTAGATATGTTGGCTTCGTATTATTAAAATAATTGTGCATTGAATTAAAGATAAATTAAACGTTTATGTTCAATGTTATAGTGATATATGTACATATTTGTATACACAAACTGTTGATGTTTTCCTACGCTGTATTGATGTAATGGAATTTGGTGGAAATAAGTTAAAGACGCGAATTACTATCCGTCCCAATAGTATTGAAAAGGCTATCCATTTCTATTTTATTTTTATTCGGAAGGGAATAAAGACTTAATACTTTTTCAAAACCTTATTATCAAAATCGTTATCAAAATCGTCAACATCTACACCACCACAACCATCAGTCATTATCATCATTATTATCTCTGTAATCATCATCATCATCATCATCATCATCATCATCATCATCATCATGATTATCATCATTTTCTCTGTTATAACTGAACGTAAATTCACATGACAAAGGCATTTAAAAGAAGAAAGTAAACGATATCCACAATTATTTCAGACATCAACATTTACAACTATTATCTGGGGAGATGGCAGCACTACAGATGACCCTTATATTCCCCCAGACACGCCCCCTTGTGGCTTTTTCAACGAAAATTGCCCGCCGTCGGACTCGCCCTCAGGTTTGTAAGAACATGTATAACACATGGAAACTACACACTACATGCACAAATTATTAAACTGATATCTAAAAGAATATTTCAGACATATAAGAAGACATAAGAATAAAAAGAAAAGAAAAATCTGTTGAAAGAACTTTTATTACGCAGAATTGAGTGATAGATATATTATGTACATCATAAACTTTTATGTTAAAACACTTATCTTGGGTATTGTTTTTGAAAGTTTGATATAATACGTTAATAAAAACTGAATGTGCACTCAAAGTAAAAGCTGCAAAACGCAACATTTATACTATTGTATATGTACTTTTACCCGAGAGAAAGTAAAATCTTAACTGTAACTTCCTATCGAATTTAAACATAACTATATTTATTTTTTTCCTGGGACATACGATAGCATGATGCTATGTCCGATAGTTTCCAAAAAAAAAAAAAAAAAATAGTATTTTTAATAGGACAAATAGATCAAAAAAGATTTTCAATTGTTTCCTAAATGTTTAACATTTATTCTTATGCAGCATGATATATGTAATCACGGATTTATATTAATTTACTTTTTAATAAAATTCCTAGCAAACAATCCGGCAATTGTGTCTGATTTTCTTCAAAAATCGAAACTTAAACTCATATATTCCATCGCAAATAAAATATTTATACGTAGGTGAATCAATAAAATTGAAATTGTTACATTTCAAACATGCTTCGTCACGTAGATTTTTAAAATCGATCACGTGGACAATAACAGCGTTCTGTGATCTATCGATGCCATGCCGGCGCTTTGAAGATAATCGATAATTAGTAAACACTCTACGAAGGTGTTGTTTATTTCTGTATTCCAATATGGGATATTTTGCTATATTAGAAACTTAGGTATGTGCTTTTTCCTCTACGTTGTTTAATTGATCAGTTCTTATCATGTTATCCTAAAGGCAAATTTTGATGTTTTTTTAGTGTGCATACTGTGTCAAATTTGTTTTCCAACTTGTTCAGGATTACGTTTAAATAGTTACGTTTAGGTAAGTATTTAACTGTACACTGTATTGAAAAATTGTGATCAAACGTCCAGTTGATCAGACTCATACATTTAATTTTCTAATATTTCCTAAATCTTATGCATCAAGATACGTGTAAAATATTGTACGTGGTTCACTTTCCAAGTTATTTGTATGTATAACTCTTGTCGTTAATTTATAGCAGCCCCGTTTAATTAATTATCGTGAAAAGGTAATGGCTATAGATTGATGGAAATATGACATTGACAACGTATCATAAACGGTTATAAGTTATTGACCGGTAATTTCCTAAGCTTATTTCTTATTATATTTTCAGAGAACATTTTGATAATCATAATCCCAGTGTGTCTCACAATGTTGGTGATTCTACTTGCGTTATTTCTTGTCTTCAGGTAAGATTGTTTTCATTGACGTTCATTAATATATATATATGATTTCTTACGCTCATACACATAGTAACAATTATTCTTCAAGTCTTATATATCGACAACAAATGTTCATTTTTTGCTGATGAAGTAAAATTGTATCTTGTCACCATTTTAAAGCCCGACCAATTAGCATTGACGCAGTCTGATCAGAGCAAAGACCACAAGGTTTTAATACTTTGATTCTGACCACTTACCATTGGGAGAAAATATAAATCACACACATTCAACAAAATAGTGTGTGCGTGCGTGCGTGGCTTAATGAGGGACCATCCACACTTTCAGGCACTGAGAGTACAAACCCCGGACATGTCACCATTCATATTTAAATTTAAATGTTATTATCTGCCAAAAGGTGGCCCATAAATTTTGAATTCAGTGATTCATTGAATGTTACTATATATGTATGCAAGTCGATTTTGTGACGTATACTATTTTGATGCACGGGAGGCCAATGAGACCATTATAATAATGCATCAACAAAATGGTGATAAAAGTTGAAAAATCAAACGTATGTATAAACCGGATATTACATCTTAGAATTAAGGATTCAACAGACCAGTAAATCTGCGTTTACAATATGATCTATAATACATGTACTTCAATATTCATAGGTGGTGGAGAAGTGAAAGTAATTTCAGGAATATGTCATGGAAAATAGATTACAACAACTTAAACTTCAACTTGACCTCCAAGAAAATACACTCTTCTATGGTAAGATTTAAATCTGTACAAAAACGTGTATTTCTCTGAATAGAAGTTAACGTGATATCCGTGCATTAAAAAAAATATTCACGAATTTTTTCTTCGATAGAAGATACTGTATTTACCCTTCATTTCTTGCAAAAACATTTTGATTGGTTTAAATACGAACAGAGACTGATGATACAAATTTGATTTTGATGTAAGAAAAAAAAGGAGAAAATTTGAAATAATGTTAACTGTTAACGAAAAATGTTACCGTATAAGGTTAGTTGCCTATTTGCTGAACTATTTGCAGTTCTCTGCTCAGTTTTGATTTTTTTTATTATAACATGGGAAGGAAATATATTTTTTAAAACTATTTAACTTGACAGAGAGCATCGAAGGGTCTTAACAGTAGTACTGGTAGTTTGGACAGCACGAGTTTATCCGGAACTATCCGAAGTGGAGCAACTTCCGCCGCGACTTCTAGGCATTCATTAAATAGAGGACAGATTTTTACAACCGTTGCCATGCTTAAAGGAGAAATGGTGGCCGTGAAAATATCTACAAAAAAGAAAATTCACACAGATAGGAAGTTTCTGCTGCAAATGAAACGTGTATGTGTAATTTAGTTTTCAAATCTAGTGAAGGTAGTATTCGATTTGTTGAATCTTTTGGTAAGCATACTAAGCACGTGCATGTTTGATAAGTAGATTATATGATAATTACAATTACTTCTGAAGATTTTTTAACATTTTACTTTCATTCCGTATCACATCACTATCCCGTATTACAATTGCAAATTCATAGAAGTAACGAATTAACAGAACATGTCTGTGGTCAGGATTGCACCTTGTTCTTCAGCGTTTATTATTATTGCTAGCATTTTGCAGTTAAGTTTCGCTTTATGAACATTGCATCCACATGCCTTGTATATCTTAAAATTATATTATTTCTAAATTGTCAAAATAGCATTGGCCTATTTCAGTTATTCGAGTTAAAACATGCGAATGTAACAACATTTGTTGGAGTGTGTACAGTACCAGAGAAGATTTGTTCCGTATGGGAGTATTGTAGTAAAGGAAGTATTCAGGTCAGACTAAAATATATTGCTTAAAATTGTCAATTAATATTAATTAAGAATAGCATAAGCATTTAATTCACAAAGTAAATAAATTAAAATTTGTTCATTAATTATTAATCTGAGAATTTCGTGACTTGGCTTCGCTCTGCTTTAAATTTGGAACAGTCAATACAATATTAAATTTAAGGAATTTTAAAATCAAAATGAAAAGATCGAGCTACAATGAAAAGATCGAGCTACAAACAGTATAGTGCCTGATGAGACAACACGGAAGTGCACGCTAGCCTGGTTCTATACTGGTGGCAAAAGCCTATTACATTTGGTTGAATCAGAATAGCGGAAAAACTTAAAAAAGTCTGTCCTAAAGTGATTAAACTGCACTTTTATCCCTTAACATGCTTTATTGCTAAAATAGACCTCCACATGTTTCAAATTTTGAAACGGTGAATAATCATAAAAACTTAATATATTCAGCATTTTAAAGCCTGGTCAAATTCAAAAGATGTTCCGACCGACCAGGCTCTATGCTTGTGCCAAGTTTCAATACTTTCAACCTCAGCAGGTTTACAGCTGTACTTGTGAAAATCGTTAACATTTTTTTTTCTAGCTTTATTATTATGTCAAGTATGCTTTCCTTGAATTTCTATGTTCTAGTTGTCAATTATGTATGTAGTCATAAAAACACTGTGAATTAAATATGTGCTAATTGAAAATAGTAGCTGTAACATTTAGTGAAATATCATGTAAAAAATATTGATTCAACGTACTTATATAGCTCAAACAATTACGAGTACACGTTGTTTTTTTTTCTTTTCCAAAACGAATTTCAGGACGTAATTGAAAATGACGACATTAATTTAGACACAATGTTTAAACTTTCACTGGCCCTCGATATATGTCAGGTAAGAGTATTACATATGTACAAGAACCTCTGTTTTACTTTGATAAAAGGTTATTTTATTGAGTTTCATCGAAATGTTTGTAAGTTTTGTTATTACATAACAAAAATCTGAGTAGGTTTTCTTGTCGGGACATCATGATAACTTAATAAATTTGCATGTTTTGGTTCCTATAATTCGTGATAATTTGATACATGACACGACTTGATTTGATTCAATAATTATAAACTAAGTAATGATTTTATAACCTAAATGTACACCTCTTTATAGAGGTAACTTTAGCGCATTTCCATTGCTGACCGCTATCGAGAGTTTATTTATAAACGCAGATGATAGTACTGTTTTTTACTTACGTTCTTTAAAATATGATTGCTTTGTGTTTTTTTGTTTTTTTTTAATAATACAGGTATATGATACATTCTTTGTCATTTCATATATTAGATATATAAAGTGCTATCTAATATTTGCTTTTGTACTTTATGTAACCCCGTAAATGCTGAATTGATGTAATGGTTTTGCCTTCCTTTAAGTTTGCAATTTAAGATGTTATAAGATATCGATACCAATATATAAGTTTAATCACCAACAGTATAGAGCATGAAGAGACTGCATGGATGTGCAGGCTGTCATAGCTGTGTATACTTGTTGGCAATTTCTTTGGTTTTCCAGCAGGTTAAAGGTTATTATTGTTTTTCCCCCAGGGTTTGGACTACCTTCACAAGAGTTCAGTCAGATTTCATGGTAATTTAAGAAGCTCAAATTGCGTTATTGACAATCGATGGGTTTGTAAATTAACTGACTTCGGTACACAGAGATTGAAACCGGCAGACGAGTCCGTTGATACTTTCGGCGAACATGCTTTCTATGCACGTAAGGTTTTTTCATACTTTAAAATATTTTGTTTCATATTCTGACATATTGCTTAAAATATTTGAAAAGATTAATTTTAGCATAAGCCGTTTGTCAGCTTTTCATTTTTTATAGTACAATGTAGCAGGTCAAGTTGTAAGAGGTATATCGCCAATGTATAAAACAACTCATAAATATTTCTTGGGGGATAACAGGAAAAATTATACAAAAATAAAATCGGCGAGTTCTGAAACAGTTATGCACTTATAAGTAACACAAGGTATGGACTCTAGCCAAAAGCACAAACTGTTAAATATAAAGACTCTTTTTCTGTACGTTTTATGCAACTTGCTCTTTTTCGATCATAGGTTTATTTTGGACGGCACCAGAGATATTACGGAAACTATTGAAGAAGGAGCACGTGTCAGGCACGAGTGAAGCCGATATTTATGCTCTTGGAGTAATAATTAAAGAATTGTTGTGTAGAAATGAGCCTTACTGCGCCGAATCTCATCTTTCTCCAAAAGGTATGATTAGAAAGTGAAGCAGTACTATACTGTGTTATAGCCAGGTATATTATTGGTGTTATCATGTACAATATTGGTGTTATCATGTACAATATTGGTTATCATGTACAATATTGGTGTTACAAATAGTTTATAAAATCGTAATGTACCTGACATTAAATGATCCAAATTTATTCATTTACGGAATATTATTATTAATGAATGATTTAGTTAAAATTCCATTGTTTGGCTTCAAAATTATATAGAAAGTAAATTATAGACCTTACATGGTTTACATACTTATCTAAGCGCTCGATTGATAAAATTAGTTTTTGCAACTTATGTTAATCACTTTCAAGTCCATTTCATGGCACTTTGTAGTACTGGTGTCATATGAAGAAAAATGACCCGAGAAGCGTTTGAACCCACAATAAATAACTTCACGCTTGAACCCACGATAAATTAACTAAACAACTAATGGAAGAAAGATTTTTTGGATTTTAAACAAATCTGCCTTCCACTTACAAACATTTCTTATTGATAGCATATAGCACAGAAAAAAGATGCATAAATAAATTTGTCTTCTCATATTGTACATACAGAAATCATTACGAAAGTAGCTGAACCGGAAAATTCGGACGAAGTTTTCAGACCGGTTATATCAGACACGGAACTAGATTCAGACTATAGTCAGTCCAATATGATATACCTTATACAGCGGTGCTGGGCCGAGGATCCAGAAATAAGGCCAAAGACCAAAAATATCATCCGAACATTAAACAAATTGAATCCATACAAGTGAGTACAAGTATTCGTCAGTTTTTAAAACAAACGTTATTGAATTTTACATAAATTAACGTTTTAGAAATGATAATCAAGTCCTGAAGTTGTTATTATTTGTGCTTTAAAAAATAATTAAAGCGTTTACCAAAAAAATTAAATGGTGGCGATCCCACAATGAACAATTAAACTGTTACAGTCAGCTATTCTCCAAATTGAATATTAAATTATTCTATAATTATTATTATATACAATGTATTACTATAATGATAACTTCAACATTTTTAGAGTGCTATCTTACTGCTTTAATGCTAAATTGAAAATTATCTTATCTTAGATAAAGTACTCATCTCAATAAGTTATAGGAAAATACCTTATTCAGGTCTAAATTAAAATTATCGTAACAAATTGCAAAACAGTTATTGTGTTAATACATTCTCCTATTTTATGAACATAAATATAACTTTGATCAAATGTAATCACCTATTTAATAAATATTTATCTCAGAAAAGCAAGTGTAGTAGACAACATGATTGCTATGATGGAAAAATATACCAACAACCTGGAAGACATTGTTGCTGAACGAACAGAACAACTTCAAGAAGAGAAAGTCAAGACTGATGCTCTTTTATACAGGATGCTTCCTAGGTAAACATTTATATTCACGTTTTAGAAAATGCTAATACGTTCATAGGTTATATACCAATGCCGTCACATTTGATTTTAATGATAAAAATGCATGTTGCATTTTCACAAAAAAGGTAAAGAATTGCACTTAAAATGTTGCAATATTAGGAAAGAATCATGACTATAGTATTGCCACCATGAATTACCATTGTGGTGATTGCAAGACATGTCTCAAATTTTAATTGGTTTTATTTTGTGTCCTACTTTCTTTCATTTAAATGTAGAAATTAAATTGCATAAATGTGATTTAATTACTTTATATATTGTAGAAAAGTTGCGGAAGATTTGAAAGTTGGTCGGTCTGTACAAGCGGAGGCGTTTGATTCTGTGACAATATATTTCTCCGACATTGTACAGTTCACTAACCTAGCTGGTGAAAGCACACCATTAGAGGTATATTATTATATGTATATATTGTTGCCTTTACACTGTGTCGATGATTACGCGTTTTATTGATCTACAGGATCTGGGCAAGATAGTAGTCAAAATATATTGGGGTGCCAAAGCTAGATTCTATGATGTTTTTGTTCTTGGTAAAGATATACTGCCCATAAACAAAATAGCGAAATATCTTATCGCGTAATACAATTAGTCGGACTAGTTAAGATAGGGATGTGTGTCGTAAGTGAATCGAATGTTGAACAGACTGTCGTGTATTTAAAAACGAATAAATTCAAAGCACTGCAAGAAAACTTTGCTTTATATTTCAAGTGGAATTATTTAAAGATTAAGGTTATGGATTTATCTTCAAATTCTCTCAATTCTATCGTGAAAACGAATTTATTACGATAATTCTGTCTAAATTTATACATTGTTTGTGAATGATTATAAATATAATATTTAGAATATCAAGAAGATTTCAATAGGGTCACTTGAAAGCCCCTATAAACAAATAATATAACACTCTTAATTTGTTCTAGAGTTATTCCTATCACTTTGATGTTAGTATTGACTATGATAATAAGAGTTCAATTGACCCTTAATAAATACCAACAAGATAAAATATGGCAATACCAATTAGACATACAACATGATAATGTTACATTAGAAACAGATATATTTACAAGATATATTTACACATTTGAGTGTTTAATTGGTCGATAAATACCAGTATGATGATGTATGTATATTTGATATGACCATTGTATGTTTTCATTTTATTGGAATAAGTGTAATATTACTTAGATTTGAATTGTTTTCAAAGTTCTGTTTTGTCTTAAGTCCAAATTTGAATATTAATCTCGTCATGTTCTAAGCTAATAAGTGTTTTGTTTTAATTCAAACAGATTAATGTCAGTACATGGGTAAAAGAACAATAATTATGTACATATGTCGATCACTTTGTATTTTCGTTCACGCATTTAAAAGATAGTTACCATACAATACAATATTTTACCACGATTCGTATTTTAAGACACAGTTCAAAGATTCTACAGTTTAAATGATCTTAATAAATGGTACCAACAAGAAAAATATAAGATAACACCAAAATTAAGAACTAGTTATTAAGTAGTATTAAAATTTAATACGAATTTTAGTCAAAGCATATTTTTCTCTTATTCTTACAGATAGTGGCCTTGTTGAATGCATTGTATACATTGTTTGATGCCATTATCAGTCATTATAATGTATATAAGGTAAGGGTGTATAATACTTATTTGTCATTTTATTGATATAGAGGCGTATGACCGTAAATGTCATATAATTTCCTTTCAATGTACGACCATATTATATTGTTGACTTTGTTAGCAATATTCGTTAATGTGCAATGATAAACAATTTCCTGCAGTATCAATGAGGTGTTCCGAATGCTACATGTGTGGGATGGTGTCTGTTTCCGGGTAATTTTACATATTTCTACCTTGAACTAGCCAGAATATTATTAGTGTGTATGCATTTATTGTCCGTCATGATGTTATTTATGTTTTTAAGTCAATAATAGATCCAAATCGCCTACTCATGCATAGATCATTTCATTTAAATATTTGAAATAGCTGTATTTTAATTGTCATTGGAGCACATATTCACTTATCGCAAGCACATGCGATCGTCCTATGCCTTTTAAAATTCTCTACAATTATTCTACACATTGACAACGCTTCGGTTTTAGGTCGAGACGATCGGAGATGCGTACATGATAGTTTCAGGATTACCAGAAAGAAACGGGACGCTGCATGTGAAGGAGATAGCAGGTGTTGCTCTCAGCATTTTACAAAGTGTGCTCACATTTGAAATACCTCATAAACCAGACAGACAACTTGAGATAAGAATAGGTATTCCAACACGTTTTTTTACAATTTTGTTTCCTTTGTGTTATTTCCATTCCGGTTGAGTTTGTTTTTGTTCCAATTGATTATTGTATCAATTAAATCGCATGATGGTTGTATATGTCTATATTGCCGGCTATTAAAAGATAAAGAGTGTGTACCTTTTGCGGGCAACTTGGCAGGATCTGGTTAGTAGAAATCAACCGGCGACCAAATCAGAAATTTACAATATTAAATCCATATCCTTCCGAAAATGAAAAAAATGCTTCATTCTACATACAAGGACTCTTAAAAGCTATTTCTGTACATTTCTTCTCTTTTCAGGATTACACACGGGCTCGGTGGTAGCCGGGGTAGTTGGTCTGACAATGCCTAGATATTGTTTGTTTGGAGATACTGTAAATACTGCGTCGAGAATGGAGTCAAACGGAAAACGCAAGTCTTTTAAAATATCTTAGTTTTATCGGTATCTCTAAGTGCATATATTTCACATATACTTGTATATTTTTCTGACTTAAATCGTTGGCGTTGAATTAACGTAAATTCTTGCTGTATGTCACAGATTTACCCAGACCGGGACTCGAACTCTGGAGCATATATTACCATTCTGACTCTTTACCGACTGAGCGCATCCGCCAGTAGCTTAAATATTTCAGTCTTAAATTAAATAATATTAAAGACTCACCAAATTAAATATAGGCATATAAATCAATTATTCTAGCTTTGAAAATCCACATCAGTCCAAGTACTAAAGAAGCCTTAGACGAGTTTCCGGAATTCTTGGTAGAAGAGAGAGGGGAAATCCCAATTAAGGTACTTCATAAGTTCGTCATTTTGTAATTTCAAATTCAAATCAAAATTAGGATCTTCCTACACAAAAACATTTAGTTATAGACCTGTATTGGCACCTTGATATCAATGCTTTATCTCTTTTGACATCCTATTTGTAATGAGATTTTTTTTATATATTTTCTTAAATAGAATCATCATCTAATTGACCTTAAAGTTTGATATAAAAAAAAAGAAAATGAAATAAAGAAATAAAAATCGAGTCATTAGTTAGAAAACGTGTATTTACAATTGTGAATAATCAGGGACATTGGCGGTGAAATATTTTGATTTGTTTTTATAAGGGTAAAGGATTGATGCGCACATACTGGTTGTCAGGACTATACAGCGAAAACGAAGAAATCTGTATCGAATCTGACCAGTACCTGAAACTCATAGAACCCGATAAGCATCTAAATGATAGTCCAACTGACGAAGATAATGGTGGTGGCGCTAATAATCTAGCTGCAGACGAACTGAAAGTGTGCGACAATTTTCAGGGAAAAGTGAGCGTTGCTGATTCCGGGATAAGTATGGACAAAGGAGTCGACGATAAATTCGGAAATGTTTTTCTAAATACTGACACAACTAGCGGAGAAGATATTGAGGCAGACTGCGCTGTGCAATCGTCTGGTGCAAACTTGAAACAAACCGGAAATGACATCATAAATACAGGTGGTGTGTCTAGATTCAATGATGGAGAAATAAATAATGGAGATTCAAACAGGACGCTTGGAAAATTTTCTCTCACAGAATTCTTTTGTGAAACATTCAATAGAAACGCTTACGTTGACGAAAACAATTCTGATCCAAAGTTGACTGATGATAATCAGCAAAGTGCTCAGAAATTAGAAATAATAAATGATTCCAGCTCTCTATCAAGTTCAGATGATTTTGAAACATTTGGTGCAACTCACACAAATTCTAAAAGTATAAATACAAGGAACGCAGATGCAAATGAAATGGAGGAAAATAGACTTCTGCGTTTACGCGAAAGGCACACTAATTATAAAACGTCAAAAGGGTTGCAGACTATCTCTGTGGAAGATGACGGTTCTGAAAATGATACTGCAAGTGAAAAAAATGTAAAGAAAACACAGAAATTTCGACCACCGGCAAGAACAAGTGCTACCGACTTTATGGCCGTCCACAACAACTGGTTTCAAGATTGATATTAACTTAACTGACGTGCCAATTATTCAGAAGTTACTGAAATAAGATGAAATATTTTTCATATTTTCTATCATTTAACTATCTTCTATTTCTCCTACTTATGTTTAGTTCATATTAATCTTAAACATGTAATTACAATTGTTCAATTATCATTGTATTTACGTTTATTAATATTTGATAAATGATCATTCTGATTCTTGGTAAAACGCCATTCCCTTGTCATCTAAGAGATGCAATGAATGAATATAGGAAACATTTGCAATTAATGTTTGGGTGAACTAGACAAATACATAGTAAAAACGGCTTGAAAATGGCAGATTCTTAAAATCTTAGCATAGATAAATACTTGACTACATTTGTATTTCTAATTGAAGTAAGCTTATATTGTCTGTTTATCAAATGACTGATTTAACAAGTTTTAAATTTTGAGTTTTAAGATTTAAACAACTGACACTATGACAGTAAGACAATAAATCTACACAACAGGATAATTTTGTTCCAATCCGAGTCAAGTTCAGATTTTCTTTTTTTTATGTGAAGTGGTCATGCGCGGGTCAATACGTGTAGGGGGTCACAACCACCACCCTACTAGATTTGGACTCAAATCCCCCACCCCTGTAAACATTAGTCAACCCACTTCAGAATATGTTTTACATCTTTTCGGAATTTTGCGATCTCACTGGATCCGCGCCTGTTGTGTTTAAAAGCTGGATTAATGGTGGATTTTATTCAAGTCATGTTTTAAAGTCATGTAACTACGTTTATATTATGTTTATCTATGTGTAAACCATTTTACAAGTCGTTAACGTGTCTTACTTGAAACAACAACGAAAATTATGGTAAATATGAGCCGCGTCATGACAAAACCAACATAATGGGTTTACGACCAGCATGGATCCAGACCAGCCTGCGCATCTGCGCAGTCTGATCAGGATCCATGCTGTTCGCTTACAAACCCTATTACAAGTAGAGAAACTGATAGCGAACAGCATGGATCCTGACCAGACTGCGCGGATGCGCAGGCTGGTCTGGATCCATGCTGGTCGCAAACACATTACGTTGGTTTTGTCATGACGCGGCTCATATATACATGGACAAAGAAATTTTAAAGTCGAAAGATACATGCCAAACGATGAGGTTAAATGATAAACTAGAAATGTGTCCATAGGACACGGGTGCCCCCACCGCGCCACTGTTCTGTCAATCTTTTTACTAAGTCAAGGGAAATAACTCTACAAATACTGGATAAATCCACAAGCGAAACCCCAGGTGCAAATCTAAAATATGCTGAGCAACCTGCCCATAAGGTTTAATGACTATGTCAAATCCTTTTTGAGAAACTTGCGACACAAGTTGAAAATTGCAAAAATTTTCTAAGTGAAGGGCAATAACTCTAAAAATACTAAATAAATCCAGACGAAAATACCTGGTGCACAACTGCACATGCTGATCAATATTCCTGTAAAGTTACATGACTCTAGGTCAAATACTTTTTGAGTTACGTGCGACACATGTTGAAAATTGGCAAATTTTACTAAGTCAAGGGCAATAACTCTGAAAATACTAATAATATCCAGATGAAAATACCCAGATGCACAACTACACATGCTGATCAACATTCCTGTAAAGTTTCATGACTCTATGTCAAATACTTTTTGAGTTACGTGCGACACAAGTTGAAAATTGCAAAATTTTACTAAGTCAAGGGCAATAACTCTGAAAATACTAAGAATATCCACACGAAAATACCCAGGTGCACAACTACACATGCTGATCAACATTCCTGTAAAGTTTCATGACTCAAGGTCAAATACTTTTTGAGTTACATGCGACACAAGTTGAAAATTGCAAAATTTTACTAAGTCAAGGGCAATAACTCTGAAAATACTAAAAATATCCACACGAAAATACCCAGGTGCACAACTACACATGCTGATCAACATTCCTGTAAAGTTTCATGACTCAAGGTCAAATACTTTTTGAGTTACATGCGACACAAGTTGAAAATTGCAAAATTTTACTAAGTCAAGGGCAATAACTCTGAAAATACTAAAAATAGCCAGACGAAAATACCCAGGTGCACAACTACACATGCTGATCAACATTCCTGTAAAGTTTCATGACTCTAGGTCAAATACTTTTTGAGTTAATTGCGACACAAGTTGAAAATTGCAAAATTTTACTAAGTCAAGGGCAATAACTCTGAAAATACTAAAAATATCCAGACAAAAATACCCAGGTGCACAACTACACATGCTGATCAACATTCCTGTAAAGTTTCATGACTCTAGGTCAAATACTTTTTGAGTTACATGCGACACAAATTGAAAATTGCAAAATTTTACTAAGTCAAGGGCAATAACTCTGAAAATACTAAAAATATCCAGACGAAAATACTCAGGTGCACAACTACACATGCTGATCAACATTCCTGTAAACTTTCATGACTCTAGGTCAAATACATTTTGAGTTACGTGCGACACAAAAGTGAACGGACGGACGGACGGACAAGGGTAAATCTAAATGCCCGCCACTAACGTGGGGGCACAAAAAGATAAATCACATTTTATTATATAAACTTACTTTATTATAATAGCTAAATTGACGACAAAATGTTAGCAAAATGAATACAATGTTATCAAATTTGGCGAACAGAAAATTAAGCCTGGCAAGGTATAAATTCTGGTGGATCTTCTCTTTAGAAGATAAGAATGTGTGGAAGTCAGTATGACCAGTTTGTCAGCACATAAGAATAACTTATTCCCTGTGCAATTATCTATTTCCCTCACACATATACTACCAGAGTTTGCTTATTTTTGTTGAGAAATGACCAGGCTGTATAAAACTTCAATATCAGTTTTTATTACTCAAACTTGATTAAAGGGGACTTAAGAATATCATGTATACTTCATTGCAATAATTATAATTTATATATGATACATAAAATAATTATTTTTCATAAATTAATGTTTTCCAATTATACAAAGAACTTTACATTTCTACTAACAACAAAAGCTGTCCGTACGACAGCCCCCCCCCCCCGAATTTTCTCAGTACTTGACAGGTCACGTAAGAAAATGGGCATATCTCGGTAATAGGTGGTCATTCAGAGTTATGGGGCATGTGTCATCAGAGAGAACAAGTCTGTGAAGTTTCCCCATACCCTCCTGTAGTATTGTATAAGAGATACCAACTTGCATGCAAAAACTTAACCAGTGCGACGGCGACGCTGACGCCGAGATCGACGTCGTGGTAAGTGCGAGTGTATAACAGCTCTCCGTATTCTTCAGATAGTCTAGCTAAAATTAAGGAAGGGTAATACACTTTTTTAACAAAAATTCACACAGAAGAAAAGAAATAATTTAATCGTTAACAATATGCAAAGAAAACAAAACATGTAACCGTTTTAAGTTTAGTGTAAAAATATTTGAATTCTGCAATAATGAAAAATTACAAAGGCATATTGTTTTAGAGATGAGAATTATAACAAGGTTGGGCTTCTAAGTGAGGATCGGTGTCATCTCCTTTTCCTGAAGACCCAGTGAGTGTAGTTAAATTATTAGTCATACTATCAGACCTTAGTTGCCTGTGATCAACTTCAGAATTCATTTGAACGATTTCATTTTTAGAAATTGAAAACCCAATATCTGAATTCACAATATTGGCACTTCCAATTGATGTCAACGTTCTTGAATTACCAAAATAATTGCCTGTAGTGAGCTGCTGACCAATGTTTACCAATCCATGACTAGCATGTAATGGCATGAGACCCGAGTTGAAATCTCCAAATGCCTGTTGCGTGGCTGTAACAAATTTTCTTTTACAATTCTCACCAGCAAGTACATTATCTGAGGTATCAGATGTAATTATCTCCCCTTCTACTGGTTTATACTGCATTGAAGATAAGTCTAGACCTTCGTTTTGCTCAAATCGTAAGTTCTTTTGATCTTCATACAAATTTGACTTGTCATGTGTTGTCATATTATGATCTTGTAACAGTTTAGCAGACCTAAAATTAAGACCACATTTGCTACAAACATGTCTTTTATTTTTCAATGAGCCACCATGAATTTTAATATGCATCCGTAAATTTGCTGGATCAGTAAATGCATTTTCACAAAATCGACACTTGTGTCTTTTTATACCTGCATGCATGTCCATGTGAATTCTAAATGTTAATCCTTTTGCAAAAATCTTGCCGCACTGTTTACATTTCCTGCATAATGGCCTTTCGTGTGCAAGATCTACTTCAGCATGCATGTTCTTTATGTGTGTCATCATTGATGACTGAGTTCTGAATCTGATTTCACAATATCGACATTTCCATCTCTGATATTCCCGGAAATGAGTAAGGCGGTGATTCCTTAATGACGAACGTCGTAAAAAATATTCCCCACACATATCACATATAAACTTTCGTTCTTTAGTATGGACATTTTCATGCATCTTCAATACTTCATTCCTTTTGAATGCTGCGTCACAAAACCTGCACTTGTAATCTCTCTTCTCATTATGAGTAATCAGGTGATTTTTAAGATGATGTTTGGTCAAAAATGCTTTTTCACAAATTTGGCAAACAAAATTCCTTTCATCTAAATGTTTTGATTTTTTGTGCAGATTAAGACCTTTTCTGCTGCTATAAGACTTGCCACATTTGTCACACTGTACAAAGTTCGAGCCATCATGAAGCTTCATATGCTCTTTCCAATGTGAAATATTGACATATTCCCTTGGACAAACATTGCATTTATATCTGACACTACTTTCATCATGAGTTTTTAAGTGATTTGTAAGTTGATGCATGAAAAAGTAACTGCAGCTACATTTGTCACAGAAAAATTGCTTAGGACCATGTCTTTTCATATGCTGTCTGAGTAATGACTGACGAGTGAACGACGAGCTGCAAATCTCACAGTTTACCAGTTTTGGCCCATGAGAAATTTTCTTGTGATAATTAAGTCGACCAATGCAATCATATACTCTGTCACAAATGTCACAAACATGAGAGGAACTGTGAGACACTTGGTGTATTTCCAAGTCTTCTTTCTTCTCGAACATTTTCAAGCATGTTTTACACATGTGTGGTAACTTTTTATGCTGCTTTGTATGTCTCCATAGTGATTTCTTGACTTTAAATGATTTGTCACACAGAGAACAAGTTAACTGATTCATAATTACATGGGTTTGTGTATGTTCAATTATACCATTATATCTCTCAGTTGAATACGAACAAATATTACAAAGGTATCTGGTACTTGTGTTATCTGAAGTTTTTTCATACATATCGCGTCTTGGTCCCGATGTTTCATTTCCTTCGTTATTAGTATACAAGAGTTGTTTAATATTCTTTTCATGACTTTCTAGTTTTTCAAGCCCTTTATACTGAATCTGTTCGTGTATATATTTCTCGTGGGATGACAGCCCTGCTTTACTTTTAAATGATTTTCTACATATTCTACATGTAAATCTTGTTTGATGTCCAACTTTATTTTCAGTCAAATTTTTATATTTTGTCTTGTCAATATCATCTATAGCTTTTATATTGCGATCTGGGGACAAGATTGAAACATTTTTTCCGAATGTTTTATCTAGAGCACTTCCGTCTGCTAATTTCTCAAGCTTTGCATAGTAAGTTTTACTTCCTGTTTCACCTTTAACGTGGGTTATTTTTTCTTCTTCATTTTTAGAAAGACAATCACTGTCACATTCAGTAGATTCACTTAAAGAATCTTTACAGATGCTTATTTTCTCACACATTGCATTATCACAATTTTCGGTTAAAGAGTGTTCTTCACTATTTACAACATTATTTTCCGACTTGTTTCCCTTATTGTCATAGCCATTGCCTTTCATATACACTACACAAAAGTCGCGGAACATGGTCGCTACAGAAGGGTTCTGTGCGAAAAATAATGAACCTATAGAAGAACCAAATGTTGAAACTTCTCCAGTATCTCTATTTATGACAATCACAGCTGTGTCACACATGTTTTTGTCTAATAATTCACACATACACTCGATTTCCGTCGTTACGTCTTTTGAACTGTTTATATCCATAACTGCTTTCTTTTATAAAATACTGTTCAAAACTTACTTATCTTAAGTACTTTCTTCAAACATTTGTTTGTTTTTTCATTGTTGAATTGAATAATTACATGCGTCTAAAGTTTCTGGACAACTTAAACGACACTATCTATATAATCTGTTAACCTGTACACATGGCGTGATATTATCAAAGGGAAGTAACTTAAGCAAGTAATGTATAATATCCGTTCACACCGTTCTGAATCCGTGCGTAAAATTGTATCAAAACTCTCGCTATATTTTCAATTGCTGTATCTTTATATCATCAAAATTTATGTCAGATTTATTGGACTATATTTAGATAACATTTACTTACTCAAACCTGCTACATATTTATATGCGGCAAAATAATAGAATATTATGGCCGGGAAATTATATTGAAAACAAACAGTCAAAACTCTGGAAAGCAGCTTTAAATATCATTTATATTCGGGTATACAAATTTTATTAGTACTGGTACGTTGCCAGTCTCAAATTTCCTCTCCTTCGATCGTTGAATAAGGACATTGAACGTAATAGGAAGAATACACAGAACAGATACGGTATTTCCTATTTCAATCTAACTTATGTTTAAAAAAACTAAACATGTAAACAAATACAAAAAAAATGTAGTATGTAAATATCGGGATTTGTTTAGTTAATTTCATAATATCATGTACAAGTCCACTTAAATGAATTAAATTAATAGATAAAAAGTAAAAAGTACATTATTGATATATGATATGAACTATTATGTTTTTAGAAATCGAAAGTACATAGATGCCATTTGTATGTTTTGTATGTAAGGTCAAAATTGATTTATTTCACAGACTGACTAAGCATAACCTTTCACAAGTAGCCATAAGCTGATGTTCACGAGTGGAAGATATACTGAATACCTGTTCACGATATTTCAGATTTAGTTTTAACTGGTTGACGTGCAATGGGCGTTCTTAAACTGATTCTGATTGTCAGGCATATTTTTCAATAATAATTGTGCCGAAATTAACTAATTTTCCGTTGCATGCTATGTTTTTGCCACGTGGCAGAACTACTTGACTCCAAGATGATTACGAATAATCGTCGATTTGTTCGATTGGCACGTTGTAATAATATATCGTCTTAAATAAATGCTTTTATGCCAATCAAAATTCTTTATTCTTTTTATAAAGAAACGAAAAGAGTCGGTCAGTCCACCTATCAAACCGCTCAACCGACTCTTTTCGGCTACTGCCTACTTCCCATATATCTCTTTTCGACAAAATGATTAACGTATTAAAATTGACGTACCAAAAATTGATTGATTAAGATAAAAAAATAAATAAATGACAATCAATTGAATGGTTTGCACTCTATAAAACTTTAAAGGTTTGTTCTTTTATTCATTTCAAGTTAGTGCACATTTGTTACTTTTATAAATTAAAAAAAATGTTCTCCTTTGATACATCAAATTATTATGCATGGCTGTCATTTCAAAGATAAGTAGATAAGTACATGTGTACTTTAGCATGAAGGAAAGTGTATGAAAGCACGTGATAATACTTAGCATTAATTCGTGGCCACGTGATTAAGGATATGTAATTTAGAAAAGATCTCCCATACTCTATTGGCCTAAGAAAAATCAAAGCATGGATGCATTGAGATATTTACTCTTGAACTATCTGTACAATCTGCCAGTTTAAACAGTACTCCATGATGCACCACCATTCATAGCATGCATATAGAACATGTACCCACTTCAATATTTTCATCAGTTGTATAGATGATATAAGATACAATACATGTACTATAATTAACACATTTTTTAAACGCGGTCATAGTCGCAAACTTGCAATCCCTATGTTTATAAAACACTTTGCATAACACACTGTAAATATTAGCTCGTTAGAGCTCATTTGACCTTAGTTTAGACATCTGGGTTAGCAACCTATATTTTACCCCCATACGTTGATTCTTTGAAAACTATGCCCAATAAAACAAAAGTCCGCTTGAAGCATCGATACATTTACTTAGCAATATTGAAGTATAAAATCAAAGTGCTGAGTACAGACATGGGTTGGCTATCTGTTACGTTATGCTTCTTTCAGCACATCAAGTAACGGTAATATGTTTTTATCAGCATGATAATCATAACAGTTACACAGTATACACTGCTTTGAGATGAAATGGGAAAATATTTTTAACGTAACATTAATTCGACATTTTAAACGACTGTGTCTTTGACCATTTCAATTTACTAAACCGGAACAAATTCCTGTTGTTTTGAAAATGCAATAAAATAGAAAGAATATATTAATGTCTAGACAAAACATCAACATTATTCAACAATTTGTATGAAAAATACATGTCTTGAAATAGCTGAGACGTAGAATGTTACAAAATTGTCTCTCCAATACTATACAATGCGATATTCAGCCTAGCTAGATAAGCATACTCCACACAGCGATGACTCTCTTTCATCAGTACAGTAGCAAAGTGCGGAGACATGTTCGTAATAGTTTTGTAAAAGTAGCCTTGTTGGAACCATTTGCAAAGGCGTATGCTGACTTGGATGAGTTTAGGTTTCGAGCTGGTTGCCTTGGTAACGACAAACAGAGTATAGGCTGCACCATCTCGCAAAAACTTTTCCTATGGTCTAGCGATCAATCGCCTAAACAACTAAACAATCATAAACGGAAGCCTTTCTGAATTTATATTTCTTCATTTTTTAAAGCCGATATTGAGGAACTGATGAAAACACTCTTATTTATCTGATCTTTCCTATTTTAGACATTTTATACATTAAATCGAATACAAATTCTAATTATTATTTTCTTTTTATAATGCCTGCATATATAATTTACATCATTCGTATTAACAGTCGAATATTCGAAATATGATAATCCGAAAATTGTGATTATAGACACTAAACATATAAATAAAAGCTTTCAATTTTCATTTAGATATAAAGTGCATTAAAATATTTCCATTAGGGCATCTGTCTGTCAACCTAGGGGACGTGGATTAGAGTCCTACTAGACCACCGGCATGCTTCTCATATCACACCAGTATTAGTAACTCGAGAGTGGTTTAAAATCTGCATTGAAGCTTCAACGTGGATACATGTATTTTCATGTTGTTTAATCTGAACTTCATTTTACGCTTAAGTAGATATTCTTGTTTTTCGCCATCGTTTTGATTATTGTGGAAGTCTCATATTTGAATCCTGAAATTGACATCATTTTCTATATCTTTCACTCTTTTTTTTATTTTTATATATCTAGTTATTTTAACACAGTACAAAAACATGATAGATAGTCTTAATTATTCAACTACTTCATGTAATACACTGAAATACACAGAACTACTTATACAATACATATAGGCGGCTATTTACAAAATACTTTCCTATCAAACATTGTACCAGGTTCGAAGAGTTACCTAACGTATCACTTTATTTGTAATGAACAAAACGCTTAATGCATTTTCTAAAGCTTTGATTGTCTCGCGTGCCAAAATGACACTGATTATTATTTCACTTCAACTATTTAAATGGTATAATACTGTAATATTTGGTTAGTTAATATTCATTATGCTGACAAGTACACGGAATTCTGATTTTGTCTATAAGAAGTGCAAATGAAATGACACGTTCTGTAGTGGTATATGAATTACTTAAATATGAATGCACTATGAAACACTAAATAAATGGAAAGTTAAAGGTGAATGATTGGAGTTAATGGTGTTCAATAAGGAATTATGAACTGCATCAACACGGACTCTAAGAGAAACCGGATACCCGGACAATGTTTACGATTGTTTGACCTATTGGGGAATCTCATTGACTTGCGGTCATGATAATTTTTTAAGTAAACGAATAGGTTTTGAGTAAATTAATGGATAACATTCATGTATGCATATGCTAATTTTGATTACCGCAGCAAATAAAGGTTAAAATGTTACGAAGAATTGATTTAATGCTTCTAAAGTTTGTACGTTTTTTATTTACAATTTTTTAAAACCAAATTCTTTGAACAAAATCGGGACCTTACTCATTGTTTATTATAATTTGTATGTTTGTTTAACGAGCAGAAAAAAGAAGCTACGGAGTGGAATATAAGAAAATATTAGTGTTTCATTTTAGTGGATTTTAATAGAGCACCAACTTTAAAGAATCATACGCACGCGCTTCATACGTGAAAATTATGTCACCAAGAGATTGAAAAACGTCAGCACGCAATGCGGTGTGACCAATAACATATATTTTTGTGTGATAAAAACTACGTGATTTGTTTTTTCCCTTTATTTGTTGAGTTTCATACTCGCTGTTACCGTAAACATCAAACTGTTGACTGAAAGGATTGATAAAATCAGGAGGGGGAACTTTTTAAACAATGGATTGTTGACCTATACAAAATGTTAACCCGCAGAATATACATTTTATGTACATATTATGCCATTGTCTTCTTATAATCTTAATGATCAACATTATTTTTTGTCCAATCACATTGTAGTATTTTTCAAATTTCTGCTAAGTCTAACTTTGGTTAATGTGTACTAACTAAATAAAATTTACTTAATCTGCCGTCTAACCTGAGTCTAACAAATTTCAATAATGCATTATATTAGGGAGGAGTTAGAGGTGTGATTTGCACTCTGAATTGTAAAATATCTAGGTTAGCAAAACAATGCCAACGTAAAAAACAATTAAGCGAGGTCAGATGTTTCTAAATGTGAGGATACAATCAATTAATTTATTACATAGATAATACATGTGGGGCATGCAGAGACAAATGTTTTTTTTATATCCTTTTAAAAATGCCTGTTATAAATTGCTGTTTTAAACTTCTTTTTTTCTAGAAAAAGTAACCACAACATAATTTTCTTTCAGTTGATAGGAATAAACTGCATTAACAATCCTTGATATTAAGAATACAATGATTATAAATACATTTTTTGACTGGAAAACTCATGGTAAATGAACCCCCTCCACCTGTAAACCTAGATTGGCACACAAAAAGCTGTTTTTCAAATGAGCAAATCAATAGGGATTTTAAATGTTAGTGAATAACTTAAAGCTAATAATGAATTTGTATAAATTATTAATCTAATGCATTTTCTCACATTTTCCATTTATTTATAAAGGATGTACACATTTCATTAACTCCATTGTTTTTACCTAATTGCATCATTTTCCTCGCTGTTTTTTTTTCAGCATGATAGTCTTACTGTAGATAAAGGTATAAATTCTGTGACATTTCAGTAAAAAAATGTGCCTGATTATTTGTTGAAAGGGCCATTTATTAGCTTATCTAAATGTGATATGTTAGAAACTTGACAAGGTGTAGACATTTTGTAGAGCGAATGGGCGGAGCTATCGATGATTTAGTGAAATGCCTTTTTTTGGTTAAAAAAATAATGTTGATCATTAAATAGGTTAATGTTTAATAATATGCATTAACAAAAATAATTGGTCGCCTGCCTGCGACAGGCTTGACCAATTATTTTTGTTAATACATATTATTAAACACTAACCTATACATAATTCTAATTCTAATTTTAAAATCGACGGATGCATTTAAAATTTAAATTTAGCTGTTGAATTATTCCTTTGTTTCCTGTCGCTTAAATTAAAAAGACCTTAAAATTGTTAAAATAATTTTTTATTATTGTTTTCATTCTCAATCTGCGGACGGTAATTTGGTTTAATGTCAAACTAAAGCGGCATGTTCAACAATAAGATGGATTACATAAAAATGACAAGTTTATTTCAAAGTTTATGTTAATGTATCTGCTTTTATTACGAATTGTCATTAAGTGTTACAGTCAAATATTCAAATTAGTGGATTTAACAGGGCAAAAACGAGGATGAGTGGTTTTGTTAAGAGACAAAAAACATCACGTTATTATGGGATGTTTGTGTTTATTTTTGTGCATTTGGTTAAAAATATATCTGGACAAACAACGTTACAAGTCGTCTGGATGGTGCCTTATACGTCACATCCGGAGGCAAGTTTTGAACATAACGCATCAAGTTCCGTTGCAGCGTTAGCACTTGGTCTGAAAACGGTAAAAGACCAATCACTACTACCCAGTTATGTGTTCAAGTAAGTATTGTAGAAATCTTTAATTTTGTTATTTCTGGTTTAAGTCGGATTTTTTTATTAATAAACACAAGTAGAAAATACACGTGATACATGTATAATACAATATATAAACCAGAAAACAAGAGAAATAGAAAAGAAAAACAAGAAAGAAAAAACTCCTTAAACTAAATAGTATGTCCAGGTACGTATTTTATACGAAATAATAATCAACAGTTTCTGTTTGTAACATTTGTATGTTACGCTAAATGATTCAAAACCTACATAGTCAAAGCGTTTGTTAAACGTATTACATTCATATAACATTCATATTTACATCCATTGTTCTACATGTATTTATTTACAATATTTTGCACAACCTAATTTGTATTTGGGTTAAGAATGTTCAGACATATGTCGTTTGTCTTAAAACATAAAATGTATGTGTTAATACAAGGGGTGAACCATAGGAAACCAAGATTCAAGATTCAAGATTTAATTAAGGCACAAACATAATGTCTATTGCCATAAACAAAAATAGCGTGTATACATACATATAAACATATAAACATATTAACAAATGCATAAAACATCTAAATACGAGAAAAGTAATATTACATATATATATCACAGTCATAAAATAAATATTAAGACTATAATAATTAATGTTTGAAATTAGTTGGAATTAGCTACCAGTTGTTTCTCTAGCAAAATTTGCATAGTAAATAAATTGAGATAATTTCTTTATAACATTCTGTTGTGAGTTATTCATTAAAATTTTAAATTTGTGTACATTTGGCCAAGAGCAGTAGTATTTAGGTAAATATTCTCTTCGTAGATCAATGTAATACGGACAAGCAAGTAAAAAATGATATTCCGTTTCCACTATATTTCTAAATCTTCCTTCTTCAATCATTAATTTATGAGCAGAACATCTAAAACGTGAAAGGGCTATTCTATATTTACTATTTATAATACAATCAAGATACTTCTCTTTTCCAAACGTGCTTTTAATTAAACTATACGTATCAAGTTTGCTAGAATTATTAATTTCAGAAAACCATTGTTGATAATATTGATCATATATACGTTGGATAATAGACTTAAGAAAAATAGAATGAGGGTTATCAAATAAGTAAGAAAAGCCTAAGTCTTGAAAGAGACATTTTACATCATTGGTCCATTTATTAACAAACTGATTGTTTTTATCTGTCATCATCATAAGTTTATACAAAAATGAATCTGGATTCTTAGCAGTTCTAAACCAAAACTTTACAATACTAATCTTACGTAAAACAAGAAGGGGAACTCTACCTAATTCACCATATACAGTAGCATTACATGTTTGTTGTCTTACACCTAAAACTTGCTTCATAAACTTTTTATGCACTCAATATCTGGTGAATTACGAAAGCCCCATATTTCAGACCCATAGTTAAGAATAGGCATTATCATAGAATCAAACAGTTTAATTTTTTCAGAAACATTCAATGACAAGTTATCAAAAAGAGAGTTGAGTGCATATAAAACCTTGAAGGCTTGCCCAGATAAACATTTTTGTGCTTGATTAAAGCTACCGTTTGAGGAAATTGTTACACCCAAGTATACAAAGTTTTTAACAATATTAAGAATTTTATTATCATAAAGAAAAACCGGACTGCTTCTGTATTAAAGTTACCGTCACATCTGCAAAGGCACTCGTATTCGTTAAAATTCCGGAACTTGAAGAATGATTTTTTTACCTCGTAAATTTGATAATTATTATAAACTTTTACTTTGTTAAGTGGGTCCGGCGTAATTTATCGTATGCACATGTGTAGTTACTTGTAACGTCATTAACGTCATTTGTGATTTTTTTTATTTTGTGCCAGATTGCATAGTCTTTGATTTTTGTACATGAGACAGAATTGTTATTTGTTAATTCCGCAATGTCACTTAAACATGTTCATACCTCCCTATTGTGGTACATATTAACTCTATAGTCAATAAAGTGTATTTTTCACAGCCTACATATATTTTCTGTTGTTGTTTTCAGTAAATAAAGGGATAAGTCATATTAATTTTTGTTAAACACCAACATTGAATTTGTCTTAAAACGACAACCAGTTTTACCACCATGTACTGTTTAAGCCATGGTTGGGCTCTTCAAAAGAAACACTTAACCGCTCTTACAATAAATCCAGATAGTACATTAAACCGGTCTGTCTTTTTGACTGATTACGGTAACTTTTTAAATATAATTTTAATAAAAATATTGTTTATTTACAGTATAACTGCCATAGACACTGACTGTGACAGCAAGCAGGGTATTGGAGCACTAGTTGATATTCTATTACAACATCATGTTGACGTTGTATTCGGACCCCCGTGCTCGAAAGGTTGGTAACAATTCTTACTTATGAAATCTTTTTGCTGTGGACCACACATGTCTTAACGATTATACATCAGAATTACTAGTAGTATACCTAACACTGTTTTGTTCTGTATTAACAATAAAGGCCCTGAAATATACACTTCATGTATATATAGTAAAAAAAAAAAAAAAAAAAAAAAAAAAAAAAAACAGAATAAAGATCAACAAGTAAAGGCAACGTTTACAGGAGGACGCAGCCCCCCGACAGATCCAAGTAGGGCACCCAGAAGACACCCAACAAACACCTGAAGTGGACATAAGGGCGGCGATAGGAGAGGAACATAAAACGGGCCCATATGTGAATTAAAGGGATAAGGGCTGTAAGGGTGAAAAGTGGAGGTGGTAAAAATGCGGGGGGGGGGGGGGGTGAGAAAATACCTACCGTAAACGACAATCCATCAAGGTAGATACATTGTATCACAAAACATGTAATAAACATTCAAAAACAAGTATTAATACAGACAAGGAACACAGAGGGGTACCGCTTTGGAACGGTCAGTGGGGAAACAAAAGTGAATCCCATACTGACCTCACTATGTTGTATACATGATCCTAATTTTCCGAATCTTACTATGATCTTTTTCAGTACATGCACACATGCGAAAAAAATCAATTAAGCTACCGACCGTATCAATTCAAAATAATAATTTTTTTTTTTATGTTATGATAATATATTTTCGATCGTTGCGACATGGCTTAATTAACGTCATTTTGATATTGAACTACGAAAGTAATTCACCATGATGAGTTTTCTTGTTTTACATGCTTTAAGTATTTTTATTTTGATATTATTTTTACCATATTAAAACACTAATTGAGCTGATGTAAATGTTACCCTGCGGTTAAACAGAATGAAATGATTAATTTCTGTTGGGATCTGTTTCAAATGATAATTTACAATCTGATATTGAAAAGCAATAAAAATAACAGTTCATGACCTTTATTCATACATGAAACAATCATATTACCAACTTTATTACAAGTAGAGAAACTGATAGCGAACAGCATGGATACTGATCAGACTGCGCGGATGCGCAGGCTGGTCTGGATCCATGCTGGTCGCAAATGCATTACGTTGGTTTTGTCGTGACGCGGCTCATTTCTTTATAAAGAGCATAATTGTAACTGGGAAAAAAACTAAAATTGCTTTTCCCTAAATAAAGTCTGATACGAAAAACTATTTTCTGTTAAATCGTTGAATCTGTATCGTATTCAACAACGATATTTAACTACTTTTTCATGTGAAACACAAGATGTAAACATGTAATTTAGAAATAACTTGTCAACATATTGAAACAGAAAACAGACAAATTGGTGAAGAGTATAGACACGAAGTTTTAGACGTATGCTTTAGTTATTACATCGTTAAATTGATCTTATTGTGTAAAGCTTATATGACCAAAAATTACCATTAATAAAAAACAAAACAAAACAACAACAACCCCCCTAAAAACTGTACAATCACTTTATTTTTATATCTTTTTGTTCATATTTGGTAATTGTTTTAAGAAATAGTAAGCTGTGATAAAAATAACGAATGAAAATCTCCCGGACAACACAAATGTATTTGCAGTATATATATCACATTCACCATCTGTTTTAATAAAAGTTTTGTACAAATATCATTCTATCAACCTAATTTTTATTATTATTATTTAATATTTTTTACGCCAATTTTAACATGATATCCGAATCAGCGGTGAGAACAAAATAACCATTAGACTCAATATCCGAGATCCCAGAGATAACTATTCCGATGCTCATCCATTTGAGCTAAGCTTTTTCAACTAATTACTAACAAATATGCAGCCCAATCAAGCTTAATGCCATTTAACTACAAATAAAACTGTACTGTAATATCATAGTGTATTATGATACATGTACCTATATTATTAATACGTAAAGATATTATAGTTTACCTTGAACGTATTTTATAAAGTATTGTTCCTTTAATTTCAGTCGTGGAACCGATTGGAGAGCTATTGGCCTACAGAAATATTCCAGTGATGAACTGGTTATCTCTCGGACAAACCATTTACAACAAGAATATCTTAAATACATATACCAGAACAATGGCTACTATAGCATCACTTGGTAAATATTTTGATTTATTATTACTTTTTTTATTTCTTTTCCTGCAGCATCTCCATGAAATGGACTATTAATACTTCAACATAACTTCATATATTGTGATATTGCAACATGATAATAATATTTTTATATGGTCGAATGGTATTACATGGCCACAATTAATGTACTGTTATAGAAAATAAATCTAAATGGTTTCAAATGAGATTTTTACTGAATATTTTATATAAAAATGATTATAACAGGTTGATCTATATTATCATACGCTGTCAAAACCAGTGCATAACATAACAGTACATGTTTCAAATATATATGGAATATAACAGCAATTCTATTTTTTGAAACATATACTCTTACTTTTGTATTTTGCTGTTTTGAACAGAGTCATGACTTAAAATAGCGATTTTAATCAAAATTTTCGCTAAGGAAACGATATGACGAGATCTGACTGCTACAAAATCTTTTCAGGTGACATGATGAGATTTTTCTACCTATACACCGGTTGGCGACGTCTGGTGCTGATTTCCAGTGACGGGGATGCTTATAGAGGAGGAGCGACCACCATCAAATCTTCGCTAGTGTCAAACCCAGCTTACGATTTCCTGATAGCGCATCATTATAGTGACGTCAAAATCAATGCGTCCATTGCTCAAATTGACCAGATGTGGTCAACTATTATTTACGAGGCCAGAGGTTAATAAATTGGCATTATTTTTTTCAGATTTATCCATGAATTGTGTAATGAAAGGCTGACCAATGGTAAAAGCGGGATTTTCTGTTAAATATTTAACACTAGTCGGGGAGAGAGTGTGCACTATATACTCGTATAATAAGTTATCCTTTACTGGGGAATATACATGTATAAATAATAAAATTTATAGATATTTATTAATTTTCACATCTCCTAAAATAGTGGATTTTTTTTTTTTTGCAATTGCACAATGCTTTTACCCTTGGCCTTCTTGTGGTAGTAGATTTGAGCCGCGTCACGACAAAATCAACATAGTGCGTTTGCGACCAGCATGGATCCAGACCAGCCTGCGCATCCGCGCAGTCTGATCAGAATCCATGCTGTTCGCTTACCAACTCTATTACAAGTAGAGAAACTGATAGCGAACAGCATGGATCCTGATCAGACTGCGCGGATGCGCAGGCTGGTCTGGATCCATGCTGGTCGCAAACCCATTATGTTGGTTTTGTCGTGACACGGCTCATTTTACTCATGCTAACATGAAGACAAAGAACAGCCGCTGATCGTGGACTGCATTGTTCGCTACTAGTTTATACGAATTTTATTTGAGTTCGACTATGTTGGAAGCTGTAAGCGTATTTAAACACTCTCGAATCCATTCCTGGAACTAACTAGTACTTAACAATGAGTAAAATTTCTTGCTCAATGAAACAACGGCTTGTTCCTAATGGGGTTTGAACCCACGCGGTCAGCGTTAACCACTCGGCCACGCAGCAACACGGCTATAAAGGCAATACATATTTTGAAATTTACCCTAAAATGATGAATGACTTTGTCCAGACTGAAAGGCGGACATACCCATTAAAGATATTTAGGCACAACATATCAATGCATGTATCTTTTCTTTCTAACAGTGATAGTATTGGTAATACCACGAGCCGAGATCCGCACGTACATGATTCGCGCCCACCAGAAAGGGATGACGAGTGGAAATTACCAGTTCCTGTATGCAGATGTTGAGGTGCGTATATTGGGCTGAAGGACGTTTTCTGAGTTTTGATATTGACATATAGGTTCAATAGAATTTCTTCGAACCTGGTATTTTTAATATTGTATAAAGTTTGCCTGTATGTCTATATGGTGTATTTCGAAAAGGTCTTTCATTCAATCAGTTAGCTTTTTGATGAGTTTGTTTGAGACGAACAACGATCCGTCACTATACTACGAAACTGTGTCTTGTTGTATTAACTGTGTTGATTTTTTTGCAAGGTTTTAAATTTTTTCAATTAATTATGTCAAGTAAACATTTATAAAAGCAGTGATGTAGGACTAATGGCAATTTCTTTTTAAATAAAATGTTCTAATCAATCATTATTTCAAATGTTCTTTGCAATGCACCATTAAGTTGTGATAAGAACCTAAATTACTTTGTTATTTTGATTGAGTAAGGCCATACATGCTACTCAATTACACTGAAATGTTACAAGTTTGTTTACTTTGAGCTCGGGTTACAGTGAATATAACTAACATTGTTTGTGTAGAGATTTGACACAGTAATTGTAACGCAAATAAAATCGAGTATAGATCTAATGAAGTTTTCCATATTGATATCTGGAATCTAATGTTTGTTGAATTTATTCCCGTCTGTGATTTTCTCAGAGAAAAATATTATATTTAGTTACTGAGAGGCACACGTTGCTTTGGAGAACTATTTATTTCATAATGTTAACATTGTTAATGAAAGTGACACCTTAAAGTACGGAATTCAATACACTTCAATACACATAAAAAAAGTGAAGAATTTGATACAATTGAAATTTCCTTACTTTGAATAAATATCAGCTTAATTGACTGTTTTCATCCCTTTCGTTTGTCAATAATTATATATTTATTTCTATTTTTATCATTAAAATACTATTGTAACATTCATCATTGTTGCTTATACATAGCGTGTGATGTAACGTTAGTGAAAAAAAAACATGTACCATTAAAGGCCAATTATGTCCCTGAAATGCCTTTTTCCTCAAAAGCTTTTAATATCTTATAAAATTGTCCTGTTTTAGTTCTCTAACTAAAAGTTACTTATTGGCCATTTACCTTAATCGTACTTTGCTTCTGTTGCTGTCAGGGAATTAGTACAGTTATGGTGATTTTGTAAGGAAGTCAAAATACTAATTTGTTGACTATTTGCTACTTTTATAACTTCATGCAGCGCTTCTTTTCTAACCAAGCATGTAACATGCTCTTAAACAGTTTTTAATCATGATCAAACTCATGTTTGCCTTTTCTAAAGAAGGAAAGACTATTCGTTTCTGAGGACATAATGTGCCTTTAACGTCAATATCTTCAATGCTCTGTTGCGCTCACTTGTCATAAAAGTAGTCTTTTATCATTTTCACAACTCTAATCAATTTACTTCGCAATACTTTACTTTTGTTAAGGCGAATTTCATTGGACAAACTCATTTTAAATTTTCCCTCAAAGTAAGTACATGTAAAGTTTTGTTAATTCATTATAGAAATAGGCTAAATGGTCATATAAACGATTCTTTCTCCTTCCTTGGCAGCTCGGGTGATATAAGCTGAAACTCGTTTATTTACTGGAACATATAACAACATATAACAAATAATATAATATTAAGCAAATGGTACTGTGTCCTCAGTTTGAAATGTTACCCATGCAAGAAGACTAAAATGAAAATAGATTCATTTTTTTTCTTATCTTATCTTTTTTGACAAACTAACATGAGGTGATACTCATTATAATACTTTATATTCCATTGTTTTTATTTGTCTTTCAGCCGGCGGACGGTGATGATATATCTAACACTAGAATATGGCAACAAGGTGATATGTATGACGAGATGGCAAGACAGGCTTTCAGAAATCTCCTCTATGTATGTCTGTCTAATTAATATATAAATAATATTACAATATTACAGATCTGTAACATCGTTTCTGATTGGACAATATTGACGTTCATATAACATTGTAATAGTAAATCCCAAAATGCGTTGTAACCGCTTCAGAAGTTGCACCTGTCTTGGAAGACAAGTACAGGCAAATAGAAAAAGTCACTCTCGTGACAGGGTATCATCTCAAATTGTTTGAACATATATAGTGAATGTTAAATTTATACGTAATTTAAAGTTAGTATTAATATTTATAACATATATAAATTAATTCAATTTTGGCTACCTTTTCAATTATGATAGAGGGTAGAACTCTGAACATATCGGAGACAAAGTACAATTTAAAAGGCATGTTATCTATTCCATCAATATTGAATCAATCAAGTGATTGCTGAGCTTTAATTATGCTTACCGTATTCTGTTTGTTTTAAGTTTGGACTAGGGTTGGATTCTTTGAACATATCAGAATGGCAGAACGAGGCCTATGATGCCTACAACAATACATTTCTAGGTCGTGATAATATACCAGTTGCTACTGAAGTAAGCGCATAACCTTTTCTTATTTCATTATCAAAAATAGTATTATTTCACAATTTGAAATACTTTCATCAGTATGTTTTGAGATATCTGGTGTTCATGGTTTGAAACATTTTCATTTCATTATTTGAAACATTTAAGTTTCATAACTGAACTCTTTTATTACATAATTTGAAGCCTTTATATTACAAGATATGAACCATTTTTATTACATGTACATGGTTTGAAACATTTTTATTTCATAATTTGAATCTATATCATTTCATAATTTTAAGCCTTTTTATTATATGATTTGAAACCCTTTTATTACATGATTTGAGACATTTTAATTTCATGATTGGCAACTATTTCATTTTATGATTTTAAACCTTTTTAGCTCGACTTTTCTATGAAAAGGGGAGCTATCCTACTCGCCCCGGCGTCGGCGTCGGCGTTGGCGTCACACCTTGGTTAAGTTTTTCGTACCACCCCACTTTATTTCAGAAGTATTACAAGTATGGCTTTGAAACTTACCATACTTGTTCACCATCATAACCTCCATCTACAGACAAGAGTACATAACTCTGTCAAGGTTTTTGACAGAATTATGGCCCTTTTTTGACTTAGAAAGTGTATTGAGCTTGGTTTTAAGTTTTTTGTACCACCTCACTTATTTCAAAACCATTGGAGGTATTGCTTTGAAACTGACCATACTTGTTTACCATCACGACCTTCATCAACAGACAAGAGGACATAACTCTGTCAAGGTTTTGACAGAATTATGCCCCTTTTTGACTTAGAAAATACATTGAATATGGGTAAAATCCACTTATTGCCTTAACCCTTTGAGATATTGCTTTGAAACTTTTAATGCTATTTCACATCATTACCCCCATCTGTACGCAAGAGAAGGTAACTCTGTCAAGGATTTGTTTTAAAAATTAAGGCCTTTTATCGACTTAGAATCTTGGTTCTTGTATTGCCTTTTACTGCAAAAACTTTTTTTATTGGCAAGCAATAAAAAAGTCGAGCGCGCTGTCTTACGGACAGCTCTTGTTATTTAATGATCTAAGACATTTTTATTTCATGACTTGAAATCTTTCTATATTTAAATCTTTGAAATTGGTCAGTATGTTTGCAAGCCTGTTCAGTTAAAACAAAAACAACACATCAACAATTTACAATTTTGCCCGTGATTTAGCTGTAGTGACAAAAGGAAATTAGAAAATGACTTCATTTACATTATATTCCAGTCGGACCAGTACTCAGCCTACCTCCACGACACCGTTTTGCTGTATGCAATGGCTTTAAATGCGTCCCTCATCGCAAACTCAACCCACGACGGAACTTCTATTTTTACCTATGCGTCATCAGTATTCTTCAAAGGTTTTAATCTAGTTTAACCAGAATTAGTTAATACTTTATCAAATACTAAGTTGTTTTATATCAGTTCTAAAAGTATTCAACGTTTTTTTTTTTTTTACAATCGATTTGTGTGTATCTTATAGTATAGTTATACATTATACTTTTATACTTTTTTTACGGTGACATATTTGAACTTATACTCAGCATTACTAATCACTTTACACCTTAAGTTTGTGAATCATCTTCCTGTCAGACAAGCTTTTTTAGCGAATTTCTTTGACTAAACATATGAAAGATGTAGGTTCTAGAGTTAGGGGAAATATATTATATATGAAACAGGGCTCTCGGGGGATGTCGTGATGGGCAACCTTGGTGATAGACAGCCCACGTTTTTCGTATATGACATGGACACAACTGATACATTTATACAAGTGGCTAGACTCGCTTATGTCATCAACGATTTGGAGACGGAATACGAAATTGTAAGTTCTTTAATAATCTGTTAACTGAACAAAGTTCTTAACAAATGCTATAACAAATGCATAACATTTATTGTACAGACCGATCTTTTCTAAAATGTTCTAGAAAATTTTGACATCCCGCAAGACAAATGAATCAAAAACAAATTTTCGACTGAATTTATTGACCATATTCATGAAGGCCCTCTCACACTTGGAGTGTACACGGGTACACATGAATATACCAAAGTGATTCATTTTGATAAATCATGTAACATTTGCACCAATATGTTATATTCAGACATGGTTATATACGAAGATTATTTGGGGTGATGGAAGAACCACAGATACTTATATTCCACCCGACACTCCACCTTGTGGATTTTTCGGCGAAAAGTGTCCACCGGAATCTACCAAAGGTTGGTGTTATTTTGCCCTTCATCATGTTGCAATGATTCGTTAACGAAACGTAAAACACGAACACAATTCTTGTTTAAAGTCTATTGCTTTCAGCAAATTTGCTTTATCATTACCCTATCCTCCTGAGACTTTATAAATTGATTATTTAGAGTAATTAACGTTAAATATATCCCTCCAGTAACTGAACTCTGTTTGGAATACTTAAAGGTTTGTAATAAGATCAAACATTCAACTAGGGGCGTCTTTTCAAACAAGTGTGATTATACATGATTGTATTTAATTGTCCAACGTTTGTTAACTCTCAGGTCAATAATGATCATGTTAAAATGACATTATGTCCATTTAAGGGAAATAGCTAGTGAGTGAACAGGTGAAAGTCAAAATAAGTATACATTTTGCCATAATTTCTTTCAATTGTATAATTTTATAATTTGCTTTGCATGAACAATAAATAACTCATATTGCTCAAGGGAATCTTTGAAAATAGCCATCTGTAGCACTCTTTTCATATTTTAGGCAGATCCTTAACATTTTTCAATATCAAGTATTGGTGAATTACCATTAAAACGGCCAATCATTTGTAATATATAGTCAATTCAGCTCAGCTTGACAATAGAAAATGAGCATAATATCACTACTATTGGTTTATATTAGGTATGATCACTTTAATTGACATCCTAATGCTGTACTACCAGTGGAAACGTCATTGCCACCGGGCAAACTTCGTAGTGTACTGCATACAAATGCGGTTTCACCAGTTGCTTAGAAGCACTAGTTAGCACTGAAGTTATTAAGCGTGGGTGATGAAAATAAGACTGATAAATTATTTCAAAATATGTCTCCTTTTCGTGACGGCCTGTCGAGTCTGTTCACTTGGCATATAAAAACAATTACATTGTATAAACCTCTTACATCACAGAGATACTTTGTACCTAGCAAGTCTAGACTTCGATCTTATTCAGATGTATGACAATTTTAAATTTTGATATCATTTCATAATTTGCTCACTATTTTTCATGTCACTGTTTTTCTTAAATTATTTTTTGTTTCAGACAATACACTGACCATTGTCTTGTCTGTTTGTATCCCGGTGGCTGTTATTCTGGTGACTGCGTTCCTAATATTAAGGTAAGTAAGACAATTCTACAGTAGCATACATAATTTTATTATACTAGTGTTGAATTCAAGAAAAATATCGTGTATATACTATTGTATAATTTTATCAACATTGAGCTAATCAATTTATAAAAACGACAACGACAACAATAGCAACGACAATTATCCGTTATGTAAGACAAATAAAATGAAGTATTACAATTACATTAAAGTCTTTTGATAAGAAAATAATAAAAAAAATGAAAAGCTTAGTTTTCAGAAGACAAAAAACATGAAACAACAACAACAACAATAACAACATCATCATCATCATCAACATCATGATCATCATCATCAACAACAACAACAACCAACAACAACATTACAGTTGTTGTTATATAGAGTAGTTAAGTGTTATATATCAAGATATCAATTCTATGACAGAAATCATAAAAAACGAACATTGCTTGATTTATCCTAACTTTAATCAACAATACAAAGTTATTTGTTTGTACATTTTAGATGGTGGCGAAAAGAACGTGCTCTACAGAATATGTCGTGGAAAATTAATTACTCTGACCTGAATTTCAACTTCCAACAGAAGAAACTACCGTCATCGTTTATGGTACATGAAAATAATTAATGAGCCGCGTCACGACAAAACCAACATAGTGCGTTTGCGACCAGCATGGACCCAGACCAGCCTGCGCTTCCGCGCAGTCTGATCAGGATCCATGCTGTTCGCTAACCAACCCTATTACAAGTAGAGAAACTGATAGCGAACCGAACAGCATGGATCCTGATCAGACTGCGCGGATGCACAGGCTTGTTTTGATCCATGCTGGTCGCAAACGCACTATGTTGGTTTTGTCGTGACGCGGTATTTAGGTATCTGTAATGTGAGAAATACGCTCCAAGCAGCTAATGTAGGCAGTTCCTGTATTTATCACCATTACATTATATCTCCGCATAGTCTTCAGTAAAATAATAACTACAGTAAACACGGTAATGCTTTTATCGGACATTGTTCAGAATTTAATTATGTATGAATTATGCATTTATTGTAATTATTTTTTTCTCTTTATATTAGATGGCCTAGTATCACTCATTTTTTATGTCTGATAATGTTAGACATTATCAGGCCAAGTTCAAAAGTTTATAGAATCATTGTTGTCTAAACATAAGATTATACTTATTATTGTGATCGTGCAAATTACATCTACTTTTGTTTTTGGAATTATCACCTAAAATGTTGATTATATGGGTTAATATACTGGAGTATCCTTTTCCTGCTCTCAAAAGATTAAATGCAACCGGTAAAGAGCCAAGACGGCCTGAATACTATAGAAATAAAATATATCTTTTTTAAAATCAATATATCGGCAACAAAAAACATAAAGTGCGAAGTTAACTGGCAAATAGTTCTTCGATAACATCTATTGAAATAAGCTTTGTTATTACAATTTAGTCTTTGACATCTTGACTTTGTGTCTATTAATTAGTTTAGTAAGAAGTCTCTCCCTATATACCAATGGCTTAAACCCTAACAATTGATACACACTCAACCTGATGGATTTGTTTAATATTTTTTCCCGGTAATCCGTTTGAAAATTAAGGAATTCAAATATCAAAAGACAAATATTGAGCTGCTTACAGTACAAAGACTGTTAAGGCTGCAAGGACGTGCCGACTGGCCTTACTCGATAATGTTGATAGGTTAATATATTATGAACATCATTTTGGACGGCAATGCAGCAACTTCTATGGAACGCCGTGACTGTCTTATGTAATCAATGTTTTTGTTATCTTGTGAAACGATGATATTATTTTGTCGTTTGAGCGTGTTGACATGTGCAATTTACATCATGTCTTGTCAAAGGAACATGTTGACTTGTACAAACAGAATGTTAACTTGTCAAATTGTTATGATGACATGTGCAGACAACATGCTAACTTGTCAAAGTATCGTGATGACTTGTGCAAACAACATGTTAACTTGTCAAAGTATAATGATGACTTGTGCAAATGACATGGTGACTTGTCAAAATGTGATGATGACTTGTGCAAACAACATGTTAACTTGTCGAATTATTGTGATGACATGTGCAAACAGCATGTTAACTTGTCAAAGTGTCATGATGACTTGTGCAAACGCCATGTTAACTTGTCAAAGTATAATAATGACTTGTGCAAACGACATGTTAACTTGTCGAATTATCGTGATGACATGTGCAAACAGCATGTTAACTTGTCAAAGTATCATGATGACTTGTGCAAACAGCATGTTAACATGTCAAATTTCCATGATGACTTGTGCAAACGACATGTTAACTTGTCGAATTATCGTAATGACTTGTGCAAATGACATGTTATCTTGTATCATGCTGACATGTCAAAACGTACTGTTAACTTGTCAAAGTATTATTATAACTTGTGCAAATGCCATGCTAACATGTCAAAATTCCATGATGACATGTGTAAACAGCATGTTAACTTGTCGAGCTATCGTTATAACATGTGCATACAGCATGTTATCTTGTCCAAGTATCATGATGACTTGTGCAAACGACATGTTAACTTGTCCAAGTATAATGATGACTTGTGCAAATGCCATGCTAACTTGTCAAAATTTCATGATGACATGTGCAAACAGTATGTTAATTTGTCAAATCATCGTGATAACATGTGCAAACAACATGCTAACTTGTCCAAGTATCATGGTGACTTGTGAAAGCGACATGTTATTTTGTCAAAATTTCATGATGACATGTGCAAACAGCATGTTAACTTGTCAAGGTATCGTGATGACTTGTGCAAACTCCATTCTAACTTGTCAATGTATCATGATGACTTGTGCAAATGCCATGTTAACTTGTCAAATTATTATGATGACTTGTTGAAACAACATGTTAATTTGTCAAAAAATCGTGATGACTTGTGCAAAACACATGTTAACTTGTTAAGGTATTATGAGCATGTCATCACGATAATTCGACAAGTTAACATGCTGTTTGCACATGTCATCATGATTTTTTGACAAGTTAACATGTCGTTTGCACAAGTCATCACGATATTTTGACAAGTTAACATGTCGTTTGCACAAGTCATCATGATACTTTGACAAGTTAATATGTTGTCTGCACATGTCATAATGATTATTTGACAAGTTAACATGCTGTTTGAACAAGTCAGCATTGTCTGTAGACAAGATTTGATGTACATTGCACATGTTAATATGCTAAAATGACAAAATAATAGCATCATTTCAGAAGATAGCAAAAATATTGATAGCATAAGACAGTCACGGCGTTCCATAAACTTCACTCTATTTTAGAAATCTCTTGTCGTTTATTTCCATTACACAATGAACTACGAAAGTGACAAAGCTTCTTTCACACTTCATACATTATTTTAGCAAGCGTCTAGGTTATTCAGCAACAGTGTCATCAGTATTGATAGTACGAGTGTTTACGAAACTATCCGAAGTGGAGCCACTTCCGTCCAGACCACGAGACATTCAGCTAATAGGGGGCAAATATTTACAACAGTTGCTATGTTCAAAGGTGAAATGGTTGCAGTAAAGTGGAGCACAAAGAAGAAAATTCAAACCGATAGGTCGTTCCTACTTCGCATGAAAGAGGTACATGTAGAACTGTGTACAATTAAGTAACTTATTTGAAGCAAAAGAAATTCTAATGAATTCGTTGATAAATAAACAATATTCAAGCATTGATCTTATTACAAAGTTAACATAAAAAGATAACTACAAAAACTATAAAGTCATATTTTATTTATTTGACTAGAAAATAGGTCTTTTAATCATACGTGTGACTGGCTTTTAAATCAGCCAAATCAAACAAAAATTAAAAAGGACGTTTGAAATAAAATCTTTAAAAGCTTTACACGCCCATTTGGAATATACATTCTATAAAATTACTTTACTATCATTCTCGCTATTCTCGTACAAATTCTGAAGTATGTAAGATTGAACAGAAATATATGTTTAAATTGTAGATGTACGAATTAAAACATGCAAATTTGACCACATTTATTGGCATGAGTATTTCTCCTGAGAGAGTATGTTGCATCTGGGAATACTGTACCAAGGGCAGTATACAGGTTTGTTAAACTCAAACAGTTATATATAGTCAAAATGGCATGACCTTTCATAGTAGACAATTAATAAATGTCTTTTCCACTGAATAGCTTACATGCAGATACAATGATTTTAGATTTGCATCGATCGGCATTGACATTAAAAATATCATCGGCCATTTCATCGATATCTTTAAATAGACTATATATAGTGGAAGTTGTCATCTATATTTCTCCAGCATGAAGTACTTTTTTATGAATTTACATGTCGGAGGTGTAATATAGAGATTTAATGGCCTTTGAAGCGAATCCAATTCAGAGGATCTGTTACGAAAAAAATCATGTTTATATACTTATAAAGTTACCCCTCTATGTTCTAAGCTATACTTTTATATTAACTATACATGTACAAATGTAATTGCTTATTTCAGAACTTGAAATAAAACACAGGTTGTGACGAATTATGCTATTCATATCATATACATGTATATGTTGTAAATGTGTATGGGCCGGAGGCCTAAAGTCTTATAAAATCTTGAAAATCTTGAAATCATATCATGTCATTCCAACTACTTTTTTGTTTTTTTTTTGTTTTTACCATGGCGGCACTTTGATGAAGATGTTGAGATTGTTATTTCAGGATGTAATTGAGAATGATGACATTCATCTAGACATGATGTTCAAGTTGTCTCTAGTTGTTGACATATGTCAGGTAAATGTTAACATAACAATTTGTAAGTATATATATAATATGGATGTTCAGTTATGTCATATATATCAGCTTTCATTTTTTAAAATTTTGTTCAAAAGATGAAACATATGACGAATATAGCATTTTCGTTGTATGTTAATTAAAATAGTTGATAGTGCATGGGAAAGAGAAAAGATCCCACGTGTGTTCAGTAATGTATAGGAATTCATCGTCAAGCATACATTATGTGACTGCATTGATAGCAAGCTTAACCTAGAAGAACTCGCATATCTGCAATCCTAATTATATTTACAATTCTTCATTTGTCATTGAAGATGTCTATAATACGTTTTCCACTTTACTTTTACTTCAGGGTTTAGAGTACATCCATAAGAGTAACATACGTTACCATGGTAACCTAAGAAGTTCAAACTGTGTTATAGACAGTCGTTGGGTTTGTAAGTTGACTGATTTTGGCACGGAGAAAGTAAAGCCTCGCCATGACAATCTAGAAGTTATGGGGGAGCATGCTTTTTACGCAAGTATGTTTTTTTCTTCTGTATTTCAGTTTGTTCTATCAGTTTTCAAAATAAGTTGATATATCATCAAATTACTAAATCATTACTTTGAATTTAAGAATATCAACATATTTTCTGCAGAGCATATTAACTTCGTAGTATACTGACATATGAGCCGTGTCATGACAAAACCAACGTAATGCGTTTGCGACCAGCATGGATCCAGACCAGCCTGCGCCTCCGCGCAGTCTGATCAGGATCCATGCTGTTCGCTATCAGTTTCTCTACTTGTTATAGGGTTTGTAAGCGAACAGCATGGATCCTGATCAGACTGCGCGGATGCGCAGGCTGGTCTGGATCCATGCTGGTCGCAAACCCATTATGTTGGTTTTGTCATGACACGGCTCATATGTCTAACATTTATTTTTCAGAACTATTTTGGACGGCGCCAGAAATTCTACGAAGGATATTGAAGAAAGAGTCATATGAAAGCACAAGTAGCGCAGATGTTTTCGCTATCGGTATTATAATGAAAGAGTTGCTATGTAGAAATGAACCCTACAGTGCTCATACTCATCTGACTCCGAAAGGTACATTTACGTTTATACATGAACATCCTTTTGTTATCTTGACAAAAGAAGATCATACTGTTATCCTCAAAAATGTAATATCTGAAAGCAATAAGAAATTTCAAACTAACCAACATATTTTCAACCCTTGATCTTCTCAGAACATGCTTATTTGTTATGCATATGGGCATAATGTTATAGTACTAATAATAAAACAAGATACAAATGTGTGTATTTCTATCTAATCCCTGGGTACAAACAAACTTTTAAACAGTTACAGTTACAACTTGATAAATATATCGATAATAAGCGCAACAAATTGACCACTAATGGCATTTCATCATGAAGCTGTAACAATTGTAAGCTGTGACTATACTTCGGCCACCTTAACTGAAAGAAACATTATTTAACACATAAATTCCATGTACTGTTATAGAGATAATTCTAAAAGTGGCACGACCGGAGGATCCCGACAAGTTGTTCCGGCCTGCTATAACGCACGCTGAGCTTGATACCGAGTACAGAAGAACAAGCACGATTTTACTCATACACCGTTGCTGGGCTGAGGACCCGTTGGCCAGACCCTCCATGAAGACTGTTCTTAGAATGTTAGAGAAAATCAACCCATACAAGTATATAAACGTTACATTATACTTGTTATATTTAACAGTAATAATAAAACTGGACATTAACAAATAAAATATTTGTACTTAGAAAACGTTTGTAAATATTTAAGAAAAGAAGAAATGCATAAATTGTATTCCATAGCAAATGATCTTAATATATGAAATAACTTTAAGATATGCTTCTATATTATCAGAATTTTATCTCAATATAAATGATAATATTTTCGTATGACCAATTTGTTCATTAGGTTGTATATTTTAGGAGAAGCAATGTATTTTATGATATAGAATTATGATTCCTCCACCAGTAAAGCTATGATTCCTCCACCAGTAAAGCAAGAACGTCGCCATATGACCTATGATCCAAAAAACATACATAGAATTATGACTGGCTGTAATTTTAATTTTTTATCCTAATATGAATATTCTAGAAAGACAAGTGTTGTTGACAATATGATTGCAATGATGGAAAAGTATACAAATAACTTGGAAGACATTGTTGCAGAGAGAACACAGCAACTTCAAGAAGAAAAGATAAAAACCGACGCTCTTCTGTACAGAATGCTACCAAGGTCAGTATTAGCTTCATACACAATTAGAGGAAATGAAATAAAAATAAAATAATACAAAAATAAAACAACAAAAATGCACTTAATTCACAAAATAATTTGGGTTTGTATAAAGTTTAACATAAAAAATGGTAAATATTAATTGACAATGATATGAGCATGCTTGATGAAAAGGCGGGAAAACCTGCTGGCGAGCTGACTGGCAATCCCCGATTAAGCAGTTGCGAATGGTGGCATTTATATTAAAAATATTATAATGTGCATCCTTTACTAAAATGCATCTTCGGACAGACTAGAAAGTTTTAAAAATAGTTGTAACTTAGGATTAAAGTCTATTATACAATATACATTTTTATACAGAAAAGTTGCAGAAGATTTAAAGATCGGAAGAGCGGTACAGGCAGAAGCATTTGATTCAGTTACAATATACTTCTCTGATATTGTACGGTTTACAGACCTTGCTAGTGAAAGTACACCACTTGAGGTTAACAATTCTTTCAATTCTTTAATTTAATGTAATGCTAAAAATTGATGTTTTTTTCGGATTTTTGATTTTTGTTTCATTTTCGCAGACGTACGTGTTTTTAAAGAAAACAAAATACTTGTTAAGATCTATCTTACTGTAATGTAGAGATATAACAAATTTTGATGATGACAGAGCAAGATTTAAATGTGCTTCAATAAAAATGTTAAATTTTCATTTATTTGACAGTTTACTTGTTAGAACATCTTGTATCAGTAATAAATTTTCTTCTATTTCAGATTGTAGGCTTGTTGAATGCTTTATACACATTGTTCGACGACACAATAAGTCATTATGACGTTTATAAGGTGTGTAAATAAGTCAAATACAAAACAAAAAACCGGTGCGATTCTTTATTGATTCCGTAAGCTAGTTGGATAGCTTTCTCATATGTAGAATCCGACGACGCTTGCGTAGCTCGAACCTAGAGTGCTCAGAGGCAAGTGGTTTAAAGCCAACGAACTGTGTGATTTAAAATAAACTCATACCGATGCTATACATAATTCTGCATTATATTAATCACATACCTAAAAAAGACCGTTTGAATTGAAAAAGAATCATATTTCATTGACGCGCCTTTAGAAAACGCTAACATCAAGCATGTACATGTATTAACAAATTTTTAAGTTTTAATTGCTATCTCAAGGCCCAATTGGGCAGATGAGAATACAACGATGTAAAAAAAAACATTACAAACTCGTATAATGACGCCACGTCAATATATAGCCACGGCCGTGCAATACCATATAAATTTACGGAGTCGCAAAATCGGAATGTAATAAATTATATTTATTTGAAATGCACTTTGAATTATTTACCACTAACAGATCTGTCCGTATGAACCCTCACTTTCCGTATCTAATATTATATTTATAAAAAATAGTTTAGTCCGGTTGACTAAATCATTATAAAAATGCATGCTTAGTATATGATTTTAATAAGGCAAGGAAGCGATCAGAATTTATCATATTTTCACGACCATATGGTGCATGTTTGAACAAAAGAGTAATAAGAGACTTGGAACTTGATATAGGATAATGTATTTTATCATCTTTATCATTTGTTAAACCTTTTAGAAAATGTTTTATTTTGTTCATGATAGTTTTGTTATTTTATGTTGGTATTATAGCGTGTTATATCGGTTTATAAATATATATTATTTTAAGTGATATTAATATCATATCTATTAAAATTATTACATATAATAAACTATGATATGTTTATTAAGGTGGAGACTATAGGAGATGCGTACATGATTGTAAGTGGCCTGCCGGAGAAGAACGGGAATTTGCACGTGAAGGAGATTGCAGGAGTAGCTCTCAGTATATTGGACAGTGTATTGACTTTCAAAATACCTCACAAACCAGACAGACAACTTCAAATCCGAATTGGTAAAATAATGATGCATCGGTTAACTATAACATAATATAATATTGTTCAAACGAAATGCACCAGTTTTCATTGTAGCACCTCAATTTATATTTAGACACAGGTCGATATATACTACTAGTAATATAATGCGCTGTAAAATGTCATGTTCTCTTATTCAAAATCATTGTTTTTTTATAATATTTTTATTCACGTCGTCGTGAATTGGAGGCTGATTAGATCAAAAGCTATATGTGCCCTTAAAGCTTTTTTTATACATTTGAATATATCATGCTCAAGTGTATGAATCTATTTGTAACATGCTTGAATATTTCTTATAAGGAAGATGCTTAGTCTATCTTTAAGATTGTTTGGCATAGCGAAACATATTTAAATAGAAAAGTGATATAATTATAAAGTTCAACATTACATGTATATTATATTCAATTTATGCAGGATTACACACGGGTCCAGTGGTCTCAGGGGTTGTTGGGCTAACCATGCCAAGATATTGCTTGTTTGGTGACACTGTCAACACAGCATCAAGGATGGAGTCAAATGGAGAGCGTAATAACATGGCATTTTTATTATCTTTATAAAACAAACAAATGAATAAGTAACTTGATATACATCTTTTATGGTAATTTTTGTTTGTTTCTATAATGGGATTAACTCTTATCTACTGTAGATTGTATACTAGTATGGTAAGATTAATATAATACTTAGTATATTTGATACAATTGTATTTGGTGATACTATTCCTTGTGATATTTTTGTGTGTGTGATATTTTCCATCAATATTATCATGGCACCCTTGATTTGAATGAATGGGCCGGTTTGTCCTACATCTTTGCTAGCGGTATATGCATGCCAGCGAGCTGTTAATCCTCTCTGGGATAATTCATACCTTAAATGTTCACTATTACAAGACGTGATGCTTATGAACCTTATGTTTGGTAAGACTAGTAAAAAATGCCAATAAGTATTATATTACACATATATGCATGTATGTAACCAAGTTTCAAAGATATGTGAAATTGCAATCTGTATTGTTCATCCAAACATATATGAAGTTAATACCTACAATATAGAGACAGGGATATGTTTGCATCAGTAAAAATGCATTAGAAATTTAGAATGCTTCACCGTATTTTGTACTAAAAACTACTCTATTTCAGCCCAGAAGATACACATTAGTCCAAGCACACAGGCGGCGTTAGCGAAATTCCCTTTGTTTGATATAGAGGAACGAGGGGAAATTCCAATTAAGGTAAACAGAATATCAACTACATTATTGTGTATATGCATTGGCTACGACCTAAGTAACTTATGTTTCATTAGTGTTTCTGTACAACATGGTTGACTTTTTAAATGTGTGATTTGTTGAAGTTTTTTCTCTTAAATAATTTATTCCTTGATTTTATCAATGTGACAATTTTTTGCTAGTTATGGTGTGCATATTGTTTTTGTTCAATATCATTTTCCTCAGACTTTTGTATTCACATTTTGACAGCTTTTGTTTACATGCTTGTAATCTTATTACCCCATACATTTTACTGTTAAAGTCAGAATCATGTAAGGTTAACGTAAGCAACTGTATGGATTAAGAAGGGGTGGTTATCGTTTCGCTTTTAATATTTAATTAAACTGTCATGAAGAACGATTACAGTAGAACCCCTACTTAAGACCATCCCGGAATTAAGACCACCCCACTATTAAGACAATAGAGATGGCTAAAATATACCATGGTCATAAAGTATGTAAGCAATAAGAATATTCACAATTAAGACCACCCCACAATTTAGACCACCCCACAATTAAGACCACTTTGGACCAGTCCCTATGGTGGTTTTAATTGAGGGTTTCTACTGTACATGTATAAACATGCAGTCAGTTGTTACATTACAGGGTAAAGGAATGATGAGGACATTCTGGTTGACGGGTTTACACGTTGTTGCTTTAGAGGATGGTGAAGATGATGATGGCGAGCTTGACATGGAAACTGATCAGCCGTTTGGTGATAATGAGTTTTCCATGGAAGATCTAAAGGAAAACGGTTTAGGAGATGATGCATCCATGTCAGAAGAAATTAAAGGCGGGCAAAACGGTGTCGGGAAAATCAGTGTCGCCGATTCCGGAATTTGTATTGATAAAAGTACAGTTGTGACTGAGGAAAATGACCATAACAATATGGACATAATATCAGGTGATACCTGTAATAGTGACGTTCATGACGATGATAAACACGAGGTATCAGCACTAAAACCTAGTACGGAGACACATAATGACATTGCGTTACGGTTAAACGGGAATTATAATAATAAGTTACAAACTGTAAAGTTAACAGAAATACAAGAAAACAAATCAAAACCAAATGGTGAACTACTACCTCTGGAGAATTGTACTGACCACAAGGAAAGCACAAATATTCGGTTTCATGTGTTACCAGTACAAAGCCCATAAAACGGAAGAGATCAGTCTCTGGTTTATAATTTAGTCCCAATATTACATTTATTTATTTATTCATGGCTGGAAATGGCTGGAAATGATTATAAGCGATTTGTTGTGCGTCAAAACGTCACGAAAGCATAAGTAAACAAGACGGTAACTTAACTGCTGACAACGAGTTGGTGATATGTCCTGCTATATATACATTGGGTATCTAACAGTATACAGACAGCCTGGTCAGATTTCATAAATATGCAGGCTGGCCTGGCTCAATACTTCTGGCAAAGGCTTAAATTATCACTTCCGGTTCATTAAGAAAACGGGAGCTTATTCAAGATCCAATCAAATGTTCACAACTTTAGTTTGGGATCCAAGCATCCTGAGATGTATGGTACTTTAAGTGTGGACTTTGAACATTTTATGATATTTTACATGATTACACTTTCCTTTTGAGAAGGAAATAAACACAGGTTTCTCATTTTAAGGGTAAATTTCTAACCTAAGACATTGTTGTTATACATGTACATGTATTTATAAGATTTCTTTGTTGTTGTTAAAAAGCGTTCTATGTTGTTTTGTATAATGAAATCCTAAAACTTACTGGTCTTAGTTGTGTCTAACAAACCGACTTCTTAGTACAAAGCTCGTTTTATCTCTTTCAGTTTACATGTACTTTGTGTCATATACAAAAAATGTAAATTAAAGTTACAAATCATAAACTTTATTAAAGATAACAGAACTACAAGAAAATTAATATACATGTATATAAAGTAAGGCCTAAGCGAGTGGCTATATATTTAGGTCGTTGACCATGAATGACATGTCCCTCACTTCTGTAAGTTCAAATCCCTTATGGACCGTGAGATAACAGGAGGCTATCAAGTCCACGTTAACGGTCGGTTGTTGCAATAAGTTATAAATTCATTTTGTATATATTGGCGTTCTGTTACTTTCTGACGTCACGCATTTGTCTTAAAGCTGAAACAGCTCTTGATTTTTATCCCCCGCCGAAAATTTTCGGCGGAGGATATAGTAATAGTCTCCGTCCGTCCGTCCGTCCGTCCGTCCGACCTTCCGTCCTTCCGTCCGTCCGTCCTTCCGTCCGAAATTTTTGTCCGGAGCATATTTCTAAAAGTATTTGAGTTATCAACTTGAAACTTCATAGGTGGATAGACCTCATTGAGGAGGAGTGCAGTGCACAAGAATGATAACTCTACCTTGCATGATTTTTGAGTTATTGCCCTTTGTTATTTTTCAAAATTGATTTTTGTCCAGAGCATAACTCCAAAAGCCTATGAGATATTAACATGAAACTTCATAGGTGCATAGATCTCACTCAGGAGGTGTGCAGTGCACAAGAATGATAACTCTTCCTTTCATAATTTTTGAGTTATTGTCCTTTGTTATTTTTCATACCTAATTTTTCACCTGAGTGGAGCATAACTCAAAAAGTGTTTGAGATATCAACATAAAATGTCATAGAAGGATAGATCTTATTGAGGAGAAATGTTGTGCGCAAGAATGATAACTCTTCCCTATACAATTTTTGAGTTATTGCCCTTTGTTGTTTTTTTCATGCTATTTTGTCCAGAGCTTATCTGAAAAAGTATTTGAGGTATCATCTTGAAACTTCATAGGTGGATGGATCTCATTGAGTAGGAATGCAGTGCTAAAGAATGATAACTCTGCCCTGCATTATTTTTGAGTTATTGCACTTTTGTTATTTTTCAAAATTAATTTTTGTCCAGAGCATAACTCAAAAAGCCTTTGAGATATCAAAATGAAACTTCACAGGTGCATAGATCTCACTCAGGAGGTGTGCACTGCACAAGAATGATAACTGTACCTTTTATAATTTTTGAGTTATTGCCCTTTGTTATTTTTCATACTTAATTTTTCAATTCAATTTTTTTCTCAAAAAGTATTTGAAGTATCAACTTGAAACTTCATAGGTGAATAGATTTTACTGAGGAGGGATGCAGCACACAAGGATGATAACCTACCCTGCATTATTTTTCAGTTATTGCCCTTTGTTATTTTCAGCCATCAGTATTCACATAGGTTTCAAATCTGTAATCACTATAGCCATCAGTTTTCATTACCAAAAGACCTCTTAAAATGGAATTATTCTGCTCTACTACATATACATTCTTCCAATGAGCAAACACATTCGGCGGGGGATGGCCATGTTGACATGGCTCTTGTTTAGTTTTAGTAGTTAGCTGTTTACTATTTTGTATGGTTGACAAAAGCGATACCTATCTTATATAGTTGACAAAGCAATACCATTTTACTTTTTGCTGATTTAATATGACAAAATATTTTATATTCATGAGCACTTTCGTCACGTGATAAACATCCTACATTAAAACGTTAGCCTTTCCTTTACCGGAAAATTGTATTAATTTCTGATGATGTGTGTGCCTTTAAGCATGACTACTACAGTTTCTTAATATCTAACTTGAAACCTATAACACAAAGAGGTACAACCATTTCATACCCAAACAATTGATATGTTACAGATGATTATTCAGACTGTTTAAATTGTAATCCTAAATAAGTTCTGTATTGTTTTTTTAAGGCTACTATACATTTCACATGAATCACTTTAGTTTGTGTAAACCCCGTTTTTTTTATCAACTTTTCTTGTTTGTACAAATATATTTCTTAAAGAATCCCATTGTCTGAAAATCTTCCACTTCATTTGTTTATTTAATTTTTTCACCGGTGGAATATATAAATAGTGCAATTTCCCCTTAAAGGCAAAGTAAGCTTCTCAAGTGATTTCTTTTCTTTCTGAAGTAAGGGCAAACCTGTGTAATGGATTTAGGACATGTGCTGAATATGATACAATTTACGAAAAGTTACCAAAATGTAAACAAAGTGGTATTTTTACTTCATACAATTAAATTACTAAATAACTACAACGGTACTTATAGACACAAAACATGGCTTAGTAATATGGCCAATTACACTTAAGGACAATGAAAACGGACGCTCGCACTATATGCATTTTATTACATGACAAAAAACACTCCCGACTCCATCAGATATATATCATACCTTTATTATAAAGCACAAACTGAAAATAATTCAAAATGTTTAAAATCAAATGTACACCAGTCCATCGAAGTTCTTAAGGTGAAAATCCCAAAATAACACTTTTTCATCACAGTAATGCAAACTCAACAATGGCAAAAACCAAAATATAAATCCAAAACAAAGTTACTCATAAATATCTATTCGTAATGTCACCGTTGGGATCTTTAGAAACGACAATGTCCTCCATCAGCGTCTCTTACATATGTACATCGTCGCCCCACGGACCTTACTAGGGTGCGAATAGTTGCCTGTGGAATTTGACGCCATTTGGCCTGTAGTGCAAATCCTCTACGACACAGCCATCCCTGAACCTTTCACCACGGCGGTGATATACACACTCTCTTCGGTCACTTAAGTCGACCATTACTGTGGTCTCGTCAGAAAAAAAAGCTGTTCCATCTGTTTAAGCGCCAATGGGTATGGGCAGCTGCCTAGCGTCTTCTTGCAAATCTATGTCGTGAAAATAATGGTGGGCCACGGTATGACTTGTGACATGGAAGACCAGCATACCTCAAACGTCGGCAGAGACTGTCGGATTACGGCGTCCTGGATTAGTGTTCTAGCAATTTATGCTGGTGTCCTAAACCGATTGGCAATGTGTACCATGCGAATGTTGATATCTATGCATGCTGTCGTCACCTTCCGCTTGCCTGGTTTCCGTCGAGCGTTGACGGTACCAGTAGTACGAAAAAGCTGGTGAAGCCGAGAAATTGTGATAGACACAAACACGGTTGGCGATTTGTTGTTAAGATAGACCAGTCTGAATCTGTCCTAAAGCTACCCAGTGATTTTTTCTTTGTACAGCCATTGCGTACAATTTGCTATAGCAAGTCTTGAGTAGTTTCATTGTAATTAAGCGCATTCTATAGAGGAAAATTGTGTGTGCATGGGCGCTTTTAAAACTGACTGTTGGCATAGTTCAATGATCAGCAAAAAGTGTCACTTTTGATTTTTTGGGTACCGTCTTTATTACGCAATAAGGTCTTTAAAATGCAATCATTTTTCATACTTTTGGTATCTAAATGACCGCAATGCATTCGGTTTATTGAATTCGTAAAAAAAATATTTATAAGAAATATTTTTTTCTTATTAAAATGCAATTATACCGACCCTGCGTTTTCATTGTCCTTAAGTATAGTATATTTCCGGAAACTGTAAAAGGACATCAAAAATTAAAAAGGAAAAAATAGCATTTTTAGGCTTATTTAGTGATGTCCGAATATATTCATAGAACGTTCTCTACCACATATTAAATAAACTATATGTTTGTATACTAGTATGTTTTCTTCAGAAAATTATTATATACAATGTATTCGAAATAAGCATAAAACACGGAAAGTTGGCTGAATGTGTAAGAGCTACTGATGACCAGAAATAAAAAAAGATTTACGTGAACAACAAAACTGATTTATTGGCGGAAGACTGTATTTATTATGAAGACATTCCAGAAGTAGAAGCTATGTAACCATTTAAACGTATTCAGTTTTAATACATGTATATACATCCACCAGATTTCAAAAAAGAATGTCCTTGAAACCAGTAACTGATGTTGAAAAAAGCCAAATAATTTCCCTGATAAAGCAATGCCTATATATTAACAATTCACCTTCACCACAAACATATGTCATTTTCTTGCCCTTCGATTCTGTCGTCACGTGATCGTGTGGAGACATACTGTCACGTGGTGTCATACTCAAATCAGTTTACAATGGGGACTCAATTAAGAGATCAGAGCAATCACAAAAGCTTTTATTTTATCACATTTTAACACCGAAATCCCCATTTTATATAATACACAAATGTGTTCCTTTTTAATGTTCAAGGCAGTTAACATCATATTATCACAGTTCTAAAATCGTAATCCAGTGTTTGTCCGTCCGTACCCATTTCCAAATATATATTCTTCGACTCATACTTTGGTCTGAAACGAGAAAAATAAACCTTCTTCAGATTTCATAGTGAATAAAATGAAGCTTTTTTTAAATTAACAATGTAAATGGTATATGCAGAAGTAGCATTAGATCAATCCTTACAGAATACATGTTTGGCAAGCCGCTTGTAATGTGTAAATTACTTTCTTTGTTCACTAAGTCTTGACAATACTGTCCTAGGATGGTAATTTGGTCTTAACGGTACATGGGAAAGTCCAAAAACGGGGTTATCTGGATTATTATCCGATATCGTCAAAGTAAACACTTACATATACTATATAGCATTATTCTTACAGTATCGTTTGTGTATTACCGTTATGGCTCTGCCGGTAGATCGAAATTTTTGTAACTTTTAGTGTTTTGTACTCATGGGTTCGAACCCTACGTAGTGCCATTTTATAACCACAGTTTTTTCTTCTTGCTCTGTTCTTTTTATCATTATAATTATTTATTTATTTTTCGTTTTCCTTTTTGTTTTCTTCTTATAATATATATTTTATAGAATATATTTATTTATTTTCATCTCTATTCTTTTTTTCTTTTTGTATTTTTTTTATCGCAGTGTAATAAAATATTCGATCTCATATTCATGTATGTATATGGAAAAAAACGGTCAAACTCATTTTCTGAACAATTGAGTGTTCTGAGGTAAAAAAAATGTGTCGGACCAGTAGTCGAACTTCTGCCTGTACGGGTAAAACATATTACTGACACGGTTGCTCTACCTACTGCCCTAACAAGACATATGATAACATGCAGTTTTATTTTCATTTTTATAGGTTGTGGCATTGATCTGCCTAACCTATTTTTCGCATTGTTATTGGTCTTTGTTATGTAAACAAAGGCTCAAGTTATCATCCTAGGACAGTACTTTTTACATTATAAATTTTTTCATGAAAATAAGCATGAATCTTGAGGCATGCTGCTTTTAATATAGAAGACGACCTCGGTCACGAAGATTGTTAATATCGGACAGAAATCTAGTGAAACATAACATTTTGAAACATCTATGCAACATACTATATAGGGCATATTAACGATACTGACTCAACAGCCCTACCATGCAAATATTTTACGACGTAAAAATGTTTCTATATATTATTGTATAATAGATAACCTAATTTGTGTATTTATATGACATATACATTGATATGTCATGCGAGACCTCTTTACAAAACAAACATGGAATACTCGTGGGTGTTTATGTATGTATATAATAAAGTTAGATAAGAAAATCGGCACATATATACATGTATTGTGTGCACAGAATATTCAAGTCTTATTGGCTTGTCAATGTAATTTTACACACATATGGTGCACATTTAAAAAGTCTTAATCAATGATGTTATATTTTCGATCCTTTAAGATCGTTCAGCACGACATTATTGTTGTGCTTGTGGTATTTTTAGTTTCAACTTTTCGGCATTTTCTAGTTGGGTGGTTCCAATATTCCTACTTGAATAATGTTGAATCACCCTTGGGATATGTTGCCTGCTTTTTAAATTTGTCTTTTGACGTCTTATCTGTGATACGCAGGCTTCATAACCTCTGATCCCCTTTCAAAATTCCATTTTATTTAGTTCCGCCCATTGTTTTCTCGTTTAGGGCACACGCTTTTTATTACTTGGGGACCATACGCCGCTTTTCATGGAATGGCACGGAAGTGTCACATTGAAGGTTCCATGATAACCGCCGTATGAACACATCTGCGGATGTTTCTAAATTCAAAATTTTACTATTTCATGTTTAAATGTTGAATTCTGCTTAAGCCGGTGCTAGGGGGCGTGGACGGTAACTTGCACTTTCCAGTACCGTCCATGAACAGGCTCAATCAAACCGAGCCTGCAACATTTTCAATTTTGCCGTGTTGGGCTTTCTTTAGGGATTCTGTATTTATCTATTTTAATAATAATAATAATAATAAAACAAGGCTGTTACTGATTATAAATAGTCTCCAATTCAAGCCTTTTAGGGTAAAGTCAAAATAACTTTGTCTACAGTGTAGAGATGTTATATTTCATGTACTTTGTATTATAATCAGGAAACTGGTAGGGTGTACTTGTAAGTATGAAATTAAAGGGAATTTTGACTTTGTTCCTTTAAGTTAATTAATCACACTGTCTGTGCATTTGATCTACGTCATAGAAATTCAATGTTTTGTGCAGACCTTAGTTTGATTTTCAAAACTATTATATTTTTGTTTTAGAAATTTCCCTTTCATGTCCATACAATTATTATATTATACAACTAACAATAGTCCGGTTACTTATTCGAAATCGTTACAATGTCTATCTAGTTGGAACATTGTTCACTATATATATCTGATTGTATCATTTCTAGACATAAAGACACATTTACTTACTGAAAGAGTTAATGACTCTAATTACTTCAAAAACAGAGAAATAAGAATTCAAGAACGGTGAAATACAAGCATGTCTAGAATAACACCCATCAGTGCAAAACGCACATACAATATACAAATTAGTGTAATTAATAAATCACCGACCTCAATTTAATGTTTGGACAAAAATGTGTATTGGTAGAATTAATATTTTAATATTCGCATTTCTTATCATTATTTTTATTCCTAATCATAAACAGATCAGATGAATGCTCCAAACAGGGTCTTTCAAATAGAAAGGCCCTCCTCCAAATTACAATGTATAACAGTATCCAGGAGAGAGAAAAAAAGCTCGCACTGACGTGAGATTAATTTTCATGAATAGCTACGCCAATACACATTGCATGTATACATATACGTGAATAATGTATATGACAAATGAGCAAACTACTTACAAATTACGCCTTCTTATTGTTAGAAGCGTTGTTCATCAATTTTTGCGTATTTTTTCTCGTGTGTCCGGCAGGGTCCTCGTGGTGGTTTAGTGATGCTTCTTTCTTCGACCTTCCCTTTCCACTGTGTGCTGAATGCACGTATTTCTCCTGGTCAATATTATAGTCGTCATATTCATCCATATATTCCTTATCCGCCGCTTTTGCGTCTGTCGACATTTTCACGCTTATTTTAACACCTTTTTCTATACGTCCAAGATGTGCAACATATGCCACGTCTTTACTATATATACATGCAGGTTTGTTTATGATTGAACAAGTCATGTGACTTAAGTTTAGGTAACGTGAGTTCCGATTGGATAGTTATTTCGTCATCACAATCTATTTATATTGCCGATTTTCAAGTTTGGCCTGCTTAATAATAAAGGTCACGACCGGTGTATGGCCACCTGTTTTCCTCACAACTTTAGAGAGAAATTTTTAACTAAATTGAAAAGTGATATCGATTCCCTCCTTCCTATTAAATAGAACCTAGATTTAACCATGTTACACTATTGACTACATTATGGAACGCCAAATCTGCCTTATTCAAATTAAGTTGTGATATTTTTCCCGGATAATCCGAGCACGATAAACAGAAGTTTCATCATATTTATTTACAGTACGTAACCATTAATGCTTGTACGTTTGACTGATATAAGTAATATATGTCGTAATAGCTGGATCGGTAGAGCACTAAGTTTTGAAGAAACATATATATACTCCATGGTTAACTGGCTTCTAAAAAAGTTTTTTTCTATATATAACTATTTTCCTCCTTCATGTACGAAACTACATAATGATTATGTTTTTTTATTTGATTGATTTATTTATGTTACATTTTAATCGAATTTATCTTCATCTCATATATTCCACTATCTCATTTTTTCGTTTCTAATTATAAATGTATGAAAATTTTAACAACTTTTAAGAGAGACAAAAAAAATCTTATATGCTAATCATATATTTGTTTTGTCAGACAGTAAGTACTTAAAAAAAGAATTAAAACTTGAACAAAAATAAAAATAAAAATGAAACTGTTTCCATCAGGTTTCGAACCCAATAGACTATTCAATCACTTCCATACAAAATAATAATTCACTATAAGTATATGTTAGTGTTTATCCGTGCTGTTCTACAGAAATTAGAAACTTCGACGGGAGGGAGCGATAGCGACAGGAGAATGTTTCTAATTTCTGTAGAACAGCTAAGGATGAATACTAACATACTTAGTGTCCAGCTTTATTTGTCATCCAAAGAAAACGCTGTATTTCTTCAAAATTCTGTGCATTAATTTTCATAGAAGAACAAAAACCGATACTATATCGAATTTCGTTCATAGTCGACTTCTATTTTTCATAGTACTTCATAAAACCGCATAGTGACGTAATAAAGTAAATACATGTTAATAATGAGGCCAAATAAAGCTTGACACTAAGTATGTTAGTATTCATCCTTAGCTGTACTAGAGAAATTAGAAACATTCTCCTGTCGCTATCGCTCCCGTCGAAATTTCTAATTTCTGTAGAACAGCTAAGGATGAATACTAACATACACATATTGCCAAATGAGCAAAGGAAGCAAAATATAGTTCATCTAACTGTTTATCAATTTATAACCCTTTTTAATATGTGATAACTGATAAATAGTACTTTAATAGTACAGTTGCAGTAATGGACCATTTACATATGTTTTAACTTTTGTATTAGGTTCTTTACAGAAATATTTTAGATGGTTAGTTAAACATTCTATTAAATGATGGTTACTTGATCTAGTAATGGAAGCTTCTTCAACAAATAATAATTTCATGTATTTGATAATCTGCCAAATAGGGCATACATTTCCCGGTGTCCCGAAGAAATTTAGCGTCCCGAAGCGTCCTGAAGCGTCCCGAAGCGTCCCGAAGCATTATTTTTAAACAGTCAGAAGGGTTATATTTATTGTAAATGAGCTATATTATTTTGTATTGAGGTATTTATGGTAGAAAAAAATAATCTTAATTAACATTTTTTCTATTTATATAAAAAAAACCTAACATACCTCTGACTCCAGTTCACTTGCTCCCAGTACATAGTACAGTACCATTAGGATTACTGCTGCAAAGGTTCCTATAATAATAAGTAAATTTAGGTTAATTTTGCGATTTGGGTATTTATTATTCGTTAAACACAATTTGCCAACTTTTAATGCTGAATGACTGCATTGATGACAAGATTTGCCCGTATTAAAGATCGGTTTTACAAATATAGTGTTTTCATACCTGAAGTATTTATTACGATTCATAGAAAGAACGAGCACAATGTAAACAAAAGAGATGGCGGGAGATTGGCAAAAATCAAAACAAAGTTAACAAATTACTGTTTATATGTATTTATCTCTGCTGCTTTGTGTGATAATGATTCGATATGGATCAACTGGTATTCCTTCCCGTTCAAAACTTACGTTTCAAAGGTGGGTCTATGATAGTCGTAGCTTTGAGATATTTTTGCTTCTGGGCAGGCTTGACCAGACCGACAAGAACTATAACAAGCCTTTAGCGTCTAATATATTGCGGTACGTTACGATACCGAAATCAACTTGATTTCGGTAAAGTAACCGAAATCAACTTTTCATTACCGAAATCAACTTATAAAATCACAATTAAGCGTTTTATTATATTTTTTTCATAATAATATATTACAATAGGTTAAGTTTGACTTTAATTATAAGTTATCATTTAAAAGAAAACACAAGAGAAATTTTAATCTTGCTATAATATTATTAGGTAATTCGAGATCACATGTTTCACATTCATATTAAATGATTCTATTATTCAATACAAATAGAAAATTGTTTCATCATGAAACTCAATCAAAATGTCTTTGTCTATCCACATGACAATCCATTAATCATTACAGAAGTAATATTCATAATCCAGCAACTCTTCAAATATAACTTCTACAAAATACAATATTGTACAATAAAATATATAAATAACACACAATAAGGGCGGGCGTGGAGGGTAAAATAGAATATTCAACATGTGATCTTCTTGTCAAACGAATACAGAATGAACCAAAAATGCAGAAGCGCAAGAGACAAAAAAGTTTACCGCCAAAAATATAGGCGACCAATAGAAAGTTGTTTACTGCCTACGTAATGCATAAATTAAAATCCACCAATGAAAAAGAGTTTTTTAAAAAGGTCAAATTCATTCAACCTTATAATTAAGTTATTTTAGTTCAAAATAAACAAAATTATAAGTTATCATTTAAAAGAAAACACAAGAGAAATTTTAATCTTGATATAATATTATTAGGTAATTCGAGATCACATGTTTCACATTCATATTAAATGATTCTATTATTCAATACAAATAGAAAATTGTTTCATCATGAAACTCAATCAAAATGTCTTTGTCTATCCACATGACAATCCATTAATCATTACAGAAGTAATATTCATAATCCAGCCACACCCATGGCCATGAAAAATACAAACAAAAAACATTACAAAATACAAAACATCAGCAAATATAAGTTCAGATACATACAAATCTACTAAGAGGCTTTCATACCACCTCCTTAGTAGCATAATCTCCAAGACTGGTCATTACCAGCTTACGAGACTGAGCCTTTCTTGAGAAACAGTGTGTCTCAAGCAAAGGCATAAAGTACATATATCAACTAATGCATATATTTGAATATAAACATTAAATTCAATATCCTGAAACACTCTAGAACAAGTGTATACACAATAACAAAACCACTAAGAGGCATTCTTCTAACCTCCTTAGTAGAAAGTAATCTTCAATACTAGCCATTGCCAGTTTGTAAGATTTAATCTTTCTTGAGAAACCAAGTGCCTCAAGCAAAGACATAATGACATTAGAACATGACACTATCTTACGAATGTATATTCTAAAGATTATAATAATTACGAATTACATATTTTACTTAACAAGCTGTCTAGAAATACAAATATTGAAACTTGCAGTAAACATGTAGCGCTCATCCAACACTAAGTTGTAATTACTTTAAGTGAGTAATGGTATTAATGAAAAATTCTTTCAAACGCCTTGTACCTTCTAGATTAAGATGTAAACCACCGTCTTTTATAGCATAATACTCACGACGGGGCAAGCCACATTTAAGAAAGGGTTTGAAAGTTCTAATGAAAATAACATTTCTAGATTTGCATAGTAGAACCAATTTATTGTTTAAATTTTTAACCCTATTACCAGTTGTATCAAAATCTATAGGGCGTGGAATAATTGCAGATACAATAATGCTTCCAGAAGATTGTTGACGAACATTGGAGATCAAATCGTTAAAAGATGAGATAATCTCATCTTCTGAACGAGGGCCAGTTACATCATTGGTACCAACATGTAATATGACATAAGCAGATCTAAGATCAACTTGACCTTGTGAAATACGAAAACTTAACCTTGAAATATTAATTCCAGAATGCAGAATTTTTTTCATAATAATATATTACAATAGGTTAAGTTTGACTTTCATGCAAAAAATCAGTTCGAAATGATTATTAATAATGAAATTAGAAACAAATAACTAAATATCAAGATTATTCCCTGATTTGTCACGAACCGAAATATATGTTACAATACCGAAATCGACTTGTAAAATCATAATTAAGCGTTCTATTATATTTTTTCCATTATAATCTATTACAATAGTTTTAGTTTGACTTTCATGCAAAAAATCAGTTCGAAATAATTATATATAATGAAATTAGAAACAAATAACTAAATATCAAGATTACTTCCCTGATTTGTCACGAACCGAAATATATGTTACCATACCGAAATCGGCTTGTAAAAGTTAAAATAAACATTTTAATAGATCTTGTTTAATTAATTGATATAAAGTCATTCAAACTGAACCATAAACAAAGGAAAATAATATTTAATTATAAAAATGATGATGTTATAGACGGATATGTATATTATATCATGATTACATCCCTTGTTATTAATGTGTTGCATTACCGAAATCAAATCAGATTTCATTTCAAAGATGAGAACAACCCCTAAATAATTTGCATGAATTTCAGAAATAGTTGATTGGAAATTATCACAGTATTTAATTTGAATCCAATGATTATGATTTGATTAAAATAAAAAGACGTAGCGGTAGCCATTCATCATAACACCTTTACTAATAAGGAGCAAGCATACACGTGCTCGGACAATGGAGGTGTTAGTTGACATAACATACTCGTTCACCGCAATCCTTTAATATACATCGGGGCATGGAAACTTTAAAGTATCCAAACAACATAATTAGACATAATTATTTTACATGAAATTAAGGCTGCTTGTCTCCATTAAGACAAAAAGTACATTACAGTTTAATATAGAATGACGTATAGCGACCATCCCTATATAATATATATATTTCCGTAGAAAACATTTCGGTATTATTACCAAATTGCATATCAGTTGTTCCAAAAATGTATGCAATTTTTGATGTCCCGGATACTTAACTACATATTCTCCTTATTGAAAAAGTCCCGTGCAGAAAATATTTCCTGTTCTCAGGAAGTCCCAGGAAATCCCAGGATTATCCCAGGATTTGTTTGCTACCTCTTAACAAAAGTCCTGTTTATAGGATATCTCGAGACTTTTGAACATACTGAACAGGACAAAACAGGAATTGTCAGGACTTTAATCTTACCAACAGGAAAAAACAGGAAATCTCAGGACTTTTATTTTCAAATATGTCCTGAGGACAGGAATTTTCAGGACTTCATTTATAGTGAAGTCCTTTAGTCAAAGACAAGAAAGATATTTTCTTAGAAGGCCTTTCTGTAAAGTGAAAAGTAAGAAGTCTTGTTAATTCCTGTTCTTTAGACAGAGGAATAAATGAAATAACTTTTGTGAGACTTTTTATTACTGAGCAAAGCTGAAAAAATGCTAAGTATAAAAAAGGAGAAAAATTGATAAAATATTGAAGTCGGTTTGTAATAGTTTTCTTTAACACAATGGGTATCAAAATACTCAGAATTTAAAATTCTATAATCTTAGACCTTAATCACAAACAATTAAGAAAAAATTGCTAATTGATTTTTGAACATAGCAAGGAAATTATTTTTTTTCATTTAATAAGATATTGTAATAGGGAAAATCAAATATACATGATTGTATATAACCTGCACATAATTTTGGCACATATTCTGAGCGGAATACGGACAGAATTGGCATGGAATCAGTGATTTCTGTGTGGACCATGGAAAGAAATGAAATTCTGTCATTCCATTTCAAAACAAAAACATAAAAGTTACCCAAAGCATTATTCTACTCTAGTTTTTTTTTGCATTTACAAACATTGAAATGTATATGTTTTCAACCTATTGTACTTCTTACAGTACTTTTTTTTACTCAAGCTCATGCAACTGTCATTTTTATCTATTTCAAATCATTGGGAACCAATATGCCTGATAATTGCATACACTTAGGACACCCACTTAGATATAACACCACACAGATCAAAGATCTGATAAAACTGGCCACCTTTGTTCTCCCACCATAATGTGCATGACTAATTTACTCCCTGGTCATTCCTACAAATCAGACTGTTCCATATGATTATTTTAGGGAGAGGTAACATTACAAATTTGAATGATATGCAGAATATGTATAGGACATTGCAATTTTTCTTCTTTATTAAATTCATGATTTTTTAAATCTACTTATCTATTAGCTATTTGATGTGGTTTTTTACATTCAATGAATGTTATATAAAATGATAACTGCTTTGATTTTTGGATTAACCCTGTTTTACCTTATGATGTACCTGTCCAGTTTGAATGGTCAGCTAGAAGCTTGGAAATAGTGTAAATTACAGAGGAGACTACTTCCTGTTTAAGCAATTTTGGAGATATAGTTTTGTTTAAGATGTTCAGGTGTTTAAGTTTAATAAGTGTAGTTATGGTTAATAAGAATGACAAGAATCAGAATCACCTGGGACAAGGAGATATACAACAGAATGAGGTAATTAAACCTTTAGTTACATTTATACAGAAACAGGTTATATATGTATATCAAACAATTTACTAACAATTGATTTCAATCTAGATTTGATTGTCACATTAATTTGTAACATATATAATATAGAAAATAGCATATAAATAGATAGATTGTCTGTTTTATTTCTGCAAGTTAAAATAATGTGAAACAAATTAAAATCATGAGGACTAAATGGTACAGTTCTATACACACCTGTCAGTAAGTTTTATGCCACTGAATAAGACAGGGTCATCATAATTATTTTATGTGTTGTTTTCAATGGAAAAATCTGATATTAGATTTCAAACAAATTGCAGGCTTTAAAGTGGGGCCAGTATTGAGTCTGACTCTGAGATGCTAGGTGAATAATGATGTGCAGTATTGAGCCCCAAAAGGTATGCTTTATTTTTTTAAATAACTATATTTGACTATTCTTAATCTTTCCCAGAAGAAAAAAATAGTTCATTGCACAATTATTTGAAACCATTTGTTATGCTCCCCGAAAAAATTTCGGGGGAGCATATAGTCGCCGCCTTGTCCGTCCGTCAATCCGTCCGTCTTTCCGTAGGTCCGTCCGTCCGTCCGTCCCCTTTTCTTGTCCGGGACATAACTTTGAAACAACAAGAGGTATCAACATGAAACTTTGTAGGTAGATAGATCTCATTGAGTAGGTGTGCAGTGCACAAGAACCGTAACTCTGCCTTGCCTAATTTTTGAATTATTCCCCTTTCCCTTTGTTTATTTTACACTTTGAACTTTGTCCGGGACATAACTCTAAAAGTATAAGAGGTATCAACATGAAACTTTGTAGGTAGATAGATCTCATTGAGTAGAAGTGCAGTGCACAAGAACCATAACTCTGCCTTGCCTAATTTTTGAATTATCCCCCTTTGTTTATTTTACACTTTGAACTTTGTCCGGGACATAACTCTAAAAGTATAAGAGGTATCAACATGAAACTTTGTAGGTAGATAGATCTCATTGAGTAGAAGTGCAGTGCACAAGAACCGTAACTCTGCCTTGCCTAATTTTTGAATTATCCCCCTTTGTTTATTTTTACACTTTGAACTTTGTCCGGGACATAACTCTAAAAGTATAAGAGGTATCAACATGAAACTTTGTAGGTAGAAAGATCTCATTGAGTAGAAGTGCAGTGCACAAGAACCGTAACTCTGCCTTGCCTAATTTTTGAATTATCCCCCTTTGTTTATTTTACACTTTGAACTTTGTCCGGGACATAACTCTAAAAGTATAAGAGGTATCAACATGAAACTTTTTAGGTAGATAGATCTCATTGAGTAGGTTTGCAGTGCACAAGAACCGTAACTCTGCCTTGCCTAATTTTTGAATTATCCCCCTTTGTTTATTTTACACTTTGAAATTTGTCCGGGACATAACTCTTAAAGTATAAGAGGTATCAACATGAAACTTTGTAGGTAGATAGATCTCATTGAGTAGGTGTGCAGTGCACAAGAACCGTAACTCTGCCTTGCCTAATTTTTGAATTATCCCCCTTTGTTTATTTTACACTTTGAACTTTGTCCAGGACATAACTCTAAAAGTATAAGAGGTATCAACATGAAACTTTGTAGGTAGATAGATCTCATTGAGTAGGTGTGCAGTGAACAAGAACCTTAACTCTGCCTTGCCTAATTTTGAATTATCCCCCTTTGTTTATTTTTACACTTTGAACTTTGTCCGGGACATATTTCTTAATGTATAAGAGATATCAACATAAAACTTTGTAGGTAGATAGATCTCATTGAGTAAGTTTGCAGTGCACAAGAACTGTAACACTGTCTTGCCTACTTTTGTAGTTATTGCCCTTTGTTCATTTTGACACTTTGAACTTTGTCTGGGACATTACTCTAAAATTATAAGAGATATCAACATGAAACTTTGTAGATAGATAGGTCTCATTGGGTGGAAGTGCAGTGCTTAAGAATCATTACTCTGCCTTGCCTTATTTTGAAGTAATTGCCCTTTGTTTATTTTTACTTTTTGACTTTTGTCCTGGACATTACTTTAAAACTATTAGAGATATCAACATGAAACTTTGTAGGTAGCTAGATATAATTGGATAGAACTGCAACGCTTCAAGAACCTAAACAAAGCCTGGTCTAATTTTGGAGTTATTGCCCTTTGTTCATTTTTTTTATACTTTCCTGTGTCCAGAACCTTCTCGGGGAGCATCACCCGGTTCAACCGGTTCTTGTTACCTTTCTTTTAAAATTCTTATTTTAATGAAAGTTGCATTTAAGTTCTTACCTTGGTTGAATTTTACATCCAACTTATAAGCAACAAATTATTCTGCAACCAAATAGTACTAAGCATTATAAGTGTAAAGTTTCTTTCTCAAGGAAACAATGGCTTGCTGACAGGGTTTAAACAAATATGGCAAGGAATCCTTCGATTACTGGTCTGATTTGTTAACCTGCATTTGGCCATGCCACCACTTGTGTTTATATTGCATGTAAAGTTTCATGACATCACTGCTTATTTGATATTACAAAACTTTAATTTCAACAAAACCTTTTTCTTCTCCATTACAATGAACAAATCTTATTTTTGAAATAAAAGACAATTAAAAATCAGAACACATTTCTTCTTTAAATTGATTTTTTTAAAGAAAGAAGTCAAAGTCTTGATGTAGGCAGGTTAAATGCAGGGTGAATATGTCATTTCTTAAAAATCACTTGAACAAGGCTTCATATGTATTAGGGACCTTTTTCTTCTCATGCTAATTATATGCACATTTTTGTTAAATTTGATAATGCTAAGGGGGCTAGAATTTGGTTTATTTATACAAACACATTATGATAAATAATTGTTACACTGCTTAAAAGAATAGAACTGTACTTGACAGTCACTCAGTATTGCTGAACATGTCTTTTTTTCCAGAAATAATGAAGGAGTCAGGGTGTCAATCAGAGTGCCAACTGTTCAAGGCTGAAAGATAGTAAGCTGGGAGCCTGAGAGCAAAATGATGTAAATGCCATGCAGGGAAAGTTTGTTAACTTGTGAATCAAAGCTAGCTTCTAGATGCCATCACAGTCAAACTTTTCAGTGTTTTTTTTTCTCAAATCTATAAACTTTCCTCGATCTTAAGTTCTAATTTGCTGACATTGGAAATAGTGTGTGATTTTTTTCATAATAAATTTTTCTGTTCTAATCCCTTCAATTATATGTAATAATTGTATACATATAAAATGTAAAATATGATGAAATATTAAAATAAATATTTTTAAACGAACTAAATTTGTGCTTTAAATTAGTATTTCAAAGCAGCATTTATTAAAATATCAGCTTTTACTGTTTTCTACATTTCTACATGTCTGTCCTGGGGACAGGACATTTATTAGATAATGAGACTGTCCTGGGAACAGGACTTTCCTGGGATTACAGGACTGTCCTGGGAACAGGACTTTCCTGGGATTACAGGACTGTCCTGGGAACAGGACATTCCTGGGATTACAGGACTGTCCTGGGAACAGGACTTTCCTGGGATTATAAGACTGTCCTGAGAACAAGACATTCCTGGGATAGCAGAGCAATAATTTTTCCTGTTTTTTCCTGTCTTCAAGAAATTCCTGGGATTGTCCAGTCCCATTTAACGGTGTGAAAAAAGTCTCAGGATTATCTCAGGAAATCCTGGGATTTTTCCAGGACAAATTCCTGAGACTTCTCAGGAATTCCTGGGATAGTCCCAGGACTTCTTGTTCATTTTCTGCACGGGGTGTTAAGTTATGATTTTATGTTGATCGATTTATAATCATTTTAAATTTCATATCTGTAAACAGCATAAATTTATGGAATGACTGGTATATATTTATATGATGGAAAAAATGGAACACTTTATACTAACAAATTTCAATTATGAAATGTTGTAACTTGTACGATTTGACATGTTGTGTATTACTGTATTAAGTAAGGTGTGAAGTAATTAAGTCATAAGTATTGCCATTTTACTCCATTTACAAAATCTTTTTTGACAAATTTAAATGTGTCTTTCAGTTTGCCTTTTCAATATTCAAAATGTGGTATGCTTTGAATGTGGGAACCAGCATATTCCCCAATGGTTATGACTATAGTCAGACTGGTTCTCATGTTCAAAGTGTGATTCATTTGAATACGATATGATAAGTATGTGTGCTGGGATTTTCATATATACAGTTAATTTAGAGTTTAATGCATTTCGAAATCCACATCTCAAGTGTCTGTGCTAGATTGTATATTTGTCAATCCCAGTATAAACACATAATGAATCAATTACAATATAACATAATATATGCTGTATTGGAGCTCCATACCCTAAGTGTATGTGATAACAGAAACTTGATTTTGTCCAAAATAGCCATTTTGCCTTATGATATATATATATGTACAATGTAGTTTTAAGTTAGGCAAGGCTTATTTGGGTTATTTGTCCCGGCAACCATAAACAAAATACTAAAAAAACAAAATCAGCATATTAACTAAACGAAACTTATTGACATACATCAGCATGACAGTGTTCGAATTACATAATTTTTTTTATATTTTACAGATCTTTTTGATTGGTCTATACCTGTTCAGAGATGCAAGTCCAGTAAGGTGATATTAACCCCTCCTGCATCACCTAGAAAAAATGGTGTTGTCATCCCTCATAAAGACAAAGAGCATGGAACCCTCACACAAGCAAATGAACAAGATATAGCACTATTCAGATATAAGACGAGGGTATATGCTGTGAAAGAGGAATGTCCTCATGCAGGTTTGAAACCTTGGTTACTTATCAAATGAGCCGCATCATGACAAAACCAACATAGTGGGTTTGCGACCAACATGGATCCAGACCAGCCTGCGCATCCGCGCAGTCTGATCAGGATCCATGCTGTTCGCTTACCAACTCTATTACAAGTAGAGAAACTGATAGCGAACAGCATGGATCCTGATCAGACTGAGCAGGTGAGTAGGCTGGTATGGATCCATGCTGGTCGCAAACCCACTATGTTGGTTTTGTCATGACGCGGCTCAAATGGTGAAGTACATAAAAGCTCTTAATCTTAACAGGTGCATGCTTCCAGATAAGAAGTTGTATTTTCATAGCAAATCAAACTTGAGAAAAATCTATTTACAGTTTAAAACAAACTATTATAGTATTCACAATCTATGTCACATGATACTACATTTATGCCTATTTAGGTAATTTACTTGGATTGTTAGTGACATTTGCAATGTGTAAATTACTCTGTTCACTTCGCAATATTTTACTTTTAGATATGGTTTCAATATTTTCATGTAAATGAGTATGAATCTGAAGGCATACTGCTTTAAAGGTTTATTGCTGACGATAGAAAATAATATGCTAAAAAGAAAAAATTTACCAATTTTAACAGCTCATATGAGTGACTGTCATTACTCAGTTTGGTCAAAACTGCTTATTTTCAAGAAAAAATGATTTCAAAACTATCAAGGAATCAAGATGTATGAAATGTGAATTACTTGCTTTTCATGACAAGGAACAGTGATGAGACAAGGGACATTATTCTGAAATCTTTATATTTGGGATTTATGTCCCTTTGTATATGTCAAATATACTTACTAAATAGAATGATTGAAAACTTTCAAAGGTATAGTCACAAAGCTTGTTATATTCAACAGTTATTATGACAAGGCACAGTTGTGATGTAATAACCTTAAAGTAATAATTTTATTAGTTCTGATCCTTTATTTTTCATCAGGTGGTCCTCTGCATCTTGGAGATATAGAAGAACTAGCAGATGAGCTTGTTGTCAGATGTCCTTGGCATGGATGGAAGATTGACCTTGAGACAGGAAAAGTCAAGTTTCCCAAAGGACATGACCTTCAGTCTACATTGGCATATCCTGTCAAGGTCACAGAAGATGGTAAATTGTACATTGGCTTTAATGGGCTGTATGACGGTTACTTTAACGTTGAAGATTGTGATTTTTAAACTGATAATCAAGTGACACTGTATAAACTTTATGACTCTGTGATAATATAATGATAAATAGTTGCTGTTAATTGTAACCCAACAGCCCCATTGAAAAGGTAAAAACCATGGTAAAGGAGACAGTAAAATAGTACAAGTCCAGCTTAAAGATGCTTAACATTCACTTAAAACAAAGGATTAGATGTCATTAAACTCATTTAGTTTGTATGCTCTCAGGTTCATTCTAAAAATCTTATTATTAAAATGATTTTATTTGTAAACATTACTAGGGAAAAAAAAGATTGAACACCTTTTCAGGCAATGTTTTTTTTATAGAAAACATAAGAAAGCATTAGTGACACATAGTTAAAAAGGGTCAGAACTACATGTATAGGTATTTCATCATGAACATTGTAGACTATTGAAAATGATATGAATAAACAATATTAGATTACAGTAATAAGTGTCATTTTTGAAAAAAAAAATTTTTTGTTTTGATGTTTTACCTGGAGGCAAGTAACCATAGTAACACAAATGTCCAATTTATTTTTACATGAGTTTTGTATGTATTCAGTATTTGAAAACTCTAAAACTATCTAAATGAAGGATTTTAAGGATTTTTGAGTATCAAACTTTATGACATTGTTGACTGCATAGTGCTTTCTCATAAACAGTATTTGTTATTAGTTATATGTAAGATATCTAAAGGGGGACTGAAAATTTATTAGTCCCCTACCGGTTTAACCGGAGGGGACTTTAGGTTTACCCTCCGTCCGTCTGTCCGTCTGTCTGTCTGTCCGTCTGTCTGTCCGTCTGTCTGTCTGTCTGTCTGTCAGTCTGTCAGTCCGTCAGTCCGTCCGTCCACAAAACTGGATCCCGCGATAACGCAAAAAGTACTGAAAATATTTTTATGAAACTTGATAGTATGGATAGATGCCAGTATGGAGATTATGCACGTCTTTTTTTTTTCTTCCATATGTTGAAAATTCTGGTTGCTATGGCAACAAATAGTCTGAAAATATGGCAAATTAAGACATAAACTGGATCCAGTGATAACTCAAAAAGAACTGAAAATATTTTTATGAAACTACTGAAAATATGGGTAGATGGCAGTCTGGAGATTATGCACCTCTTTTTCTTTTCTTCCTATGTTGAAAATTCCTGGTTGCTGTCCGTCTGTCTGTCTGTCCGTCTGTCTGTCCGTCTGTCTGTCTGTCTGTCAGTCTGTCAGTCCGTCAGTCCGTCAGTCCGTCCGTCCACAAAACTGGATCCCGCGATAAACGCAAAAAAAAAGTACTGAAAATATTTTTATGAAACTTGATATATGGATAGATGGCAGTATGGAGGATTATGCACGTCTTTTTTTTTTCTTCCTATGTTTGAAAATTCTGGTTGCTATGGCAACAAATAGTCTGAAAATATGGCAAATTTAAGACATAAACTGGATCCAGTGATAACTCAAAAAGAACTGAAAATATTTTTATGAAACTTGAAATATGGGTAGATGGCAGTCTGGAGATTATGCACATCTTTTTCTTTTCTTCCTATGTTTGAAAAATTCTGGTTGCTATGGCAACAAATAGCCTGAATTTCAAGATTTCTGATTTAAATTTTTCAGCTTTTTCACTATATGTTCTTTATTTCTTAAGGTGTTTACCTCAAACTTTAAATATAAGTTTCTGGTCATCAACCATATCATATGTGACAAGGTTTATAACTCTAGCACAAAAAATATCAGTATTACCTCCCTTGAACTTAGATTTTTTAGGGGAAAAAATGTTGTCTTTTTTAAATAACTTCTTTATTTCCTAATGTATCTACTTCAAACTTCATATATATGTTTCTTATTATCACTCGACATTTTTTGAGAAGGTTAAATACTCTAGCAAGACTATTTCCAGAATTATGTCCCCCTTGAACTTAGATTTTTTCGAGAAACTGGTATTTTCACTCCAACTTCTTCATTCCTTATAGGATTTACTTTAAAATCCCACATCGTAATAATATGACAAGGTTGTATAAACATAATTTCCTTACTAAGCATGGAAACTTAACACATTACTGTGATATAGACAAACTTATTTTATTATGTTTTGTGGTTGATATTTTCAAATACAGACTTCATCCTCAAATTCATTATAAATGGCAATACACAGGAGTGTATGACAATTAAAGAACTTTTTGAGGGACCGGTAGGGGACTACTGTATTGCCCTCAATACTATCAAATGCTTGTTTTGATGTTAGATTTTTATATCAGGGTGTGACACTAACAATAAACATTATTAAAACTGGCAAATCGTTTAATGCTATTATTTACAAATGAAAACTAAGCCTACATATACCATATCCTACAATTTTGAAAACTGATCTGATTTCTACTTGCTTTGAAGTGTGCAAAGCAATATACCTGCTGCAAAAATATTGTTCGAAAATTAATAGTACCAAATTGCATGTATGAAAGAAATATGCTATTATATTTCCCTATGAGGGAATAGCACATGAACAAAATCATTGCTTGACAGTTAAAATCCTACTTAATAGGACATAATATTTTGTGCCGAAACATTTTATTCTGTTTATGTATAATTTTCTTGTGTGTTAAATTACAGAGATATTCTATGTAATAACTCTTTCGACAATTCACCATATGATTATGAAAACAATATAGTTTTATGGTAACTTGTGTTTTATAAAAAATGTTTCATTAGATATAAAAATATTTCGTTAGATAAGGCGGAAATAAAGAGTATATAATAAGTGTGCAAACTTACTGTCACACCCTGTATCAAAAGATACATTCTTAAATGTTATTATTTAGTCATTTTTCTTCAAATACATGTACCTTTGTATAAGTAACATATGTTATAGGGCTGTTATGTGTGATAATTAGCATGTGTTATAGGGCTGTTATATGTGTGGTGTTTAAGCATATTCTATAGGGCTGACATGATATTTAGCATGTGTTATAGGCTGTTATGTGGGATAATTATCATGTGTTATAGGGCTGTTATGTGGGATAATTATCATGTGTTATAGGCTGTTATGTGGGATAATTATCATGTGTTATAGGGCTGTTATGTGGGATAATTATCATGTGTTATAGGCTGTTATGTGGGATAATTATCATGTGTTATAGGCTGTTATGTGGGATAATTATCATGTGTTATAGGGCTGTTATGTGGGATAATTATCATGTTTTATAGGGCTGTTATGTGTGATAATGTGTTAAGGATACAATGTATGTTAATTAGCATGTGTTATAGGGCTATTACATGTACACGTTAATTGTGATGTGATAAGTTTTACGGTCAGTGTTAGTTGATTTTCATGTTTTGTTTCTGTTATTTTTAAAAAATTGTTATGTTATGGGAAACTTTTTCTTTTATATTAAGAATGGGTTGTTACTCAAGAAAAATGGTTTTGGTGATGTTTTGTTATTGTTTGTTTCAAGAAAATACATAGTAGTCAATTAGATTTTAGCTGTATTTTTAGTTAATATGTTTTACATTTTAAGTACCTTTTCTAGTTTAATTTACAGTTATTGTATATAAGTAGTTTCATTTTACTGTTTCATGTATGACATAAGGTCTGTTTATTGGTTTTGTATGTATTTTTTGTTCATTATTGTTTTGAATTTATATAATGATGTATTATAATTAAAGATCCTGTAACACGATTTTTTTATGGTTTTATTTCATAAATATGATGCTCAAATTAAGATTTGTCAATATTGTAAGTTCCAATAAGCATTATTTATAAAGATGTTACCGAATTTAACATTCCATCTAAATAAAGGGAGGTAATTAGAAATTTATTTTCTATTAATTCTAAGTCAAATTTTCCAATAAGAAATGAATGCATATAATTTATTGATTACATATTATGTGCACAAATATTTGCAGTACACATTTTACATATTCTTTGATGTTTGAAACTTGTTGTATTTGCATAATTATAAACATACAGTAATATGGTATAACTTATATAATTTATTGTAAGAGTGGTATACACACAGGTACAATATCTATCTCAAATCATACAGGATCTTTAAGTGTTTTTGTGCTCAATTCCTGGATTCGAAAATATGTTAAGGAACAAGAATTTTGATATACTTACCCTTTGATAAACTTTCGTATAACGAGAATCAGAAAATCAGATTATTACATTCATCTTTCTTGATAAAATTTATAAAAAGTTTTTTTTTAAGGTTTTCACATCTTTTTATATAGTTGTAACAAATGACCATGACACTTTTAGGCTCACCTGTCACAAAGTGACATGGTGAGCTTTTGTGATCGCTTTTTGTCCGGCGTCTGTCATCCGTTTGTAAACTTTTACTTTAAACGACATCTCCTCATAAACAGCTAAGCCAATTTCATCTAAACTTCACAGGAAAGATGTTCCTTTGGTAGTCAACTTTAAAAATTGTTCAAAGAATTTAATTCCATGCAGATCTCTGGTGCCATGGCAGTCATAGAATTTAGCACTTGCTCGGTGGCCCATGGCCAGTAAATATTAGTTTGGGCCAGTGTTAATTTTAAGAAAATTTAGTTCAATGTATGGTAGAATAAATTCTGGATTAAGACTGGAATTCGGGCCAGTAAATTCAAAATATTAAATTCAATGACTGCCATGGCAACCGAAAGAAAAAACTTAATAAAATCTTCTTTTAAAAAACCGATAGAGCTAGAGCTTAAATATTTGACATGAAACATTGTCTAGTCAGTGTCTTCCAAGTTTGTTCAAATAAAAGCCCTGGGGTCAAAATTGACCCTGCCCCAGGGGGTCATTGTTTTTCCCTTTATGTATATAGTAAAAACTTATAAGTCTTCTTTTAAAAATCCTAAGAGCTAAGATATTTAGCATGAAACATCTTCTAATAAGTGTCTACCAAATTTGTTCAAATACGGGCCCTATAGTTAAAATTGGCCCGGCCCTGGGTTCATTGATTTCTAGTAATCTTCTTTGAAAAACTCAAAGAGTCAGTGTTAAGATACCAAGCATGAAATATCTTCTAGTGAGTGTCTACTAAGTTTGTTCAAATAAAAGCCCTGGGGTCAAAATTGGCCCCGCCCAGAGGTCATTGTTTTTCCCTATATGTGTATAGTTAAAATTGAAAAAAATCGTTTTTTAAAAACCCCAAAGAGATAGGGCTTAGATATTTAACATGAAACATTATCTAACATGTCTAATGGGTGTCTACCAAGTTTGTTCAAATAAAAGCCCCTGGTTTAAAATTGGACCGGTCCTTGGGGTCTATATACAGGTGAGCGATTTCAGGGCCATCATGGCCCTCTTGTTTAATTAAGCGATACATCTAATTATAAGTTCCTATGTCAAATTATTTACCATACATTGTTTTCACGATGATTCATGATGGTAAATTTGGCTTTGTTCTTCATAAAGAAAAAATTTACTTATCATACAAATCTACTGCAATTTGACTGAAGTCATATGAATGAACTTTCTCCTGAACATCTCTTAATCCCTGGCCACCTCACAGTTGGATGAGCTCTAGCATGGCTCTTATTAAAACCCAAGTGACCTTCATGAATGCTATCTAAGACATGATATCTTATTTCTTTAGGAACAACAGTTCTATCTCCCTATACAGGGATGCCAATTTTCTGCAGATCCGCAGATTTCGAGGTCACCAGGACCTCTTTTTTGAATGATGTAAATCTCCATCTTGGAGTTTGCTACCGTCTATTGTCGATTGTTAATATTTAGACTGTAGCGCCTTTCAGATATGTTCAGTTATTGTCACTACCACAGTTAACTTATGAACGAAAGCGTTAAATATACCAACCAGTCAAAACGTAGCACCTTTCTGGTAGTTGAAGACAGATAAAAAAAGATGTTGGACGATTAGCAGAAGTGATGTTAGGTAATGTAAATGTTTGATAAAGCACTTAAAGAAAATAAATTCCAGACCA